TTCGAGGTATATCTTCCGGATTGTCTGGCGTTCTGATTTTGATTTCCTTTCTCTCCCTTGTGGGCGAAGGGGGCATTTGGGGTCATCTGCGGGGTGGGGGCCGTTGCAGTGAGGGCATTTGGGTGGGCATACGTGTTCAATGCCACAACTGGTAGTATGATTGCTCTCTGTATGCTTTCCCGAACCGCATGGGCGGCAGATTTGTGTTTTGAGGCATGTTCTTGCGTTGTGCCGTTGAAAGCAACGGTTGCACTGAGTGATCTTTGGTTTTTGTACTAGGAGGGATGTGCTGATGTTGGCCCCTAGGATCTTCAGGTTCTTTTTGAGTGGTTCTGCTCCTGTCTTGAAGCTTACTATCCATGTTGAGTAGTACTCATCAGATGAGGGGTTCGTTTGGGATTGGATAGCGTGAGTAAGCACCTGACCAGAGTATTCCTTTATAGCGTCGGAGATTGTATCTTTTGTAACTAAAATGGAGTCTATTTTGAATTGGTCATTGAAAATGGTGACTTTCTTGGGGACGTAGTTTAGACGGTAAGTGGTCCATTTCTCTTGGGCCTCAATTTTGCAGTCTCCGATTGCGGATGATATAATGGCTTAGAGCTTCGCACTTCCGTAGAACTTAGAAGAGTGATTAACCTACTAGACCAATATTACCTCAGTTCTGCCCTACCAGCTTCCCACTATTCCCTGAGTAAGGTCATTCCTTTTAACATATAATTCTATTATATATTTATTTTTTAAATTTCAAAATATCTCTCTAAATGATCGATTTGAATGGTCATCACCCTATGGTGACCGCCTAATGATCGTATCGGTAATAATAGTTAGAGTTAGGGTTAGGGTTGGGGAATTATTAATGGCCAGGAATCACGATTTTTGGTGTAAAAGGTGGCCGAAAAGTGGGGTATTAGATTTATAGAGTATGTGGTTTGAACGGAAAGGTGTGAGAATAACCGTGAGAGGCAGAATGTGGAAGAGAAGGGTGATTTAGGGGGTAGGAGAGAGACTAAAGTGAGGATGAAGTTGAGGTTGATGAGTATATGTGTAGTGTGACATAGAGGAATGAGGGATGCTGGAGGTAGCAGTACCACAGTGATAGGTAATTTTGGGAGAGTGGTGAAGGGGAGAAGAAGGGATGCCAGTGGCGCAGAATAGGTATTGAGGGAGGTTAAGTGGTAGAGGAAAATACATTAGAGGATGGGAGATTGAAATATTCAATAAGGGAGTAGAGTAATGGGGGAGATAGCGGATTTGATCAAGTGTAAGGGAATAGGATAGCGAGGTAGTGAAGTAGTGAATATAATAATGGACTAATTGGCGGGAGAGTAAGGTACTGAAGGAGAGAGTGGGTTGTGTAGATGGAAGTGTATTGATCGAAGGGAATCTAAAGAGATGGGGGAAATAGAAATTGATGAGAGTGAGGGAGGGAAAGGGTGGGGTGTTGGGGTAAAGGTAGTGATGGGATGGTAAAAGAAGATTGAGATTGGAAATACATGGGGGGATGGTGGAATAGAGAATTGAAGGAGTGGATGGGATAGTGATGAAGAGACAGCCAAGGGCCAGATGTAAGGAACAGGAAACAGCGCTCATACATCCTCCAAGCTGTAAGGTGGTGGGAAATGGTCAACGGGTAAAGAAACCGAATAGCGTACCGTTCGTTCGAATTTCAGATGTTGGTGAGGAAACGATCATGGGCGAGGAAAGAAAGTGTGCAAAGATATCGGTCGATCTACAAAAAGTGGTTAAGGAACAGCCACGGGTAGTAAACAGACAGTAGGAGTAAAAACTTTGACGTATCCTTGACGAATCAAAGTGTACGGATATTACCCAGAAGTAAGGTACTAGACTTACCCCACCAGATGATCTGCCTTTATTGATGGAACTAGCTAGTTAAATAGCTTAAAAGTTTGATGGATCGTCAAACGCATCTGGGCGGAAAAAACTTACCTTGGCGGAAATAGACAGCACCTCAATCTCCTAAGAAACCTTCTAATTATTAGCTTACAGGCCAAAACACAAATGGTCCAAGACGCCAACGAAGAGTTGCAATCTTGTGGCTGCGAGAAAAAATATGTAGGCATTGGAAGCATTGTATAATAAGATTGATTTGGCTATTGGCAAAGCCACTTAAAAAGTAAAAACGATGTGCGTTACTGTTAAATCCCAAATTTCTATGCTCAAGAAGCATCAAGAGCGCAATTAAATGTATTCTCTGTAGGTTTGGCGTGGGACTTGTGTTTGCAACGTTCCTTAAAGTTTTCTCAAGATAAACTTTAATTGATTTGAATTTGTGTTCAAGATATCGATGAATGAAATGGATAGAAGTTATATAATGGAAAAAGACTATATAAACCTCTCTACTTTCCCCTTCAATACATTCTATCATCATCATCACATTCATTCAACTATCATACGATCATTTCCAATTCACTCATTTACTCATTCCAACTATCAAACTTTCTTTAAGAAAATCAATCACTTACTTTCATCAAAATGAAGTTCTCCATTGCCACTATCATTGCCTGCGCAGCTATCGCCAATGCAGCTGCTCTTCCAGCTCCAGCTCCTGTAGCTGCAGTTGGGGATCCAAATGCAGTCGTTGCTCCCTCAATTGAAACCCATTTCAGTGGACAAGTTAGAAACACTTTCTAAAGCTTTACATAAAATGCTAATGATTTGATAGTTTGATGCCAATGGAGTATTGTTCCCCAAGGAGGACAATGAGACCGATCAAGCACTCCAAAAGCGTGAGGAGGACAATGAGACCGATCAAGCACTTCAAAAGCGTATAGCACCATTAGTCATAATGGGTACAGCGCTCGCAATCAAAGGTGTTGGCATCTTGACAAAGATTGCTGTTGAAGTTGCTGGTGATACCCTCAAGAATCTCAAGAAGTGGAACGAAGTAAGTGGTTTTTAGAAATACCTTAATTGCTCTGGTACTAATCTACTTACTAGACACGTGAGGCCTTTACTCAAAAGACTACTCTCGAGATGTGGAAAAGAAACCCAGATTACAACAAGTTCCCTGCTGTTGCTTGTTACAACAAAGGTTACCATCTCCAAAATCCTAGTGGTCAAGATGGAAGAGTATCTGCCAAGCTCTCTCTTGGTCTCCTCAACACTGAGTAAGTACCCTATATGCTTATACAGCTATTCCTTAAAATTCGATAGCTTACTATTATAGTTACGACTGTCTGTTCATGACTGGAAACAATGCATTCTATACTCACAAGGAAGGTGGATATATCAATGTAAGAAATAATTCCTATCAATTGAAACCATTATACTAATAGACAACCAGCTTTCCTACAGATACAACGGTAACCGTTGCAGTTTCAACAAAGGCAATGGAGATCTGACTTGCAGATAAAGAGTTAAAAAGCTACAGTTCTTACAAGAACTCAAAACACAACAGTCTTGTTATCAGTAATAGGGCAAGCGAACATGGGCTAAGTGGCCACCTAATCCCTTGTTTAGTTGCCAGATTTTTGTTATCATTGGATCATTATTTTTGAGGCCTTGTTTTGCTTTCCTTTTTTTTATTTTAGTGCTTAGTTAGCTCAGTTAAACCCGCAAATAGAATTTTTTACTTCGAATTTTGAATATTCTTGCTTGAGGGGAGTTTTATTTATGAACATAGTGACTCAAGTATGCTGAGTATCTAGAATGAGTGGGATAAGCCTAAATCTGCGCTTGAACCGGTACTTGAATCTGTGCTTGAATCCGTTATCGATTGATTCCAGTTCTGGAGTAACTCAGGGTTCATGAATATCGTATGAGCTAATGCATCCGATACTTTTTTTCTCTCGCCTTAAATGTAATCAATATGAATGCTGAGCACCCTTAAGTCATTGACCCATGGTGAATAGATTACTTCTAGGACAGATTCCCAAATATACATTTTGACGACCTCGCTGGCTTTTCCTCCCATCACCTCGAATGACAGCTACTGCTATCCATATCCATTCCATTCTTACTCGTAAGTCTCGCCAATGGCTCCTTTATTTCTCCATGATTTTTGATACATCGTCGGTGAATGCCTGTGGCTCACAGAAACGCCCAAACCTTGGTAGGGTTCGTTGGCACGCGCCAGTTTCGTAAGTTTCTCGCTCGTTCATATGTAATGGTAACAAGACCCCCTGATTTATGCTGTCATCAGAGTGCAGTTACTCTCCCAAGGAACACCTTCACCATTATCAAGGTAGGGTTTGGTGAGTACGCGACTTGAACGCGTCGAATGCGAATTTCGTCGGCCATTTCCTTCACCAACATAGGTGTAGCAGGAAATCCAGTAATGGTAGTCGTGAAATCCATCGTAAAACAGTATTCTCTTCTGCGCTTGAAAGAGTTTGAGCCATTTCGTGGCTTTGGGAACGTGTTTTCTTCCCAGCCAACCTATCAGCTAGAGTAGACTTAGGGACTTCAAAGTGCTCTGCAGCTTTTCTAATTGATTTAAATTCCTTCAATTGAAGTGCAACTATAGCCTTTTTAATCTTCTCTTAAATTTGAGCAGGTGTAAAGAGTGATTGGGAATGCATAATAAAAGTTATTACAGTTTCAAATTAGTGATGGGCTAAAAGTGTCCAAATTCTCCACATGTCCGAGTTCACCATAAACCACGTTATTTTGAAAAGAAATAATAAATTTTAAATTTTATATATTTTCTCTTAATTATTTTGATTTGTTATAAATTATTACTAAATTAAATATAAAAAAAAGATCGAAAATCTAATATCAATTATTATATTTAGTGTGACGGAAACCCCTGCTTTCCTCCCACCCTTATTATATAAGAAACCTCAGGTACATTAACCATGTCCACACATGATACGATTACTCGGGATTAGTATACGATTTAGGTGGTCTGAGGATCAGATCCTGACAAGTACTAGGTATCAATGGTTATCGGTAAAGTAAGATCATTGGAGGGATAAATATGACTCCTTTTTTGCCTAGCCATTGCGGCTAGGCCATTAATTTGTGTGTATATAGAGTAGCTATCCCCATCTACAGGTGCTCTTCACCTGTAGATTCTAAGTTAAATACAATTGCTGGTCTATAAACACCCTTTTGGTCACACTAATGATGAATTGTGACACTTAGCTTAGTATTTTCTAATATAAGATACTTTACCCAGTATTCTTGAGTGTGACAATATTTATAAATTTTAAATTTTAAAAATTAATTTTTGTTATTTTTTGATATAAAAAATTATCGGGATTAGAGATGGCTGAAAAGTACAGTACTAGATTTATAAAGTATATTTTACTTTTTTTTATTATAGAATTATTAATTCACAGCGAAATCTAATAGCTAAAAGAGCGAGCAATTGAGCTAGATTGTATTTAGTTTCAAAGCAATCCTAATATCCTAATGCTGTATCCCCATCAACATCCGAGAAGGAACAGATTATAGCATAGTAGCACCACTCCAATTTTATATTGCATCAGCCTAACTATACATTACACTGAGCTTCTTACAAAGGAAGCCTTCTCTATAAAATATCACACAATTCTCCACCCTTAATCTCAAACTCAAATCTCCAATAGCGAAACATATAAAATAGATAATTGATGATAATCAAAGCTGGAATCTGGTGTAAGAAACCCACTCTCTTTGATCAATAAATAAGATTACATTTACAGAGAAATTTAAGTCATGGGTAACTTTCGAGCATTCATTCATTTCACCCTAAGCTTTGCATATTACGATAGACAGAAAATATAATCGAAATTTCATTTTTTTTGTATCTTTAAAATTTGTGCTCTAATGAAATAAAATAAGAAACGCGGAATTCTATAATGATAATCTTGATTAACAATGAATAGTTATCCTCCTCCAATGGAACGATGCTTCAACCACTCCCTTTAATCTTATCAAATATACCACAATATACAAATCTATAGCTATATAGTTGAACACCCTCCATTTAGACTCCTATATCACAGCTGCAAGCGCAATAATCTGTTTTCTATATCCTCACTTGAGGCATCAGGTTCGAATCTGGAAATACTAGAACCAGCACCTTGTCCCTCAGTTCCCGACCCCAACCCTAAAGCAGTTTCAGATCCAGATCTCAAACTATTCTCACTCCCCTCTCTATTCGTCCCCTCACTCCGCCTAACCGGCCACTTTTCCAACCCAATGTTAATCTTCAAGAATGGCGAATCCGTAAGCGACTTCTCCCTTTTAATAACCTCACTATCTATCCCTCCATCCTTTGCTATCTCCAAAAATCTCTGCATCCCCATCTCGCTCACGATGGTCTGATCTGGTATCCAACCCTCAATTAACCAATGACTATTCGTCACAAAACTGACTTCATTTTCGTATCGACGTATCCTGGGACTTTTCCTATATTTCCCTTTATAACTAACTAGGATGTCATCCGTACAAGTTGCTTTAATCCCTAGTTGCTTTAACTTATTAAGTGAAATGACGAAAATGGTGACTTGGTGAGATCGTAAAAGTGGGATGAATTTCATGAGACGAGCAACAGATGTATGAACAGAGATATAGGGACTCGGTTTCTTCGCATCATTACAATGATCCTGAAAGGCTCTCCCGTTAATTTGTTCTTTGCTCGGTTGATCGATTATCAGACTGTCTTGCCAACTCGAACACCTAATTCCTATACCTCGAAAATAGGGCGATTTGGTTTCTGAGGTGTGGGCCCGGTAGAGCAGAATATCGGGTTCCACAGATGATAACGGAGGTAGTGGACGAGTGAGTAAAACGCTGGCAAGGGCTTCCATCTCCGCTTTTGCAACGTCGATTTCCCATTTCTTTAATAGAATTTCTTCACGAGTTAGAATGGCGAATTCGTTGGCGTAATCTGCCCGTGGGAGGAGTGTAAAGCTAGTGAGAGTAGGATTAATAGTAGAAGTAGTTATGGTCGAGGTGTCGAGGATTGGTGCAGAAGTAGACATGGCGTTGCGAATGATAGGAATGCCGAAGAGCTGGGAAATGAAATGTGAAGTCCATTTTCGGTAGAATTTGAGGGTTTGATAATGTGCGGGAATATCTTTGGACAGGATATTGAGGTAATCGAGAGTGGTGGAATCGTGAGTATAGTTTAGATTATAACGGTCGTTAGGGGGAAGAAAAGCCGGGGAAGTTGATGCCGGTGGAAAATTTGTAAGTGTGGTGACTGCATTTGTGGGTTGTAGAGGAGTTCGGGGAAATTCAGAAGTGGAACAAGCAAAAATGTCGTCGTTAGTGCTCTCGCTCCTACCAACAATAGTTGATACGGCCACATTCCCACTGGATCGTGAATTTGCCATCATCTTCAACTGTCCTTCCCAGAATATAAAGTAGAAACTCAATTGTTCTTTTTCGAATGTAAAGCGAATGAAAGATAAAAGCTGTGATACTGACTATATATCTCAGCTTGCAGGTGAAGGAACCCTAATATACCATTCTCAAAATCATAAGAACAAGTAACATAAACAGGCAACTATAACTATACAACTCAAAAACGCCTGACAGCTCAGTAAACACGGCTGAATGTAACCCTGAAAATAAATGACATGCCATATTGAACTACAATTAGGCAAACTGCAAACTATCGCGTCATACAATATGCAACCAACTGAAAGCCTCGATACATGTTTGTATGTATAGATGCTGGAAGGGACATTGTATTGGTGATTACTCTACACCTTCCAACCCCATAGCCACTATTAAAAAGCCCCGGGTCTCTCAATGGGTCGGCTATGCATCCAGCTGAGCTCAGACGCATCGATAACCCTCCAATATCAGCATTGTAAAGTGCGCAGCCACAATTTCTAGAAGAGTATCCTATCCAATGAATTTATTTGCCAATAATAATGTTGAATAGAACAATATAGAACCTAACTTCTAATGAATTTCTATCAACAAAATAGAATAATTATGTGACCGAAAATCCTCCAGATGATTAATAAATAGATGAATTAGACTTTCCGTAAAAAACGACAAGAAAAGAAGTATACAGAGTAAAGTAAAATATTGAAAATAGGTCTTGGTTGAAAGATTTTGAGGTTGTAAGTTTTATTTTTATTCTAAACTCGAGGTGGTTTTGATGATTTTGTATTATGTTATCGCCTTCCTAATTAAGGTTAAGCTTGTAAGAGAAAAATCGCTGGGCTCGCTTGATAGTGTTACGAGGTTTGCCGTCTAGATCACGTGGAAGTGCTCAAGGCTCTCGAGGTGGTTTATAACTAGGCGTCAAGCAGGGACTTGAAGTAATGACAATAATGATATGCAATTCGTAACTAATAGTAGAGTATACTAAATGATTGATCCTGAGCACGAAGCTCTATAAATGGAAACCTATCCTTTATATAGAACTTCATACTCTACTGTATTCCTTTGGATCTCTTGGATCTACTGGATCTAGAGTTTAACTCTCTAGATCCTCTAGATCCCCTAGATCCCCTAGATCCCTCACATGATTTCAATCAGAACATATGTCTGTGCTTGCTGAAGGTGGGGAGACTCTACGAGTCACTTGCCATACAATTTTGTATGTGAATCGACTTGCTTTTCTACAGGGTCCAAGCTCATATGGACATGTTGACTGTTACTTCGTAATATAATAATGATAAGAATAAGAATAATAAATTTAAATACAAAGAGCACCAGTTTATCACTTGATTAAAGACTACTAGAGTAGAATGATTTATTATATTATTTTCTTAGATTTATAAATGTGTTGAAGTTGTAAAATCATTCATCGCTCACTCACGAGTAGTTATATTTTATCTTTATCAAGTTTATTCTTTCTACTTTACTATATCTATTTATCTAGCACTGTATTAACCCTGCGCCAACGCCAAAATCCATCCTTCCTTTGATATCAAACTCAAACCACCCTATCCATAAACCCTCGCATCCGCCCACCCAGCAGAACCATGAATCTATTCTACACCTTATAAATATCATCATCAAACTTCCCAAACCTATCTCTCCCCTCCGCCCCCGCATTAACCCACACACTAACACTCGTCCCAGGACACTTAAAAATAGCCCACCCATCCTCCCCAATAACCACCTCACCCTGTTCCCAACCCAAAACATCGGTCCATTTCTCCCCCGCATGAATCTCACCCACAAACATTCTCTTCTCCCCGGGACCCGCATTACTAATTACCGTAGCACAACCATTCGGTCGATCCCACGTTCCGGATCGCACCCATCCGATACAGGTAGCGTAGTCGAAGTAATCTTCCTGGTGGCCGTAGGCGTAGAGTTTTCGCGCGAGGATGAGATTAGGGAGGGCGTTGCCGCAGGAGGGGGGGAACTCGTGTTCGCCTTTGATGCCGTAGAGGTCGCCGTAAAAGATGCAGGGGTAGCCGTCTACGCGGAGGAGGATCAGGGAGTAGGCGAGGGGTTTGAAGAAGGGTTCTATGGGGGCTTCGAGGGCTTGGTAGGGTTGAGTGTCGTGGTTCATTACTAGGGTCTGGGGTTGTTAAGTTAGTTTTTTGATTTGAAGGAAAGGAATGGAGTAGGGAAGTAGAAGAACTTACAACAGCATTAACCGGTGCGGTTTGAACCAAAGTATTATCGAAAACAGTTCTCAAATCTCCTCCTTCTGTTTTGGATAACTTGCTAAAGTTATAAACCAACGGCGCATCAAAAAGACTAAACTTTCTTCCCATGCGATCCAAATACTTATTCATATCATCCAAACTATCCTTCCAAAATTCTCCCACAAAAAACCATCCCTGTCCATATTTATCATTCATGAGTGTAATGAATTTCCTCAAGAAATCCTCACTGAAATGTTTAACCGCATCAAATCTGATACCTTTCAAAGTAATTTGATCACCGAGCCATCCTCCCCAATTCAGAACATCTTGTTCTACCTCGGGATGATTGTAATCCAAATCTGCAAACATAAGATAATCATAATTACCCTTCTCTCCATCAACATCACCATCATCTGCCCAATCTTTTGTTTTATCACCGAGGATTTTATAGATTGCAGTTTTTTCGTTCTCGGCATTGTAATCTGTACCGCTAAAGTGATACCAGTGGTATTTTTGCTTCGAGTATTTGTCACCACGACCAGGGAAATCAAACCCAAGCCAAGCATCGATTTGGTAGGGATCGGAGATATTTTGGGTGCGATCTTCTTCGTCGACTTCTTGGGCTTCACATTTTTCTTTGTGATCTGCAGCTGCTTTGTGATTGAGGACTTGAGGAGAAGGTATTAGTATATTTGTACTTCAGAAGTATCTTCAAGAGAAAACATACCAGCATCCCAATAAATTCCTACTCCGACTTCATTGGCTTTCTTTACCATTTTCACCAATTCTTCCTTGGTACCCCATTTTGTACCCTTTCCTCCCTTTTGATCGAATTCTCCAAGATCATAAAGATCATATACATCATAACCATTTCCGGATTGAGAAGAAGCTTTACATCCAGGTGGAATCCACATATTGTCGATACCAGTGGCTTTGAGAGAAGGAATAGCATCGTGAAGTCTTTGCCAATGTTTATGATCGTCTGGAACATACCATTCGAATGCTTGAAGCATGGTCATGTTTTCCGGAGTAGGGTTTCCTATGAACGTTAGATTATTTCTTAATACTCTTGCTCTTAAATGTCTTGATGATTGGGCATTTGCTTACTTTCTTCCTTGATATCCCCCATCTTGATGGATTTCTAGGATAGATTTTTCTGGAGTATGATGATATCCAAAATGGTAAATTATATAGAATGAGTGTACAGTAGTGTAGAATGAGCGAGAAAAAGAGACAATACTTAGGGAAAGCAAGTGAATAAATAATGAATAGAAAATTAGAATTCTCATGAGAATGCAAGAAATTCCATATCTTGAAACTCATGCCCCTCCATTATTCCAAGTAAATAATTCACCCCGCCTCGTTGTCAAATGCTAGAACATGCCTCAAGGCAAATAAGCTTGGAAAATGTAGACTAAGTTTCAATTTCTAGCATCTAGCCTTGGTTTTTGGAACGCCTTAAAGAGAGATAAGACTAGTTGACCCCTGAATTTAAGGTATCATGACGTCGTTGGGCGGGATTACTTAGCTGTTACTTGCATTGATTTTATTAGAGTTCTAGAATTTTTAGAAATCTAGAACATGAAGCTTTTCAAAGTTATTATGATAAGTAGGTATCGTGATAGTATGGTGATTTGAAGCTTCGACAGGATAGCAACAACCAACCTCTTGTTGCACAACATGGCCGGTATTGTAAGATTAATAAGATGTAAGTAAGCAAGCCATGTACGGAGTAAGCAAAGCGGTTTATCCGGTAAGGTTGTACTCATTCGTACTCGTTACTCGCCCGTTTCTATCGGGTCGGGCCTTGACTGGTTTGGAGTAACGATAATTAATTAATAGCCTGGTACTCGAATATCTACATAGTAGTACAACCAAGCCTTGGAGTATTGGCAACGGCCTCGATACATATCATATCGAGTATTTGTGTTACAAAGATTGAAGTATAGTGAGTTTGTTGAATACCTACTCACATCAGTCCAAGCAAGAAAACAAAGCTTTATTATTGATGGACATTTGGTCCCTGTAGCAAATCAATAATCCCCCACATTGCTTGATACGGAGTATGGGATGGGATTTTCCAGATGGATAAATGCAAATGAAGTGCGCAATGATCGGAACAAAAATACATACGCTGGTCGATACATCGGTTACACCAATTTTCATTGTCTAGACGACGATGAGGGTAAAATGGAATTAGCTTCCACTTTTTTGATCAATCTTCTTCTCAACCATCTCTAGATAATCAACCCCAAGGTCAAGAGTTCTTCGCGCGTACAATTGCCATGAAGATACTTCCATCCACTTCAATGCGGGCCAGCTTCTAGCGATGGTGCTTTGACTTATTTAGATGGCTTGTTCCGAAAAGCATTCGAACCATGAGATAACACACCACAATGAACCATCGTGAACTTACTACTATTGTTATGTACAGAGCACTCACCGACATTCGAAATCCTTTGCTAAGAACCATCAATTCAGCTCCAAAAGTCAACAAACATGCCACTCATATACCCTGCTCACTGATCCCTACTGCCATTCCAACAATTGATTTGTTCGTTATCGTGTTCCCTCAACTCATTCCCACCTTTCTCTCATTTCTACCTTTCCCCCTACACTACAATATTTACATGGTTACTACGACAACAGACTCCATTCAACCACTTCATTTTCCATTTCATAAACATCTTCCAATGAATTTCAATTAATGTAACTTCAATTTTTGAACACCTGCCTCTTCTATTTGACTTGCATATTAACGACCTAATGATATTGTTGTAAATGCTCCCCTGCTATGCTTCTCGTCGCACTTTGTTACACCATCCCATTTCATCCTCGTACCAATCATCAAGATTAAAACGGGCTGCTGCATGAACCCTTCCGTCAATATTTACTTCCGATCTTCGTTACCAGCGGATACAGTCGAGACGAAACTATTTCAAAAGTCGAGGTCAAAATGTCACAATCAAGTTCCCGTCGACAATCAGATTTTAAGATTCATGAAGATTTCAATTGTACGAACGATATGGTTGAAGATATAGATCCCAAAAAAGTAGGCGGGGAGAGTGCGTCAAGTAAGGAGAAGGATATCGGTGAAGTCATGTCTCAGTCCAAGGATCCACAAAGACATGCAGAAGAGAGAATTGAGATGGAAGAGTCTGAGGTTGAAGGGGATTCTATATTGGATCAAGAGTTGTCCGAATTACAAGAAGACGATTCAATACTCGACGACGCAGGAACGAAACACAACGAACACGATGATTGTGAAGATTGTAAACACGCGAGGGAGGAGAAGCGCAAACGAGCGATAGCGAGGGGATTTCAGATGCGAAAAATTGATGCCGAGATCAAAGCTGCTGCAAAAAAGGTGGTCGAGAGTATTGAAAAGGACGATCCTGAGAGGGGTAGGGCTGCGAACGATCATGACGATTTAATTCTGGGTACACAAAAAGATGGAGGCTACGAATCGGAGGATCACGACGATTCTCTTTTGAGTGCGCAAACAGATGAGAGCTACGAGCGAAATTTATACAATGGGCAACATGGAACAGAATTGACATTGGATACCACAAAGGCTACATTGGAGGATGATGGAGAAACAGAGAACGAAGACAGTGTTCTCCACCACGATCTTTCCAGTACCGATGCCGAAACAGAACGTGGTTATCTAGGAGGTGAAGATATAAAAAGTAGACATAGCAGCTCAAATTATGGGGATGTCGACGATGATGTTTTCAGTAATGGTTCTGAAGAAAGTCGTCGTTTCTCTGTGAATTCTGCAGATGAAGCACCAAACAAAATCAGTGTGAGTAACAGAAGCTCATGGCAATCAAACCGACAGCCTGATTTGAGTAAAGAAGCTCAACAATTGATTGAACTCAATTCACCTATTGTTGGTGAAGAAGCTTCTACAGAGTCTGTCATCTCCCGGATTCCTAGTGGTATCTCTCGTGCATCTGCACCGAAAGCAAGAGATACATCATGTAGTCCTCGAAAAGTTCCACGACATCCTTTTCGCACGCCATCGGATATTCGTGCAATGCAAATATATTCTCCAGCATCTTCACTCTTCTCTACACCTCATTCAGCTAAACGACAACAAAATCCTACCGTTTCTCGTCTCGGTACCCCAGCTGGTTCTCAATACTCAAAGAGTCGTACACCAACTCGCTTCAAGAAGAATAGGGAAGAATCCCCTCTCGTTCTTTTACATGTCACCGTCCTACCACTTCAATGGCAATATTCCAAGGCCATAGTCGCTCCAGAATTACCAGCAAATCTCTATAATATTCGTGAGGCATATTATCTTTTACAAGAAAAGCTTAGTGAGACAATCCTTACACGTGGAATCTTACTTCCTCATCCACAGGATAGTTATGAATGTCTTGAAGAACGATTCCTCGATGCTTTAGAACTTCCCGTCCGTCCTCGGGCCAAAATCCTTCGGTGTGGTCATTATATTGGACCAAATACTACATCCTCGGATGATGATTCTGCAGATGAGAAAGATAGTGGATTTGGTAGTACGGGTCGATTTAAAAACAGGCCGGAGAAAGTTTGGTGCGACATATGTCGTCGAGATGTCAGATATGAGGATGATGATCAAGATGAAGATGGTAAAAAGTTTAACATCAAGATTTTTGCAAGTAATGGATTAATGAGAGCAGGTGCTTGGGCAGCTGCATGGAGGGAAATGGAAAGGGTCGATGTGGAAATTGAACCATTTGTTCAGCCTTGGATGGTTGAGGATATGGAAGATCTTATTGAGAGATTACGAGAAGCAGAGGAGAGGGGTCGGGATGATGATTATGATCAGTATTCTGATGATGATTCATGTGGTGAAAGTCTAGGATCAGAGGCTCAAAGGTTACATGAGCAAGATTTGGCCAAGGTTACTTTACGTCCGAAGAGGGGAGATGTTGAATCCCGAAATGCTCGTGAAGATTGGCTTGCAGCTGCTTCTAAAGCTGCCGAGGAAGAGGCTGATAGAATTGCTCGGGAAGATGAAGCATTACGACAAGAAGAGGAAGCTAGAGTCGAAGAGGAAGAAGTTAGACAGCTTGAAGAGGAAGCCTCACGACTTCATAAAGAGGAGGAAGAAGCCCAAAAGTTCGCCAACCTCGACTCAGAGTCATCGAATGTTAATGAAGACCAAACTGTCGAAGGACTAGAAGCTGAAGCCCAACAACTTCATGAAGAAGATATGGCTGCCATCCAAGCATTGGAAGAAGAAGCTGAACGTATTCATGAAGCAGAAGTCGCCGAACAGAAAGCTTTAGAGGAAGAAGCACAAAGAATTTTTGAGGCAGAATTGGCCGAACAAAAAGAAGTTGAGGAAGAAGCGAGGAGGATTTTGAAGGAAGAGGAGGTAAGGAGGAGAACCAAGGAGGAGGAATCCAAACAAAAAATCGAAGAACAGGAAAAATCGACCGATGAAGCACGAATAAACGATATCTCTAATAAAGCTTCTACCAGGAACAAAGACTTATCCTCCACTCCGATAACTCGGACATCCCCAGGCGATGAATCACTCAGCGAACTTTTGGTCAAAGCTGCAAGGGTGGTGATGCGCGATCGGAAAAACGTACTCATTTTACTCCTCAGTGTAGCAGTTTTGTTCCTGGCGCTTAAACCAAATCAACCAAATGGAATGGCAATGCCAAAATATGCATCAGATATTATTATCCAAAATCATAGGTATGAAGCTGGTCAAAGTGTGGACCAGAGAGGGTATGAACAGATGAGACAAGTTGCTGCTGACGGGACGTTACGAATGAGGGAAATTGAAAGTTCGATGGGATGGAAGGGTCAAGATGTTGTTATTACGAGCTCGATGAAAACTCAGACTCCGGATGTGGTGCAGGCTGAGATTTCGATTGAGAGGCAGAAACAAGTGGTTATGGAGATTGATGCACCTGATGTGGGTCCTGTTGTTGAGAAAATGGAGGAAGCATCTCAAATTGCCACCTTTGAAACGTCAGAAAACGTTGAGGCAGTGGCTGGGACACTTTCAATGTCTGGAGATGACATTGATGTTACCTCGAAGGATATTCCATCATTTGAAACTTCATCGAATCCAAGTCAGAACAATGAAAAATTACCAATGGGAGGAAGCGAATCTCAGTCTAAAAAGTTAGATACGGACTTAAAAACGGATACTCAAATGTGAGGAATTTCGGATATGGTACACTACAGAAAAAAAGCAGGAAACAGAATATAATCACATCACATCACAGCGAGATGAATGAAAGATTCCTATTTATTAAAGGGAATACAGGATATGAAATGTTATGTTAGGGTTGATGAATCTATGCATTGCTGGAGTATGTAGCGAAACTTGGCGATAAATAATATGTTTGATGTAGTTAGTATTTTAGTAGGTAGGTAATGTTAGTTTTTGTTAGATTAGTTGGATAATGGTTAATGGATAATAAATTTTGTTTAGGTGTGATTTTTATGCTTGTCTTTTTTTGGTGGTGATGATGATGATGATGATGATGGATATTTATTAGTGGTGTTTGAACTTGTGAGGTGGGTTGGGATAAGTTGAGTTGAGTTGAGTTGAGATGAGATAAGATGAGTTGAGATGTGATAAAAAGATTCAAGATGGTATTAAGCTTAAATATCAAGAAATTGTCATCGATAATACCTATCTCCCATATTTAAATTTGAATTTGAATTAAATGATACTTTGTAACTGTTACGAAGTAACAGTCAACATGTCCATATGAGCTTGGACCCTGTAGAAAAGCAAGTCGATTCACATACAAAATTGTATGGCAAGTGACTCGTAGAGTCTCCCCACCTTCAGCAAGCACAGACATATGTTCTGATTGAAATCATGTGAGGGATCTAGGGGATCTAGGGGATCTAGAGGATCTAGAGAGTTAAACTCTAGATCCAGTAGATTCAAGAGATCCAAAGGAATACAGTAGAGTATGAAGTTCTATATAAAGGATAGGTTTCCATTTGTAGAGCTTCGTGCTCAAGATCAATCATTTAGTATATTCTACTATTAGTTACGAATTGCATATCATTATTGTCATTACTTAAGTCCCTGCTTGACGCCTAGTTATAAACCACTTCGAGAGCCTAGAGCACTTCCACGTGATCTAGACGGCTACCCTCGTAACACCAACCTATCGACCAGCAACAAACGGCCCCCCAAAACCCACAGTAGCAGTATTCGTAAACCTAAATTCCCTCACCACCCTAATAGTCCCCTCTGCTACATCTCCCTCCTCCTCCTCCTCCTCATTTCCCCGCTCCTCCCGATTCCAATTCCAGCGATTTTGATTTCCTGCTCCCCAACCTGCTTCAATCGTCGTTCTCATGTTACTTTTTTCTTTTTTGGGTACTAGATCCAAATTGTTTAATCCTTCTAGATGTAATACGGACAATGAGTTATTTTCTTTATAATTTCTCTGTTCAGACTTATGCGTGTGCGTTTGCATATCTTCATTCCTCACATCCTCACTTGGCGAGGGACTTTTAGTTCTTGAGCCGAATCTTCCTCGTGTGGGTTTTGGAACCATAATTACTTCATCGTCATCCCATTCCCTTGGTCCTACTTCCTTGATTCGCGAAATGAGGGATTGTCTTTTTCCTCGTGATCTTGATCTGTCGTGATGAGCTTTTAGATCATTTAATTCTAAATCTGTACTATCGTTGAACGATGAGGTGCCTCTATGAGAAGATATTTTAGTAGATTGACTACGGGCTTGTTGACTGTAGCGTTTGATGATGGGTGCGACAATCGGTAGGTTGGTGACGAGGACTGCGAGGAAGGATTCTCGAAGGGACCATTCGCCTGCGGAGGTTGTTGTACCTAGGGCCTAGATGGGATGGTTTAGTTCTTTGGACTTGTTATAGATGTTCAATGTCACGGTAAGGAAAGATGGACAATTGGGAAGAGTGGGAAGAGATGTGAAGAGGATTTGCGAGATGGGAAATGGAAATGGCATCATTACAGTGGAACCGGAACTTACAGTCAAGAGAGAAACACAGCGTAAAATTCCGAAGATGGTAACAAGAAATCCTCCACTATAAAGTACTAGAAGGAAGATTTTCTGAAATGGTAGCATACCCTTTGTGCTAATAATCGTCTGGATTGTGTTAGCCATGGTTTAGATAAATGACTGGAAAGTTGCTCGTCTAGACGTACAGGAAGAGGTATGACCATGATATACATGTGCGTCAATGTATTAATAGACATAATGAAAGCCATTTGAAAATTGGAATTCCCAGGATAACAGAGATCTGTGATCTGGCATTAGAATGGTTTTAGAATCGACTTGGCTTAAATTACTCACTTCCTGGGTCTGGATAAATTTGCCATTGCTTTTTTAAAGGCAGACATTTACAAAGTACTGCCAAAATAGCTGATAGATAGGTAAGTCCCAAAACCACGTATCCTACTGTAATACGTCGCAATGATCTTTTCTCAGCAGCTGAACTACACCTTGGTGTTAGTCAATATTCAAGTCATACATCGAGACTCAATCTTACATCAAACGGGCATAATAGGTAATCCAACAAGCCTTCAATAACCACATCAATGAAACATAGGTTACCCAATCCCAAATGTGAGTTTTGGCTCCATTAACTCGATAAAGCCATTCTAGAGAATTGGGGTCTAGAGTCTGGCGTTCTTCGTCGGTCATTCCACTATTCGAATAACCTAACCAGCGGGCTACGAGGAAATATGATGAGGTTGCTTCAGCTGTGTATACGAACTATCAATGGAAATCAGAACCAGTATCCCAACATTCTTCAAGGGCGACGAACCAGAGCGCAGAACATTAAACCATCATCCAACTTTAGTTCTCTCCATCCTAATTTCCAAAGTCTTGCAAAAATTCGTATTGTGATAAAAATGACGGCTATGGCCCAACATGTCCATGCCTCGACGACGAGTTTTGAATTGCTCATATCATCTGGGCAATCTCAGATCCAATGACCAGGTTTTCGAAAGCCTTCAACTTCGTAACACCAATACATTGAGGGTGGCACTGCCAAATCCTACTATGGACGAAGCATCAGGCAATAATATATGTAACAAAAGAAAATTGTATGGTCAAAAACTAAAAGAGTGTGGAGAGATAACTAAGAACGAGTGGAGAATAGGCTCCAGGGTCGCTGAAGTAAAAGGTAGATTATATGAAGATGTTGAATCCCCATCCTTATTAAAGCAATATTATATGTAGATGATAAACGAAGCATGGTTTTCTTCAATTCCCTTTCTTAAGAATTGCCACCATTTGACATATTGACATGGAAGTTCCTGGTCAATCTGAATATTGCCTAACCTTGTGTCTCCACGGATCGATAGATTTTGCGCAGATCAAGTCTGGGAATGGATCGCATAAACCATTTCTATTCGTTACAGAAAGCCGTAAGCGAATATCGTCTCATTGTTTCCTCTAGAACATTTGGAAATGGGTTTGAAAGAAGATTTGTTAATGTTTTTAGGTATGGCTGGGTGTGTTTTGAATCTATCGCGGCTCGTGCTGTTGAGATATCGCATATCCATGGTATAATTTGTGGAGAGCTGTCATTTGTTCAAGTCCACTTAGATTTTTACATCTACCCATGAAATGGGAATAGCTTCAGATAAAATCATGGGTGCCCCACTTGTCACCGTCCGAAGCCCGAGGCAATTCTCCTTGCGTAGGCTTTAGATGATGATCAGACGGATGATTGGATCCTATTTCAAGCCCTGGATGATTGATTAAGACCAATCAACGAGCGGCAACATATGAAAGTTTGGAGAAATATCTCATAATCATAGAAGAACTAACTTTCACAGTCTAACTTGGGGGTTTATGATTGCAGCTGAACAAAATGAATGACGACGTGAGAGAAAACAAGGGGCGTACCTGGAATCGATTACTCCGTAGTACTCCATTCATTTGTCAATGTGAACCATCCCTTGCCGTCCAACGCATCCAGTAACTGCCCTAGAAAGATACCAATGACAAATATGGTGCATGTCAATTTATGATCATGGATTGTGAAGCCTTAGATAAGTTGATAAGTTGATGGCCTGTCATGATCACCTAACCAAGAACTACTTTCATAGGGCTTATAGAACCCATAATGAGGATACCATCTCAGGGGATCCATCGTTCTTCGCAATACTAGCCCCATTCAGACAGATCCGATAAGCTGGAATCGATGTTGTTGGAACTCCTTTAATTCTGAAGGACGTTCAAGACGAATTGCCCAACGAACCAACCATCAGCTACATTAGTGATTTTGAGGATTTTATATTAAATTGAGTTCATGTGGTTAAAAGCTTGTCAAGTGAGGATCAAAGAAAATCCAAAAGTAGGCTGTTCCGCAACTTTCATGGTTCAAACGGTTGCGCCGAGCCGCTCAAGAACCAACAGACTGGGTTTTCCTTGTTTGTTTGCAATTGATTTCTGTGCCGTGGTGGGTCTTTGAGGTGTTCAGTATCCGTTTGATCCGATCATTATAACTCAAAGTATTGACAGGCACTCGAAACCTCGAATAAAGATTCTCGTCGGGTCTGGTGGTCATTGATGAAACATGTAAAGATTTATCCCGTCTTTAACCATGATATTCCCAGCACATGTTCATCACGTGACCATCACGTGATTTATCACATGACCTCGATCATTAATTTCTGTTGCATATCTGATTTGGTGAAGAACCATTCGGCTGAAACCTCTTGGCTAAACAAACCTTTCATTATGAACACTTACGTCGACATGTCTCAGTCGGGTGAACTACTTACTTGGGTAGTATTCGCTGAACGTATCGGGCCATCATCAACGCGAAGTAAACGGTAGTCGAAACACCTCGTTGCCCGTCGCGCAAGACGCAAAAGAACCATGGGGGTTTGGTTTGGATTAGTTGTCATCCACCATAGAAAGATCAAAACCCCAAACACCAGCATGTTTTTCGCTCGGAACTTTATTCATCAAGTGTGAGGAATGCGCGGTGAGGGGCGAACCTTAACCTTTCTATATACTCGGCGGCAAAGCACAGCGGTGAAGATACAATCAATCTATCTTATGTATACTTCGCCTCAATCATTTATCCATCTTAAACTTCTTTTTTCGTCGATAACTTCTTCATTCTCTATATTCGACGTCACTGAGGTATACTTTACGATTCTTCAAGGTTTTCAAATTTAACCTTGGTTTCATCATAAGGCTGGAAACGCTAGAATCATTAGAAACTCTAGAAACTCTAGAATTTTCTAGCTTTGGCCTTGTGCCCCGTTCCGAAAAGACGTCAGAGAAAAGAGCTTCATGACTCGAGTTTAAACACGAGACTTTTGAGATAATTTTGCGGATGAAACTTTTTGCTTATACAGTTTTCTAAAAAGTTTTTTTTTTCCTGGGTATAATTTTGTTTTGGTGTTTCATTGTTTCCAGTCTTTTTTGAAATCATACTCTGTATCTACTTGGAACGTCCTTCGACTTGCAGGAATAGGAAGTTGCGTATATACGAGGAACGTCACCTAAACCGAATTATATCAACAAAACCAAAAAAAAGAAACAGAAAACAGACAATCAAAGTCAAAATGTCAATCGCCGACCCAGAAACTCAGTCCTCATCCTCACCTCCAGTGTCAGCAACCCCTCCTTTCCAATTTCACCAATTCCCGCTCCTCCCTCTCGAACTCCAGCGTAAAATCTGGCGTGCCCTATTTCCTCCTTCCCGCACCATATCCCTTTCCTACAACATCACCTCCTCGGAAGCTCTCTCTTCGCCACCACCCATAACGCTCAGTATCTGCTCTGAATCACGTGCCGAAACCCTCCTCCTCTACACCCTAATATATAGATGCGAATTTTCCGGATCCCGTGGGAAAACAGGTGGAAATTGTGGTATTCTTCTCAGTAAAGCCATGAGACAACCAATTTGTATTGATCCCTCGATTGATATCGTTGGGTTTTCCGCCGGAGATTTATGTGGAACGGAAAATGTAAAGGCGAGAAGGAGATTCGTAGAGTGGATGCGATTTTTGGACGGGGTTGATAAGAGAATCTTAAGGAGGACGAGGGGAATAGAGTTAATGGGACTAGATTGGGAAAATACAATGTATGTGCATCTCAAGTATCAGGAGGAATTGAGATGTAAGGAGATGGGGGAAGAATATGAGGGTCAAGGGGGAGTGGAGTGTTGGGAGGAGCTGAATTATGGGGCCTTGCTTAGGTTTGCAGGGTTGCGCGAAGTGAGGTGTAGATATAAGCATGTGGAGTATATGGGGAATTTTGAGGAGCAGTTGAGGAAATTCTTGGGATTTCATCGGGAAGTTTGGGGTGGGACCGTCCCTTCTGTTAAGCGTGTGCTGTGAATGGCGTCGGTGTAAGATGGAAGATGGAAGTTGAGGCATGATATAATTTTTGGAGTAAAGCTGGATTTGGAACGGGAGAATCAGGGGTTCTGGTTTATTTTAGTTTTGGTTTGGTTGGGTTTGGTGTGCTTTGTGTTGGTCTTATGGTTGGGGAATTATATATCATATTATTTATTTATTTGATGTAGCGTAATCACTCGATGTACAGATAGATACATGTACTATTACATACTTCTCTCCTGCAGAACTCTAGTAAATATTCATGAGCATTAACTTTATTGGCACGTCCAATCATTAGATTGACTTGTTTGTGTCACTGTCTTTGTATGAATTTTGATGGTGTTTATGTTGCACGAAATGGTCCTGTTTGTGAGTAATGTATGAAGGAAACTTAGGGTCATACGATGGTTACACAGAAAATACTCTGAATGTTGAAAATTAATCATGTTATAAGGTCAAAAGAGGAGATGAGTTAGGTAGCAAAACGTGCATTATCATTATTCATCTGCTTAAGTTCTCGTTATTCATCACCTCCATTATCCGCCTTCACCATTTCCATCTCCATCCAATCCTTCATTGTTCCATTCTCACATCGCCGTTCCATGTGTTGCATTCAGTATAGTCCTTCACCTCCTAACCTCCTCATCTCATCTCATCCCATCCAATTTACAATCCACAAGCACTTGGGTCAAGTTGGACATAGGAAGCATCGATTCTTCCCAAAGCGACTGCTTGACCACCAGTCAAAGTATCCATAGCCCTCTGACCAATGTTGAATCCAGCCGCGGCATGATCAATCGCAAGCACATTGATGCTTCTTCCTGCATAGCTCAATTGATAACAGCTTCCACAGCTGGCACTGTTCCATCCGCCGATAGTGGATGCACCACCAATGTTGGGGAAGTTTGGCAAGGATCCTTGGGTGCTGAAACCCTTTCTGATGAGTCCGTTGCTTCCGTCGGAACAGGAGACAACGTCCAAGGAGCGGGATGCATCATCGTATCCGGTGTCGTAGGAGACGGTGATGGCGAGGGCACTGGTGGCCATGGTGAGGAGGGTGGCGATGGTTGGGAATTGCATTTTGATTGTTGTTGGTTTGGGTTTGGAGTTGGTTTTGGTGGTGGGTTGATTTGTTTGTTTGTTTGAAGTCTGAAGGCTTTGTAGATATCTGATGATGCTGTGAGTGATGATGTTATTCCTTCTCAGCGCACATCAATCCTTATATACATTCTACCCCTCCTTCCAGCCCCATCTCTATCTACATCATTGTCTTTCAATACTCGTGATAGCGGAGTACACCAGCAGCTGCGCCGTCAATTACGAGAAAACATCTAAAAACATCACATCGCATCCAAATCATCTGATGCAATGCGTAGTAAAATGCGGAGAAATAAGCATAAGGTTGAGGCGTCGGAAATCGTGTACGGAGTACGAGATGGTCGATAATGCGCGCGATGCCAAGATACGAAGTACCCGCATTTGCTTGGTAGACACCGCTTTTATTCTCGTATTTACTCCATCGTCTATGAGGGGAGCAGCAGCTTATCGTCGATGAATACTCCGTGCCTGCCGGTGATGATGATAAACTCAAAGTCTCAAACTCATCAAATCAATAGACGTGCTTACATAAAGTATGGTCAAGTCTGATTTGTTGTTACGACGAGTACGAGAATTAAGAAACCAGTACGGGATGTAAGTATACGAGCTTGGTTGTTCAGCAACGTTTGATTCCGTACATCAGATGCATCAAATGCATCAAATGCAGCACCATCTAAATATAGATCTCAAGTACCACTCACTGGTAGAGCAAATGCCGATCTCCTCGTATTCCAATGATCATTCCACACTCCATAGATTCTTTTCTATGCTATGCCAATGCTCACCAAGCTCAATTGCCTTCGATACCCGTCACACAGAACACAATCTATTTCCGCATTTAACGATGCCGAGTAACGACTGTGGGATTATGCTCCGTAAGTTGTGTGAGGAGTGGTGTGTTGTCAGATAAAGTGGTGAAGTGATGGACTGATTAAGTGGATATGTAGTGGCACGAGTGGCTTTAAGCCACTCGTGTTTACTTTTGGTGGCTGGGGCATTATTAGTTAACCGGTTATCTTTCCCTTCCCCGCAATTTTGGTGAGATGGAATGTCGGCGACAACATCAAGAACGTTCACCAACAATCAAGAACAACACTATGGCAATGAAAGAGAACTGCGCTGGACATCTAATTCATATTCAAGCCAATACCTGACCAGCAGTTAGAGATTGATCTTCAATGATCCGGTTGAATCCTCCTTCAAGGCCACATTCGCAAAATTTACTGTGCTCCACGATATCCAATGCTAATTGACGTAGGGTCATTATGCGCACAAAATAGCTTGTATTTTGTATCCATATATAGCTTCCGGTTGAACCTTATATTCTTCTCTCGTCCAAACCTTTCCTTTCCTTTACTCCACCTACTATACACACCTTTTCTCTAACCGGCACGGATTTCAATCATCAACAATAGGCAATCGAACTTCCCCTCTAGTATTGGACTCCGGATTGTCCTTGAAACATTGATGGAATATGCGAGAGTCGGGACAAAGTCTATAGTGGAAGTCCATGTTGCAAGTGGACAATGAGATGAGGAATTAATTCCATGATATCCGCATTGCATTACCTATTCGGTCTCCCAACAATGATTTTCAATTCATCCACCACAATTGATCTCGGTATTATCAAGCAGATCGATTATGGATCTCTCTAGTTCATCTCAATGTGCTCACATTATCTACAAAGAAAAGAAATACCCATCCGCACGACAATGAATAGTGCATACGACCATCATTCGGATCCAACCACACGTTCTGTCTGCATCATATGTACAAAATCCTTTGCTTTCAAGTTTTTTTTTTACGATACTCCAAGGCTCCTTCAGCTTTATAGATAAAATTTTGATTCTATAATTTCGCATGGATCTCTAATATGCAGGAATCGGAGTATATCAACCATGAAAGTGTGCTTGGGATCAACTCTTCTTGGTATCCCTTCCGAACTCTCCAATCTCTGTCGACTGAGTCTCATGTACGACGTCCTAAACAGAGTATGGTGGATGCAGAGATGCGTGTTGATCAAGCCCGAGGAGACATGGCTTGCGGAATAGGAAGACTGTAACTGCCAAAACGAGTGGCTTGCTCGTGGAGTTGAATATCTCTATTGAGCGTTCAGGACATGGACGTTGACTTTCAATATCGTGCTAAATGATTGCCAAGAGGGCGTGGTCTGAAACCACTATTCTCGCTAAGATGTGTGCCCAGCTTCGGGCACCTTTCAGAGCCTTCTTCTTTGGGAAGAGGAAAACAGGAGTCGGAAAGCATAGCAGCGAGATATGCCTTAGGTTGAGTAGGCCATGATCTTAGCTGACTTTCATGAAGGGAATTGAGTCTGGAAAAGCTATCCCACTGCGTCCATAACGATCGAAACATGTCTGAAATGGTTCCTTCACAATCAAATTGCTTATCTACGAGGAAGACAAGCGTCATACTTGCCAAAGTTACATATCCTGTTATTTTCGGTCTTTCTACATTGTCGCATCTTCTCCGTTCTCAATGTTCATTGATGAGTCTCACGATCTTCCCTCCTACCTTGGGCTACAGGTTCTAGAACTGCACATGAGAAGTGCCGCGATTGGAGAAGGCTGTTCCTCACTGAAGGTAACTTTCCAACTATGAAAATCAGAAAGTTCACCAGGGCCCAGGATTTGCTCTCCAGCTGGTCTTATCCTAGAATTGAGTCCAGGATTTCTTGACTCAGGAATAAAATTCATCTCTATCAATTTCCAGTGAAGGTCGTTTTTGAAAGAAGGGGAAAACCGCTAGGGAGTAGCTTCTGTCCCAGAAAATGAGAAAATGAGAAACTCGGTTTGCTACTTCTAATAGTACGATATATTGAAATGGAATATCGAGGCTTTCGGAATCGTCATGAGATTAATGTTTGACCCAATTTTGCCTCTGCTTGATTGAGGTTCGCCGTTATGATTCTAGGTGGTACTCTCAGGTAGGAGGCGATGAGACCTCAGCCGATAATTGAATCTATCTCTTCGAGAAATAAATCCAGGAACGGTACTGGATCCCAGTAATAAAACCTGCATATGCTCATACATGCGTCGAAACTACTTTCTGTACCATGGAATATCTTACCAAGCTCACCCTTTCTTCCAGATCAAGTACGGAACTGATCATAAACTTTCTTTCGTGGCCGTGTTCATCAGCAACTTTATCGACAATAATTTTGCCAGAGACCTTTTTGGCCTTTTAATTAGCTCCATCGACGCTCCTTCGACTACCAGATGACTTTTGCCTCCACAACCATGTTCCCTCCTCATCGCAATTGACGGATGCAACCTTGGAAGCTAGAGGTGCACGTGCTATTCTCATCACAAACAATGACCATAGCATAAGACGGTGCCATCCAACATTCTTTTCCTTCAGGGTAGCTGCTCTACCAATTCCCCATGGGAAGACAACTCAATTTTAACGGGGCGTCCATTTTAGCCGTGCGATGGTGACGCTTCTAAGTACTTTTGCTGGTACTTCAATAAGATAGCTTCCATAGTCCAGCAGATACGGCAGAATCGCCCAATCTTTCCCACTTTTCTGGCTGCCAAAATCACGGATTCAAAACAGATGGAACTTGGGCCTTGAATTATGACTAGGAGCCGGAGTAGTCGACTTCCAATGTATAGACGTTGTGACTGTAAGGTAACAACTCGAAACTTTGAATAGCGCCGCAACAGATTCCAAAGCCTTCTCAGCTGAGCATATTGCAGTAATCTGGTCTTTGGCCAAAAGTTGTACCGGAGATCGAAGCGGATATCCGGGTTGTAGTTCGTGTAATGCTTGACTTTCATGCAGGCTGGGCTCCAGGAGTATCGAGGGCCATATTCCGGAGCGAAGTTGTCGTCGGTACCTTGTAGGCAAGTCTGGAACAATCTGGTGTTCTTTATTTCAATTAATTTATTACCAAGGTTGGAATGAGGCGTGGTTTATATTTCCTGAGTCCAGCGAACGCCGAATAAAAGTATCTTATCTACTTTGATGATCTCGAGGCAAAGATGTTCGTCAACAGAATTTTGGTACGTATTCAAAGGCGTCAGTGCCCTCCCCTTCTGTTTTACGAATATGGGTGCCTACTCGAGGGCTATCTGCAACTTTCTCAAAAACCATTCTTGTTTAGTTCAATCTTCTAGTCCTGTCTTGCCGCTCTTTATGAAAAATATATAAGTATCAAAGTGTGCACAATACAAGCAAGATCTACTTCTTTGATAACAATAGTCAAAAACGAGCTCAGAGATAGAATTAACTCATAACAAGCAATCACAGCTCTGCTAGGCTGCGCAACGGGTACCTGCGGGGTGGATGTTGTTTTAATGGATAATATATAGATAATTTGCTTACAGAATAAATAATTAGAAAATTTGAATAGATAATCTGCAAAACGAATTATTTATAGATTGTAAATAGTAATAAAAATAACATTCAATAAAGCCTTTGAATTGGATAACAGCAACTTATAATTTTATATTGAAAACATCAATCACACCTTACCAATTCTTCCTCTAGGAAATGTAAGAGCAGCCATTCCTTGTTTTAATACCATTCCAAAGAAGAGCAGCGCTACAAGAACCCGAAGGGCTTTTCCCTAATACTACCATCACAACGTCATGGATCCTTTACTTCGCACCAAGTCACCTTCGAAGTCAACAGAACCTCTTAAAATTTACTAATTTTCTGCACTCGCATCACAAGCTACCAGGAAATTCGATTCAAATTATCTATACCACCTTCCCCAATATGACCAGTCAGTCTTATCCACCGAATGTCTCAAATCTTCCCAACATTAGTAAATTGTGGAAGGGAAGTAGTCCTTCAATGTTTCATCGAAATATTTTTTTTGCCTTGGAATCTTCACAAATACAAGTACAAGCAGCTTTACCACCGGTGTACCAATGACTGATACATTAATCAAGGATCTAGAGAATACGTGTAGGATGTCGAAGTTCCGAGTACATGGTTTGGTGAAGCAAGAGGGGTTTTATAATTAATGAAATTTATGGGGATTTTTACTCCTTGGCTGTGCTCTTTTACGAGTCTTTTCAGTGATATATATCTTGCAATTGCAGTGGATATAAAAGTTCCTATGGTTTGTGTCTTGATTGAAGAGCTTAGAGGTGAAGTGCTCTTTGAATACCTTTGATAATAAACTTCCAGGGCGGACGACAAAATAGCAATGGGTTTATGTATGGTGCAGTAGTAGAGTGTTCTTTAGGAGTTTCCATACATGATATATTTTCATGGAGGTATTAAGCTGAGATGAGTTCGAAAATGGAGGATTGATTTTAATGTATGATGAGGATTATGACCTCGGGAAAAATAGATCCAAAATCCCGAAATCTGCATATCTTGTTTCATTTCATTCATCAATGGAAATTCACCCTTCTTTTTCATTCTTGAGAATTTTTTTAACCATACACAATGCACGGTATGTGATGATGAGAACAGCCTGTAGGAAGAGAAGATAATGAGAACTACCGTAATTTAATCCTACCTATCTGCACTTGACTTCGATGCAAAGCAAGCAGTACGTGATTTTATTCTTTTCTGTCCTATTATAAGATACTATATCTAGGTATTGAATATACTATTCAATTCAGCTTTTATATGCTATTCTAAATGGTTATTGACTACATACTTAATATTAAAGTCCGTCTATTATTCTTGATAATTAGTAAGGATATGAAAATCATATAACTGAGAACCATACAACATTTCAAAAAATCGCTGACATAGATTTATGTTCTTTTTTTCTTCTCGAATCAAACCACTTGACTTGGCTTTTGCCCGGTGAGCATTTCTCAGCGACTGACACTAGGAACTTGAGAAAGATACGCAAACGCAGGCAATACTATCTTTCTCTCTGATTTATTGATATCAAAAACTCGGTATGAGGACTTACTACTCAGGCACGCTTCTTGAATATCCATCATACACTTTGATACTAGAATCCAACGCCATGAATTATGAAGTTGTTTCACTACGCTTCTAGCTGTCCATTCATCTATCCATCTCTCCAACCTAACCGCACACATTCAATCTTGTCCCAACCAAGACAGATAGATCGTCACAACTTGCCCTCCTATTTCATGTCCAAAATAACAACAAAGATTATTTTATCTTACGCATGTCACCGAATTCCCAAACTCAAGGGAATATAACGACGATACTCGCACAACTCCTCTCTCTCATGATTTCCAAGAATTAGAAACTTTATATCCACATTTATATCTCTGGAATTCCAATATCGATACCGATAAGTGGCTTCTTAATGGCCTATACAACGGAGGAATTCCAATAAATGCAGAGTAGTCTCTGCGAATCTTCTGATACATGGTGATGTGGTAAATTTGGTTGATCTAGTGTATAAATTGGAGTGAATGATTTGAAGGAGATTTTCTTTATTTAGAAGGCTCCATTTCTTTAGAGTATATTTCCGCCGAAAAGCTCTTTAAAAACCGCGGAGGGAAGATATGATATACAAATTTTCAATCACTCCTTCTTGAGTATGGAAGGAGGAAGGAGTACAAAGAGACTAACAATACCTCTAACAGTACCTCCTATATAAATCTATAAGAGGCTCAACACTAAACATTACAGCCTCAATACACAACAACTTTCCAGGAAATAACCATGTAGCTGCGGCTTTTTCATGCTGAACTACCGGTATATCCTCACCGGTATCTTCTCAATAGACGGTACTACACCGCTAAGGCCGGCCGCCTTTTCGTCTCCTCTGATATCTGACATCTATTATGCATGTAATAATCCCTCCATTTCAATAACTAATCAATAATCAAATCACTAGAAATATAAAACGGATCTCAAGAGCCCTAACTCAAACCACGCCATGAAATATGAAAGCAAATAGAAAATACTGACCATGAAAAGTTGACTTGACTTGATCCCAATAAAGAACTTTATGGGAACCTCCGCTACAGTATACTTACTGTGCTTCATTTATAGCACAATAACAGCTTTAGAAATCTACACTCTTCTTGATTATATAACCCTTGGAGCACCACAAAAAAATATCACGCATACATAGAATATATTGAAAGGGTTTTCCTACCAAGGTGTATATATTCTCTGAATCCTTTAATCTGCATAAATACACGCCGCCAATTAAACTCTCTCACCGAATCGATGTTTAAATCAAAACCACGCATACTTTGTAAGTTGGCTACCGTATTAAGTATGAGAGCATATCCCATATGATCATTAATCTTAAAAGTAAACAATGGTATAGAAGGGTTCACCGGCAGTTCCTGAACACACACACTGGCCAACTAAACCATCTAACCTAATCAGACGATTTTTCAGCGAAATTCATTTTTAAGATAGAATTTAGGTTCAATACCTATTGAGTTCTGAATGTTGAAAGGCGGTGATTTAAAAAAGTTAGACGATATATTAGATTGTAAACTTACTGTGAGTGAGGGTATTTCCAAATGTGCATGTTAAGGGGGTGATCTAAGGTTAAATAAACTAGACCTAGACCTAGACCGTTGGGTTAACAGGTGACCCGACCCTTTTAAGTTATCTACCTACCTAGGTACTGAGTATCCATCTCTCCTCCCCACAATCAGGTTTCTAGAATTCCAAATCTGAATACAGTATTCCGTAGATAATTCTGTACTTTGAGCATTCATTCCTCGAAGAATAATCTATATACCTACTAAATCTCCTAAATAATAACTTAACTTCCAAACACCATAAATAATTATAGCAATAAATCCCGAATCACCGAGAAGCAACATAGACAAGATCACATAATCTACCCAATACTTCTGATAAACTCATCCATCCGTATTTATCCGTAATTCCATCGTCATGCCGGTAGTCAAGTCGCCCGCTCGGCTAATAAATACCCATCACCCCCATATGTATGGTACCCGGATCATATTATTAATGAAACAACCCGTCGTCAATAGTGGAGCATTGCATCCCTGCGCCAATAATTTACACTTTCTAGATCCTGTCATTGGAACTTATTATCTGTCTGTCAGACTCTGTCTGGACTTTCTGTTGATATTGATATTCGATATCGATATTGACATGGACTTACCGCTTGAGTAAGCTAAGCTTTTTTGACATGAAGAATGAGTTTACCGAAGTGGGACGTTTTCCTTTTTTGATGCTTTTATGGAGTTTGTGAAATCTTATTTGATTCATTTTGTTTATTTCATCATGTTAAAGTTTGTTTGGTGAATTAACCTACACTACATCCCACCTTTGGAGTTCTCAATCTTTACTTGGTAACCTTACTCTGCTATCCGCTCAATATAACCGGCATTCGCATATCTTTACTTCTATAGCAAGTCTTACACATCTACAGCATAAACCAACATCATTCATCCCCTATAAAGCATCTCTTCATCCCAATCCAGCAACCACCCCGAAATTACATCTATTTCCAACCTCTCAATCCACGATGCGGGGTAGTATCCTAGTATGCATCCAAACACAGTGGATACAGCCAGAACTTAGCACGGAGATATAATATGGATACACTCAAGGATACACAAATAATAAAATCAAGGATATAAATTACAGAGTACAAGTTTGTATAATGCACCTCAGGGAAGAAATAATCCATCCATCTACACGGAAGATAAATCCGTTTTACATATAAAGTAAAGTTGTGGAGTCGGACGTCCAGAACGACGGTTTTTAATATATATGGCGGAGTTCATGGTATCGGACCGGATGGGGCACCCTTTTCTTCCGTCGAAAATTTGCGGGGAATATTTCTTTGAGATATTATATTATTATATTTGAAATTTGAAGATTGAATGAATGAATGAATGAAACTTACCTAATGTAACTTGCGTGAAACGGGCGCGAGTTTAGCACAAAGTACCCCTAAATGAATGAACAGAGATCAAGGATCTTCTGTTCATCAAAAGCTAAGAGTAAAAAGCTAGAGCTACTCCGAATTCCGTATAGAGTATGTGGATTTAGTAATAGATAGATGCATGATGTACTTTTAAGTTTAACTTGATATGTACAGTGCTCTGAAGATTACCAATTTGAGATAGATGAACGGGTAATGAACGGATGATGAGATGAACGGGGATACAAGGGAAAGAAAGGTAAGATGTGCAGAGTTCGTAAGGTAGGGAAGATATGGTTAAATAACCCATGTTGATCGTATGTAAAGAGCACATATCTTGATATATAAAATCCATCTCTCTACTCCAAATCCCATTCTCATTATCAATCCTCATCCTCCATTCACATCCCCAACTCGAACTCAAACTCAAACCCAAAACCGCAAAAATGGTCTCAACCAAAACTCTCCTCTTAGCAGCCTCAACCATCGTCTCCGTATTTTCGGCCCCGGCACCCGCACCCGTGAGCCCAAACCTCAATGTCCTCGAGCGAAGATTAACTACCTCCTCTACCGGTACCAGTGGAGGATACTATTATTCCTTCTGGACCGACGGAAGCGGCGGCGTCACATATTCCAATGGAGCCGGCGGAAACTATGCCGTAAGCTGGACTGGAAACAAGGGAAACTTTGTAGCAGGAAAAGGATGGGCTGTTGGATCTGCACGGTAAGATATTTTTTCCTTTCCCATAACTCACAATCCCAAACAACCCACTAACTAACACCCTTCAGCTCAATAACCTACACCGCAAACTACAAACCCTCGGGAAACAGCTACCTCTCCGTCTACGGCTGGACCACCTCCCCATTGATAGAATACTACATCGTCGAAGACTTCGGGACCTACGACCCCAGTTCCGCCGCCACCGAAATCGGCAGCGTAACATCCGACGGCTCAGTCTACAAGATTCTCGAAACAACACGTACCAATCAGCCTTCTGTGCAGGGTACCGCGACCTTCAAGCAGTACTGGAGTGTACGGGTTAATAAGAGGACGAGTGGGACGGTCACGACGGCGAATCATTTTGCTGCGTGGAAGAAGTTGGGCTTGCAGTTGGGGAGTACCTATAATTATCAGATTGTGGCTGTGGAGGGGTATCAGAGCAGTGGGTCCGCCAGTGTGACGGTTTCTTAGGTGTGGAGTAGAACTTTAGAATGTGTGGTTGTGTTCTTGTAAGCAGCCTTAGGGGGGAGGCCCGAACCGCATAGTAGAGAAGAGAAGAGTAGACTTTCGTCTTGTACATATTTTAAAGATTCAGATCTTCGCTGATCGGATATTGTCAATTACATGGACATATACTATAACCATCAACGAATATCCCAATATGAACTTTGTGACGATGATATCTATTTACTTATTTCATTACTTCATACAATCACAATTGTATTCATCCATCTCATCAATCATCAGCCTATCGAGCTATCCCTGTCACTCTCAATTCCTTTCTTCCTGGGTATATTATCCTTCATCCTTTCACGCCATTTCATTTCATCCAACTTGAATTGTCCTAGCATCCGCATTTCCATCCCATCCCCATCCCGAACACGTCCTTTCATTCAAAGCAAAATTCGCATGCCATGCCATTAGGGTATAAGGAGCTCCTTCAAGCTCCAGAACAAACGCCACGCGAAATCGTCATCCATCCCTCGATCTCCATTGCTGTTAATGTCACGAGCCCTGAATCGCAAATTACTATATGCAATGTTTCCATAACGCCCCCAAATGCAATTTTTTCCATCGTACGAATTCGTTGTCCTTTTATCAGTCCCATAATTCCATCCAAATGCTTCATTTCATCTTACAATCATTGATCATTCCACCTCAATCCTTTTGATTTGCTCTCCAGTTCTCCAACATCTTTCTTACCTCCTTCATAGCCACTGGTTTCGTCATAAAAAGATCAATACCACAAGTCCTCGCCTTTTCCACATCATCTTTACCAGCTAATCCTGTAAGCGCAACCACAAGTGCTTCATTTTTTTTCTTTCCCACCCCAATCTCACCATTTGCTATTGCTCTTTCTTGTCTTGATTTCTCCAATTTCCTGATCTCCTTTGTTGCATCAAATCCATCCAGCACCGGCATACTTATGTCCATGAAAATAATATCATACCCTTCTGACCGTTCCTCAAATTTCCTAACAGCTTCAAGTCCATTTTCTGCCTCGTGGACTGTCGTATAGCCTAGCCTTGTTATGAAATGGCGGAGGAGTTTAAGATTTATCATGTTGTCGTCTACTAGGAGCAAGTTAGGCGCGAATGGATCAGGGGTTATGGCAGCAATTGGGAATTGGCGTGTGCTTGTTGTTCCGCCGGAAGAACCATCTGGTTGGCTAACCTCACTTCCAACTGCTGCATTATGTTGAGAAGTGTAACCAAAATTCGCTGCTGTGGGAGTATCGAGGGTCTCATCTGAGGAAGGTTCTCTTCGCGGAGGAGAGGTGTTACCCCCAGGAGGTAGAGGAAAGGGAAATTCTTTTCCTTTTTCAACAAGCGCGTTTGGAGTTGGTGATTCAATGGCTTTCCGAGCGTTCTCGCTATCAGCCGCCATTCGACTATTGTCCAGTACTTCACCTCCATGAGGAGAGATAAGTAGATCCTCAAAGACGTTGCTAAGGTCGTTAGTGCTCGCTTGTCCTGTAGTAGATAGATCCGGTGTGACAGCGTGACCACTCATAGTTGCCGCTCCATCAAGGCAAGATCGTAGTGCTCTAGCGAGTTTTCGCGGACCCACTGGCTTTGCTACCACAGTGACATTTCCTCTGATGCCAGCTTCCGAGAATGAGTGGTTGAACCGTGAAGAGTGTGGCGATAATACAAGTATCGATGGTTTATGCTTTCGAGGAAGTATCTTGCAAAGATTCACGAGAACAGATAAATCCGGAGCGTTGGCAAGGATAATATCTGGGTTTGCTGATAATGGCACGATCTTCAAACCATACCAATTCGTGAGAAAGTTCCTGACAGACGCATGGAGAAACCTTCCCTTCTTCGCAATCACAGGATCCAACGTGGGAGGATTGAAATTAAAGAGTCCTATTTCGCGGCCACCTATTTGATTTCGCAATAGTGATATAGATTCATCTGCCTCGCGCAACAACGAGGTTACAGCTTTGGGTGTCACAGGTAGCGATGTATCTTTTGGTATTTCGCGAAGAAGTGGCAAGGTTACTCTGACCTCTAAAGGAAAAATAGATTAGCACTGTATCAACATGATATATTTGTGCGGCTGGAAATTTCATGGTTACTCACCAGTACCACGTCCAACCTCACTATCGATGGTGATGTCTCCTTCAAGTAGATTGATAATACTCCTCACAATGGACAGTCCTAATCCAGTTCCACTGGAAAGGGTATTTTCCTGTGCAAAGGGGGTGAAGAGCTTCGATCTAAGAAACTCGCTAGATATGCCCTTTCCAGTGTCCGTTACGGTCAAGACTACCATAGATCTCGGAGCCTTCTCGCCTCCAGAAGTGGTTAGATCCTCTAATTGGGCTGTCTCCAACTTAACACGCACATAACCGTGAGAGGTATACTTCAACGCGTTGCCGAGTAAGTTCATGATAATTCTACGGAATGCTCCAGGTTGTGTGGTAAAGTTGTAGTCATCTCGGACAATGTCTAAAATGACTGATACTTGTGGAGACTGGCTTGCTGGAGGTGGTATGGCAAGAGATGAAGTTGAATGTCGTTTCGATTCGGAGCTTTTGTCGTGTATGTCATGAACCATATCAAAAGTTTTCGCCGTCCCATTCTGAAACACGTAACCAGCAAACACACTCTCAACCACCTCCTCGCAGAGTACTGCTACATCCACAGGCGCAAACAAATTTATCATGGGCAAATCAGATTGTTGTAAAGCCAGGGGACCAGAATTACTCGACTGTGATACCCGTTTTGCCGTACCTCGACGATTTCTGCGCCAATTTTTCTCAAGACTACTAACTTTAGAAAAGTCTAGAATATGATTCTGATAAAATTTATCAGCTGTTTTCAAAAGAAAGTATAGAAATCGCGGAGAGAAGAGGGAAATAGAGATAGGATGTTAGGCGCAGAGTTTAGGGGTGAAGAGGGCGGAACTCACAATGGTATCTAACAGTGTGCGGCCACAACTGTCAATTGTCTCAACAAGTTCTTGTGCTAAATTTGGTAAAGAAAGATCATCCAATATCTCAGCAGATGCAAGTATTCCATGCAGTGGACTTCTCAATTCATCTTAGGGTTGGGATTAGGGTTAGTCTACTTTATGGTTAGGATTAGGCGATGCTTACGAGATATGCTTCCAATAAAGTCACTTTTTTTCTGATCAGCAACTTCGGTACTTATGCGAGAACATTCAGCCATGACGCTATTGCCAAACGCACTGAGAAACGATAATTCATTCTGCTTAGATAGAATACGAGTGGGCTCTGTTGACCAAACACAGCATGCACTAAGCCAACGAGAGCGACCAGCATCCCAAAGTGGAACAAACAACAATTGGCGAACACCAGGAAAATGCGTCGACAAAAACCTTGCATCCGCTGCAGCTCTAGCAATCTTGTTCTTTCCTCGTGTCGGATTCCTGCTTTCTTTTGCGGAACCGCGATAGCCCTTGAGAATTTCATCATCTGAGGCTGAAGACATGGATCCGTCCGAGTCAAAAGTCCATAGCTTTCCGCGTGGGTACCGGCGCAAAAACTGATGTAATGATTTTTCCTCAAAAGTTAGGAAGGAGTGAGTTCCAGGGTATGCATCACCATTAATTGAAGATGCCTCAGGGGTGGAGAATCCCAAGATTTCTATTTCTCGTGTTGGGGACATGGTCGACGACCGAGTGAAGGACCTTTCCCCACCACCTGGGTGTCGCGAAATCGAGGATCGAGAATTAAGTCCGGTTTGAAAGTCATCGTCACCACTCGTCTGGCTATCAGTAACAGATGGCTCTTGAGTAGTGGGTTGCGCAGAATCACTGCTGAATCCTTTTTGTGCATCGTAGAATACTGCTCCACCGTCTACCTCAAATGCCTCTCTGATGAGATTGGAAGCGCGAGAGAATAGCAGCTTTAGAGCCGATGCCTCGGTAAATTCTTCATCCGGGGTATCGGTTTTGCACATATCATAGGGTGATTGCTCAGTTGTCGTAGTTTCTCCAAAGGATGAATGCTGTGTCATGGACTCAATCTCTGGTCGTGCACCGCGCAATGAATTGGACCGAAGAGATGCCAAGCTGGAGATATCCTCAGGCTGCGTGAAGCCAAGCGAAGTTGAGCTTACGTACCCCTTTTCCTTACCATTGCTAAGAGCAAGTGAAGCAGTACTTGACATTGCAGAGCCTTTCGTTGATGATGATTTTGACTTTTGTCGTCTGATAGCGGTGTCAGTCTCAAACTGGCCAACAATCTTTGTACCTTCTCCATCTTCTGCCTCCATGTCTGCCTCTTCTAGTTCCGCACGGCCCTCTACAAATGATGCGAGGCCTCGACTCATTTTCATGCCGCGTCGATGCTCTTCCACCTCTCGAGTCAACTCCAAATGCTTCATGACAGTAGTCGCCATTGTACCCATGAAAGAGATCTCATCCTTGGACAATCCTGGTCGAGCATGACTATCAACAACGAATAAACTTCCGATCGGTATGCCCCGCTTGGTAATGAGCGGGACTCCTGCATAAAACCTGAGAGACGGAGGCTCGGTAACAAAAGGAAGTTGATTGAATCGCTCATCCAATGTTAAATCATTGACAATGAATGAAGGATACTCTTCTCCTAATACTGTCGGGGCAGTCTCAATGGTCCTGTAGCAAAGATTAAACACAATTGACGACTTGACCGCAAATTCAAACTCTGATTTGTCATACCTCTCGCACAATCTACCAGCCTTCGTCACAGAAGTACAGCCTAGCCAGAGCTCATCACCTGGTTTGTGTTTTGTGGCATCCACAAGATCCAAGGATTTGGTGCTTTCTGCAATGAAGTACTGTGTGCCATCATCGATAAGACTGGCGGGATCTGTCAGCTGCGAAGTGAGGATAAAATTCTCTTCAAAATTACCTGATCATTGTTCTTTGCGCCCCTAACCTCCAAGATACCAGCTGGCAGAATGCCGTTAATGATGTATCTGGGGAGGAAATCTTGGTTGAGGTAATGTCAGATTGAACTCCTAGCTCTTGATTGCTACCCTCTGTCGGTATTTGAGGGTTTGGAAAACATGATTCGGTATTAATGGAAGAGGTAGGTTGGTAGTACCTGAAAGCAAATAAAAATCAGTAACACCCTCTAAAATGTGGATATGTGGTACAAAATGAATCAGTAATAAGCCCGTCCCTCCAGACTGGTTAAGAGAGAGGAAAGTGCCGCTTGATAATTTCCGCGCGACCTGTGAATCTTTGTGTCTCTCTCCCCAAGTTCTTCATATGTGTGTGCAGCACACTTCTATAGTAATCAGGGACATACTTGTATAATTCTCTGGCTCTGGCAGCATCGGATATACCCTCAACATGCGAAAGCGCAACTGGTGCTTCTACCGGTGCCATCTGCCCTCCCATTTACTTGAATGAATAGCCAGGGTGGGGAAATGTTAAGAAACCGACAGGATCGGGAGAGGGAAGGTTGATGGTTGGTCTCCAGGTGAAGATTGTCGAAGGAAAGAATGTCGGTTTACTAAGTGCGATGATGCGATTAGTATTTGAAAAATAATCAATCAAGCATTCGAGCAATCAAGCATTTGATACTTTGTGACAAGACTGTGATAACAGATTGGATGGAAAAGTTCATGGAAAAGACAAGGAGGAGTGGTTTACTGACATGGTTCTAAATGTTTGCATGCATTGGTCAAATCAAACCCCCTCCATTCGAGAATATTTCTGACCAGGTATGGCATATAACCTGATGGCTTGGATTAAAGTTAAAACCAGTGAATTGAGGAAGGGCTAAGCAAGATGGTGTTATTTTGCAGAGCAGTGAGATAAATTGTGGCTGGCAATCCCTAGGTAGTATTATAGAGGAAATACTTGAGGGTTGTGCATGAAGTGTGAAGTATATACCCAGTAGGTACAGTCTGCAGACCATATAATGCAGATAGTGCAGATAGTGCAGACAGTGCAGACAGTGCAGATTATGCAGATAATGCAGATAATGCAGATAAAATTAGACAAATGAGAATTGGGAAGGATCAAGTCTTGAGTCTTAAGGCTAGCCTTAAATCCGCATTGTGTTGTACAAATTGTAAAATGATCTCTAGAAGTAAAGTTGGAGTAAAAGTTGTGGTACTGGTGGTAGGTAGCGTCTGGAGTAGGTAGGAATGGGAATAGGTCGTGTGGGATACATCAATATGTACTATTGAACTCCAACGTTTTAACTGGACACAAGGTCTGGAATTAAAAAAAGGGATCGACATTTGCGTCATAATGCATTTGATTCTACCGCTATGGGTATCATAAGCGAGAGAGAGGTGTGACTATAGGAAGATGAACAGGGTCAATCCAGTGAATGAAGAATTATATTCTAATGCTTTCTTCACTTTCATTTTGATGGTCAATTTGTTAATACATACATACCTAGTACCTACAGAGCAGTAATAAACTCATCATCAAAATATGAATTCTTCTCTTTCTCCTATACATTTCGTCTCTTACTCTCACACGAGTATATATCATCAGAATATTATGTCCTTGTATCTACTTAAAACTCATTACGTCTCCTGCATCTCATCCTACTCCTTCTCCTTCAGAACCCTACGAAAGATATCCAGACTAGAAGACTCCAAGTAAGAACTAGAACATCAACCTGGGTACAGAACTAAGAGGACCCTTGTTTTAGTTTCCGTTTAGCTCTTTCTCCCATTGACAGATGAATCATTGATGAATCTATGAGACCCTTTCTGCAGTATGAAAAGAAGACTAATTCAAACGAAGAGGCAAAAAATTGCAAAAGATAAGGGTCCATCCTAGAATTTGCAGGTCACGCACGACTCACGACGATAGATTTAAGGAATTTCTCGCGCATCCCCCTGGATCTTACCAATTACCGTTGGTGATAATTATTATTAGTCTCGCATGTGTACTACACTAAGCTTTCGATACAGACCGGGACTTCTATAGCGAGTAGCGAGTGACTTTTTTTTTTGAGTCAATCGAGCCGGAGATTTCCAAAAACAACATGTGGCTACATACCGATACGTACCATATTACGACCTTGTCCCTATTCATCCATTCCTATTTCATCCCCACGCTCGCCAAGTTACGAATCCCATTCAGTACTTTCGTTGCTCTTTTCACCATGGCGGTAACATCGTTTGCTGTTATTGTACACTGACTGCACTTTGGTGTTGTGTTTAAAAGGTTTTAATTTGTAAGGACTACCCGAGTATTGTTTTATAAAGAATACCTTCACCACTTCAACTAGGTAGGAACTAGGGAATCACCGTGTTGCATCAAGTACGGAGTTCTAGGTTTGTATGTATTTGGCTCCGGAGACGTCCGATTTACCACCCATCGTTCCGTCTCATCACAATTATACTAATCACACTAATGATACTGCTCTTACCGCCAGAGTTTCATCAAATTCAAGATATTTACCGAAACTATAAATGACTCAGGACTAAAGGCTCAAAACATGGTCGTTTCAATGATTTCCATGACATTTTCCATGTTGGAATCCACGTGGAACGGATACTCCCAAGATTCAAGACTAGGTAATTAGGAAACGGTATCTGGAGAGATATACCTAGATAGATCTTTATCTACTCGGAATACTCTGGAAAGAATCAAGGTTATTTGATAAATTTAATTTAGTACCAAAGTGATGCCTTTACATTAGAAACTTTTGGATATATGTAGTATGTAATCTTACATATGTATGTACACAGGTATGTACACATGTATATACACGTGTATATACATATATGCATCAATACATTGCTAAGGATATCTAAGAAATCAATTCTCCAAGATCAACTTCTTAGTCATTCTTACCATCATGCAGGAGCCATTTCACCCCGCTGTTCCCGCTGATACTTTTTTTCATCAATCTTGGCCTCAGGCAATCATCACATATTCCCTTTCATTGCCCGCCATCCAATACCTAGGTAAGATAACATTTTTTACGGCGTTTGCATCAACACGAATAGATTTCTTAAGTCCGAAAAGATCCTTCTACTTCGTCCTATTTCATATAAGATCTACAAGGATTTGATTGGTATCATCGACTGAAAGGGCACTTCGTACGTAGAGTGCGGCGATCAAAGCCGTATAGATACTACGAAGAAGTCAATATCGGCTGTTGCCAGTGTCAAAAGCCAGTTCCAAATACCATCATTACAGTACTCCGAAAGTACTGACCTCTTGCGACACATTTCGATACCTACTCGTTCCATCTCAACACTCACTTACACAAATATCTACTTACCAGGAATTTAAGTGGGGCCATTCAACTACTCCTCAAGTCAAAATTAACGTGCGCTACCACAATCGCATATTGATCGCATGTCAATTATTGATCTTGCGAGTCGCGTGGGAAAACGTTCTTCAAGACTATTTTTCAAACATTCATCATGCAAACGAATGGGATTTCAGACAACATGAAGGCTGATACCAAACAACAAGTCGCATGCGACGACTTTTACAATAGCCTCAATCTCGACAATTTACCTCCAAACCACAATATACAAGCGGCTGCAGTTAGGAACAATAGTACTTCGGAGCAGGAATCTACAAAGACAGAAGTTCCACAGAAAGCTCCAAAGAAGAGGAAGAGAGTAGTTATCTCATGTACTGAGTGCCATAGGCGCAAACAAAAGGTTTCTTTCCAAACTCATCATCACAAGGATTCAGAGTCTGATATCAATTCTAGTGCGACCGTCAATTTCCATGTTCGAATTGTGTCAATCGCAATAAACAAGATGTTTGTCAGTATGAGAATGAATCCGCCAGGAAGCAACAACTACTAGATGATCTAAGGTCGTCAGACAATGGAGAATATGGAAAAGGCGCACAGCCCGAATCGGATTCTGTGGCAAAGGTTAGTGCGTTAGGATATGCAAAGTCAAATGGAAGCCATTCAAATACCACATTGGGGATTTTCAAGAAGATAGAGGCCGAGGTCAACGATGGAGCCGCTGTGACGACTCATTGCGTAGCAACAGCAGAGAATACTGGTCTTCGGGAAAAATACAAGAGCTTAATACGACAACTACCGTCTCGGCCCTACATTGATATGCTTCTAGAGACATTTTTCCGGGAGGTCAATTTTCAGTACTATGCTTTAGACGAGGGAACGTTCCGAGATCACCTCAGAAATTGGAACAATTTATCTTTTGCCACTTTGAATAAAGGACCACAGGAGCTACCCGCAGATTTACAATTCTTTCCCGCTCTCCTATTCCAATGTTTTGCTATGGCCTTGCTATTTCAACCACCAGAATACGACCCAAGTCTGGAATCACTCAAGTATGCAGCAGGAATGTCCTTTGATGATCTCGCAGCCGATTATAGCGACTCCGGAGTAAGCATCTTGACATTACTAGGGAAACGCAATACCACTCTTGTGACTGTTCAAGCTGGATTCGTCAGAGCATCATATTTGAAGTATAGTGGTATGGTTCCTGAAAGCTGGCACTCTTTATCCCAAACCATCAAAGACGCTCAAGAGATTGAATTACATAAGGATAATTACCAACCCCAACGTAATAAGCCTGAAGATGGATACGAGCATCTATGGCATCAACAACTTCGAAGGAGAACTTGGCTTGTCCTTGCTCTTTGGGATGTACATATGGCATTGGTTCTCGGCCGACCCACAACCATTGATATGCGTGATCCAAGACCACCTTTTCCTATCGATGCTCCCATACCTGCTACCCTTGAAGATCGACGCAAGACCCCCCCTAAAGAGCGTTCACCTACAGATATGCCAACACCTTTGACGATGCTTTTATGGTATGTCGAAGTTATGGCCCCTCTCTGGGATATCTATTACCTTGAAAAGGATGGACCACAGGCCAGTGACGCTCTCAAGGTTCAGAAGATGCACCTTAATATCAAGCAAATTCATGAGCTATGCCCACCTTACTTCAGAGCCGAAAACCCTGACACAACTTGGGATTCCCATCCTGATTGTTATTGGCTTCCTCCTTGTAGATTAATCTTCCAAAATGGTGGTGCATTTACAACAATGGCTCTCCATAGACCATATATTTGTATCTCAGTTTCGAGTCGACGTTCTGCTCTTGAAGCTGGCTTGGAAATTCTGCGTGTACAACGTGAGTATTTCAGTTTATTGCAGACAAAACATTACAAAATGTTTAACCTTGTCCTCAATACCTTTGACGCCATCATCCTTTCAGCAGCCATTTATATCCTACATCCATTCGAAAATAGGGATCTGCTCGACAACACCCTACAACACTATGATTGGGCTATGGAAAGGTTTCATACTATGATTGGTCGTAATGCGATTGCAAACACAGCTGCCGGTGTGCTCAAAGCAATAAACATTCGTTTGAAGAAAGCATTAGGAACAACTAAACCTCAACCATCAACTCCATCAGATATTGGATCCAACCCATCATCAACGGTTGGTAGCTCACAGATGGCAAGATCTGGTACTTCTACATCAGCATCACAATCTTACAATTCCCCGGCATCATCCACCGATCCTTCCACCATATCCTCTACAAATTCTATCAATGGAAGTCATTACAACCTTCCGACAATACAAAACTTGACTTCACCAAACTCAAATTCTACCGCCGCTTGGGAATTCACTGGAGCTAATAATTTGATGCCTCACAACTTTGATCTATCATCGATTGCACCTTTACAACCAATGCATGATTTGATATTTAATGATTTAAGTACGAACCTTAGCACCAACTTTGACATACCATATCAAGGATTTCCGGAAGCAAATCTGTATGCGCAACCTGAACCTTGGCAATTTGGAGGAGACTTGGGACAAGATAGTTTCTGGGCAGTTATGAATAATTATAATCCTTGAGTAAAGCTTTGGTGATGGGGTTTGTAGGGTTGGTAGGGTTGATAGGGTAGGATAAGGTAGGGTAGAGGTAGATGGTGCAGGTATACACGGATATGGATACGGACATTGGATGAATATATAATATATCATACGGAATTTAACTGTCTCATGAAACATGATTAGTGTAACGATTCTGTACTGGAGGCAGCGGCTGCCTAAGGTTCGTCGATTGGTAGTTATAGGTTAAGGCTTTATCACTGGTATTCACTTGAAAGTGAATTCGTTACTAGATCAAGTAGAATGTAGGTAAACTAATTGATAACTAAGTTGAGCACGAAGCTCCTAAACTATGAAACTACTCTAACTATATACTAAACGTTTCTCTGAATGCTAGCTGTGCTAGCTGGCTAGCAGAGCTATCACATCACGTGATCTCCTATTGGCCTCAGGACACTAATCCTGGGACGATTCTCATCCTAGGATATGTTACGACGGCTATCTTCTACGCCGCATCACATGACTAAACCAAGGTAACGTGATTAAGTCACGTTATGGACCGCTGCGCGGTCCTGACTAGCTATAGGCATGAAGGACTATATAATCAAGATGGATTTCCTTTGTATAGAGCTTCGTGCTCAAGATCAATCATTTAGTATACTCTACTATTAGTTACGAATTGCATATCATTATTGTCATTACTTTAAGTCCCTGCTTGACGCCTAGTTATAAACCACTTCGAGAGCCTAGAGCACTTCCACGTGATCTAGACGGCAAACCTCGTAACAGCGGGTTAACGTTGGAGATTTGGATTTGGATTGGTTGGATATATATATGATTTATTTAGCTATAATCTTTAATGACTCGATTAAGGCTATCTAATTGTCCGATCATGAATGCGATTATGCGTAACCTTATCATGGTATTGGTATTGGTATGGGCGTCGGTTTCAATATCGTGCCATGTGGTTGGGAGTACATGTACATACATGTACTTGTTTTTTTTTTGTGTTGTATTGTATTATATTGGGTTAGGTTGGTTTGTGTTACCTAAGTTACTTCATTTGGAAAATTGGTCTTGGTCTTGGTCTTGGTCTAGCTAATATAATGATAGGGCTTAGCTAGAACATATATATATGCTCCGTGGATAAAACACACACTCGGCAAATGAACAGGGGACAAGGACAAGAACAAGCGAAAATGGAAATGGGAAGTTTCATTCATCGTTGTACACATCCCACATTCATTTATTATTCCCCTATTCCGTGCGTGCTAAATATTGATTGGGAAGGATGATCGGAATTGATTTGCATTCTTCAGGTATGTGTAGATGTGTAGATGTAGATGGACGCAGAAGGGTTCTACAAAGTCGATTTCGATATGAAAGTATTGAGCTGGTTAAGCCGCGATTTCTTAATTTGGATTCTTCTTTTTTGGCTATTAGTTGGATAGATGGCGGTTGCATTGGGGTGTGTATTCCTACCTAGGTATGTAAGATTATGTTTTAGATGCAATGGAGTTTGGATAAGTCTCGGTCTTTCTTCTATATTGGCGTATCGGAATTGGGTATTTGATATTCGATTTTCGATATTCGATGTATTTGCGTTTCATCTCAGAATTATCTACCTATTGATTGAGAATTGAGAATTGGGAGCTGGGATGTTGTGTTTGTTTCTGTTTCATTCTATTCGGTTTGCTTATTTGTATTGTTGAGATCTCGAAGTTTATATTGATTTTGTATTTTGTATTGTTTTCTTTTATTTTCATTCATTCTCAAAATCGATCGTGATTACTATTTCAGCCGAGGGCTGGCTGTAATGATTCATATACGGTATATGTGAACGATGATTTTGTACTGATGACTGGATCACGTAGTTTACAAATCCATCTCGATCTTCTTCTTGTGGATTTAAATTGGTTAATTGATGAAGAATAAATGTAGTTCATTTATCATTTGTTTCTCTCACTCATTCATTCACTCTTTAGAAAACTTTTGAAAAGTAACAGCAAATCGATAATCTCAAATTCATTACCTCTCACCGAGAACCTCGGTCCTTTACTCGTCTTTTATGGATTGGATTCACTGATGATCACTATGGAGGGGTTATGTTACTTTAATATTACTTTTACTTTCTTCTGGCGCTGTATCGGTTTCTGCTTTACTTTGATGGAGGGATTAAGTTGTACGATTTACTCGATTTATTCTTCATCTACCCCTCTTTCACCATCATCTTCTTCATCATCAACATCACCAAATACAGTAACATCCTCCTCAACATCTTCACTAACTCCTAACAACCCAAACACAAACACAATCCCAAATCAATACAAATCCACCCCATATCCACAAACCATGAAACTCCTAGAACCATTTATAAATCATTGGATTGTGTGTCTAGTGACGATTTTCCTGGTGTATCAAATCGCGTTGCTGGTTTATCGTCTTTGGATTTGTCCGTTGGCGAGGTTTCCGGGTCCGAGGTTGGCGGCGGCAAGTCTTTGGTATGTTTAATCTCTTCTAGGCTTTCTTTTGGGGAGGAGTGGTGGAAGAGTAGGGCAGTTGGCGAGAGGAAGACAGAGGGGCGACGTTGGCTAGGGTTGGAAAAATAGGAAGCGAGAGGGGGAAGGGGAAGTGAGGAAGCATACCCGGGATTTATATCTATGCCACCTATTCATATACTGATTATTGATGGATACTGCATGCAGGTATGAATTTTATTATGATGTTTGGTTGGAGGGACAGTATACTTTTAAGATTAGAGAGTTGCATAAGATTTATGGTATGCGTCCCCTTTCATTTTTCTCTTATGCGGATTCGTCGGGATTTCGGTTGTGTTGGTTGAGGAGAAAGACTACTGCATTCATTTTCCTACTGGATTATTTCTATTTGAGGTTATTGTTTCCATTCTAAAGGGACCTCATTTCCCGGGATCTTGTTTATGTGTTAGATGGGGAGAGATTGATGCATTTCTTTAGCTCCTCAAAGCTTAGTATTTGAATATTTCGCTCTTACTTCATATCCTTCAGCCTTTTGATACCATGATAATTTGATTCCGCTTTATTCATCTCTGCTTTCTGCTCCTTGATTTTTCTACCTTCGTCTTCACAATATGCTATATTTATAGTCCTACCAGTCCCTTTCTCGCAACACCCCCCCTTAAATACCGTACTAAACCCCTACCCCTAGGCCCCATAATCCGCATCTCCCCCCACCAACTCCACGTCTCCGACCCCACCTTCTACGAAGAACTCTACTCGCAACACAAAATCCGCCACAAATACACCTACTTCCTCGACCGATTCCAACTTCCCACTTCCGCATTCGGAACCGTAGATCATAAACTTCATCGAGAGCGTCGAGCTGCTCTTAATAAATATTTATCCAAACAAACTATTGCTAAATTGGAACCTATGTTATTGGATATGTTGGATAAATTGTGTGGAAGAATTGAGGAGTTTAGGGAGAAGAGGGAAGTGCTGGATATGAGGATTGTTTATCAGTGTTTTATCACGGATGTTATTACTTTGGTTTGTTTTATTTTATTTTATTTTATTTTATTTTCATTGACTACATTGGATTATCATGTCATATCTATCCAGTATATTCCCTGCTACCCACCAGCCAACTACTTTAAACCAAATAATCAACGCGTTAAACACTAACCACCAAATGATCAACAGTACGCACTAAATCGTTCCTGGAACCATCTCGATTCCCCCGACTTCTCACCCCTATGGGTAGAAACAATAGCCGAAACGGTCAAATTAGGACATCTCCTCACTCAATTTCCTATCCTCTTACCCATCGCTTTGAATCTCCCAAGATGGTTTTTAAAACTCACAAAACCGGGGTTTGCTCTCCTTATGGATTTTCGAAAGGTTTAGTTACTTTTTACTTCCCTTTTTTCCTTTTTCCCTCCCTACCCATTCCGCATTTTCTCCTTCTCCCTACTCCTCGGCTATGCTAGAGAATAAAAAGGACTAGAATCTAGACACCTAACCTAACACTCATAAGAAACTAACAACAAACCCAGGCAATAGAAATAGACACCAAAAACATCCTCGAAGGAAACTATAAATTTAACCCCGATAAAGGTAATGGATTAGACCAAACCATCGTTCATGCAATCCTTGAATCGGATGAAATACCTCCATCAGAAAAGGAATTCAAGAGATTGTTTGAAGAGGCTTTTGTGCTTATAGGGGCTGGTTCGGATACGGTGGCGAATATGTTGACTGTAGGTTTTTTTTATTTATTTTAATTGTGCTATTTCTTCTTTTTGGTCTTGTTGCGTTGGTAGAGCGTGGAAAGATTTTGTGGCGGCCGGGAAGAGGAGAGGAGACGAGGGAGGAATTTATGAAGGAGAAGAAAGAAGGAATAGTTACTAACACTTGCGAATTAGAACACACATTTTCATCTTCTCGATAATCCACAACATTTAAAAACCTTAAGAGAGGAATTAAAAAAAGCCATGCCAGATCAATATGCACGAGCCTGTTTGAAAGATCTAGAGGGTTTACCGTTTTTAAATGCTGTTGTTAATGAAGGCCTAAGGTACACTATCTCTTCTTTCCTTATTCTTTTCTCATAATTTTTGTGTATCATTTACGTGGATGGAATACTAATAAAATGAAATGGAGTAATAGACTTTCCTACGGCGTTTCAACTCGGCTCCCCCGTATTTCGCCATATGAAGTTATGATGTATAAAGATTGGGAGATTCCTGCTGGTGTAAGTCATATTAACCTTACCTTTTTTAAGCGAGAATTCTGTTGGTAAAGGAGATAAGAGTTTCACATGGTTTTTCTTAAGTAAAGAATCCAATAAACGAAAAAAAAGACTAATCCCCATGAAATAAATGAACAGACACCCGTCTCAATGACCTCAGTCTACATGCATCAAAACCCTAGCATCTTCCCCAATCCACTAACATTTAATCCATACCGCTGGCTTACATCTTCTTCATCTTCTTCCTCCTCCTCCACACCCACCCAATCCCCCATCCTCAAACTCGACACAACCCACGAAAAATACCTCGTAGCGTTCAGCAAAGGCTCGCGTAGTTGCGCGGGTATAAATCTAGCAAAAGCAGAGATTTTATTAACGATAGCTACGATTTTTAGAAGATATGAGGTGCAGGGACTTGTGGAGACGGATAGGAGAGATGTGGATGTGAAGAGGGACTTGTTTTTGCCGTTTCCGGAGGTGGGGAGAGGAGGGGTGAGGGTGAGGTATTGGTAAGGGTTGGTGAGCTCGCTGGTGTGGTGAGTGAGTTGGGGATGGGAAGGAGCGGAGAGGAGTCGGGGAAAGGCTGGAGAGGTGGGAAGGGTGAGGCGTGGAAACGACGAGAGCCACGTTGGAGCGGGAGATGATACATAGTAAATACGGTAGGAAATGTTAACGAAGTAGGGTAAGGTCAACAGTAGGCAAGCCAAATCTGTAAAATAAAAAATAATAACATAATCATTATGTCACTCAACGAAATTATAAGCAGAACCTCAATATAATATAATCTTATAAAATAACATTTAAAGTTTCATATACTTCTCTCTTCTAACCCATCATACAAAAGCAAGTTCAGATGCAAATCCTGAATAACCTGCATTCATCCTCATCTAATATGATAATCCTAATCTACAATTCACCATGTTTAATATCTTCCTTCTTTCCCTTCTCTGAATTTTCCTTTGACTTTTTGATTGCTTCCAAAATCTGTTCTTCACTAGGCATTTCATCATTTTCACCCACTTTAAATCTAGTAGCTCCTTCTCCATCAGCTCCCTTTTCTGGCTTTCCATCTGCGCCTCCAAAACCAAGGTCAATAGTTGCATCTGCTTCTTCCGCAGTTGCGGTACCTGTCTTCTTTGATTTCTTAGTCTTTGACTTTGATTTCGTAGCCTTCTTTGGTTTATCGGATTTGGGAGTTGGCTTGCGACTAGATTTGTAGGGTTGTTTCATGCTTTTCATGATAAGTTCTACACCGGCATCTTGCAATTGTTTCGTCTTTTCTGTGAGATCTTTGATGAGAAGAACAGGGTCATCTGTGGGTGCAAGCTTTTCTTGTTTCTCCGAGAGCTCGGCGAGCCATTTAGAGATGCTGTCGTAGAGTTCTTGAGGAGCAACGATATCGGCCTCGGTATAGATGGGTGGGTTCATGGTTTCTTCTTCAGGAGGGGCAGTTACTGTGGATGAAGCAGACCCGGCAATTTCATCATCTTCAAGATCGACGAAATCATCAACCGTGATTGTAGATGTTGTTTTAGCGCTTGCCGAAGCGCTAGATTTGGATGCACTGAAAGAAGAATGGGCCTCTGTTTCATTTTTGATTTGCTCTTTAACACCTGCAATGAACGATTTGGTTTGTTCGAGAGCTTCCTTGAGAGCTTTCAAATGTTCAGGTCGACCAGCTGTTTCTTCTCTTCGCTTTTGAATTGGTGTGACGATGTCTTTCATTTCTTTAAGTTTGGCTTTGAGTTCATCACGGGAAGCATCGGCACCACCAGAATAGATCCATTCACTTGCTGCCTTGGATTTACTCTCCAGTTCTGAACGTTCGGTTTCGGTAGATGCGGCGATGAATTCTTCATTGTCAAGGAAGTCCCTTACTTTGTATGTGAATCCTTCCAATTGGTTCAAAGCTTCCTCACGTAAACGACGAGATCTGTCGGAGTCATCGAACGCGGCGATACGATCTTTCATTCTAGTGATTTCGGAAGCTGGAACTTCTGGAATACCTTTGAGTTCTGTTTCATATTTCAATGGAATGACGATCAGATTCTTCTTGCTCTTAGGAGCCTCCTTGTCTTTAGCTGATGCGGAGGCGGATTTGGAAGAACTGCTAGACGAAGTGGTACTGGTAGATGTAGTGGAACTCTCAGTAGTGCTAGAGCTGTCAACAAAAGCTGTACCATCCTCTGATAATGGAGCTTGGTCCTTCTTCCCGAATCCAAAAAGTCCCTTGACGCTATCGACCATACTCTCTTTCTCTACCTCCTCGGCCTCACAATCAACGACAAACTTCATGATATCCATTTCGCCATTAACAGGACTGACACGAGTGCTTAACTTAACTCTGATATCTTTGTTTTCGCACTTGTGTTTCTCTTTCAAAAGAGCCACAGACTCATTCAAGTTTTGTGTAGTGATGGCTTTCAATTGTTTCTCGGCGGATCCTCCCGATACTCCTTCCGATGATGCAACATGTTGATAAAAGTCAATGGTAAAATCCTCATGATTGTCGAAAGTAAATTGCTTCTCGGCATTAAGATTAGTGGTTGGTTCATATAATCTTTGATGCCTATTCTTCTTGTGGATATCGGTATACTTAATACCGGCCGCAAAAGAAGCACCATCATAGCTTCGAATTTCCTTGACTCTGAATGAAGGACTGAGTCCGGCACCTCTGAACCCAGCACCAAAAACAGCGGCTTCATCAGCATTGACATTGGTGCGGATCTTATCGGAACCTCCAACAATCTTCTCAAGCTCTTTCTGAACAAAAGGAGTTCTGATGGCACCTCCGTGAAGGATAATAGAATCAAGATCATTAACCTCGAGGCTGACAAGGTCCAAAGCTTTCTGAATCACTACACCAACTCGAGCCGCATGTTTTTCAGCGAGTTTTTCGAACTCTGCTCGGCTGATCTTGTATTTGAAGTCAACATCTTCGTAAAGTCCTTCAAAGCCAGCTTGGGTATTGGCATTGGCACTCAAAATTTGTCGCAGACGTTCGGCTTCCTTCCACAATTTCGCAGCAGCTCTTCCATGTGCTTGGACCTTCTCGGCAGTTGCTGATACCTCTTGTGCTTTGGGAGATTCAACAAAATTGGCAATCATATCATCGACGATGACGGCGTTGAGAGAATCACCTCCAAGTGTTCTATCCCATGAGCTGCCAAGGACCTTTACTTCTTGGATAGTCTTGTTGAATTTCCCAACATCCTTCACGGTTCGTCCTTGAAACCTCAAAACTGTAGCCTTTGTAGATCCAGCACCCATATCAAAAACCATGTGGTATTCCGGCTTTCCTCCTTCGCTAACACTGGGGAATGTTCGAGATGTAGCGTAATTAAGACCTACGGCCAATCCATCACTAATCAATTCCAAAACTCGAAGGCCTGCCAAATCTGCAGCCAAAAGAACCGCTCTTTTCTCTTCGGTAGTATAAAATGTTGGAATAGTAATAACTAAATCCTTCACTTTGCTACCTGCTAGAGCCTCTGCGTTCTTTTGAATGCTCTGCAATTCCATAGCTAATATTTCCTCGACGGTCCATGGTAGCTCATCTGCAGCAAAGGCACCACTTCGAAAAGCAGCTGTACCTCGTGTCTTGTCCGCCTCCAATTGTAAAGCTGGATGGCGGATTCCATACTCTTTGACAAGATCATTTTCGGCCCCCAATCCCAAGAGAGGTTTGAGGTTAGGATAAACATCACCAGGAAATCGTGCAGCCAAAGCTACGGCATCTGAACCATAAACTCTTTCTGGGTATGATCCGGTAGATGGGTTTTTCGAAGGCTTAAAGGCTACGGCGGAAGTTTCTTTTCGTCTTGAGTCTTTGGTAAGAACAATTTCGAGTGGAATACCAGGTTTTACGAGGGCTGCCTTGATGTATTCTGTCCCAAGATCAACGCCCAAAACTGCCGAAGCAGCCAATGCTGTGGAAGTGAAAATATAAAATAAACATAATATGGCAAAGATTGGAGAAGAGAATATCCTTCCAGAAGAGCTCCTCGAGAGAGCCATTATATGTTGTGGTGTAGCAGACTTAATTGCTACCAGTAAATGAAATGAAGAAAGCGGAGAAATGTAATGGAGGGGGAGGATGAAGGATAATGACAAAGATATATATGTATGCAGGACTGTATGTAGTATGTTATGTATCTCTGAAACTACCTAGTAAGCGGTACCGCTACACCTTAAAATCTGTCCACAACGAATTCCAAATCAAAGTTGAGAGACAACAATTTATTAATTATAGGTAGAAGAAATAGGACAGTAAGACTTCATCTATTTCTCTTTAATTAAGTTTCTTTCTTTCTTATTGACAAGTATTCTTTTCTCTATTTTCCCCTCGAGATTGATGCTGTTTATCCTTGTACGTATCCTTGGTACCAAAAGAGGACAGCTTTACCATTATTTAATCCTTGAGCTCTGATGTCGATAAGATGTGTTATCGGAAGATAAGATAAGAGATGTGCGCACAGAGTCTTGGAACCTCCGATTTTCCGACATTTGAGTTATTCATAGAAACACCAGAATTCCAACTTTCCCCTCTACCCCTCCATCTATCCATCCCATCACTCCTTCCTGTGGCAAACAACCTATTTTTGGAATACCCGGTACTTCTACAACTAATTACTACTCATACTGAAATTTAGGTTTGTTACTAATCAACACATCTAAATATTGTGAATCATTCAGCTCTTCTACAGTACAGCCTTCCTACAGCCTGCCTTTCTCCAACTTTCAAGCACCAAAACTACCCCTCCATTTGGGAACAACAATTACAACAACACCAACTCCTACTCCTACTAATTCGACTGGCCACTACTGACATTCTAACAAACTTATTCCTGTCTCTGCCCTCTCTTCACCCCTTCGCCTCTCCGTCTCTTCTCTCTCCGCCAATCCGCTAGTCGATCATCCACATGGCGTATTTCAATTCTCAAGCTTTATGACAATCATACAAAGCCACCAGTCATCATTGTGCATATCCCTAGGCTATTATTTAAATTGCGTATTGCAGCCACAGAATCAAATTTGATCGACAACTACTCATTGTCTATCGGTATTTATATCAGCCGCAACTCATTCCTACTTCTACTTCAACTTCAACTTCTACATTTACATCTACATCTAACAGAGGCGTCAAATAATCTCCTTTACAATGTCTGCCACTCCATTCATTCAATTTCTAGGTCCAACAAACCTTGAAGGATATGACCGCAAACTTCCCGCATCAGAGCAACCCAATAATATCCCCAAAACATTCGTAGATGCTATGGAAGTTCGAGAAGCTGTCTTCGTTAAGGAGCAAGGTGTACCCCTCGAAAATGAATTCGATTCTGATGATACTCGAGCTTGCCACTGGGTCATCTATGCTTCAGTGAACGAAATGACGGAACCAGAGGTTAAAGACGATGATGGAAATATACTACGGAGAAAGAGAAGCAGAACTACATCTCAGCCGATTGGTACAATTCGTCTCGTACCATTTCCGCATCCACCACATCCTGAACCTGGCTCAAGTTATCAAGCTGATGCGCTTGAAACCGCTCCAAAGCCCGACAGTACAAATCCACCACCTTATATCGTCGATCGAGCAACTACATATCATGACGGTATCGAGCCATATATAAAGTTGGGTAGACTAGCAGTTATCGAAGAATGCAGAGGTGCCGGGATCTCCAAGTTATTGGCAGGTGCGGCGATGTCATGGGCTCAACAAAACCCCTCATATTTCAACCCCTCTATTGCCACAGTTGGAATGGAAAATGTAGGAGCTTCGAGTACAGAAGAAATACCAGTGTGGAGGGGTTTGATGTGTGTTCATGCACAAGAACAAGTTGCATCTCTTTGGGCTAAATGGGGTTTCAAGATCGATGAGGGAATGGGGACGTGGAATGAGGAAGGAATCAAACACGTGGGAATGTTTCAAAGGCTGAAAACGGTGAATGATATTGCACCCACGACGATTTAAGAGAAAATTTGATACACAGGAGATATGAGATACCCAATTAACATTTTAAGCAATAAGATCAATGGTCTTAATGATATATGGAGATAATAACTTACAGCATGAAGTATCTTTAGCCACATTATGTCTCGATTCTCATTTGAAAGTTTAAACTGGTGGGTTATTTTTTACTACTTGTTCATGATCCTGTACAGTATGCTCTCACGTCTATGCCAATCCAGACCGGTATAGTAATGAGATATGGAAATGTCTGATAATTTCGGGTTCAGACAGAGGTCAGTTTGATTGTTCGCATGTGGCATAAGTTTACGCGCTGCTCGGGATGCAAGGTCTTGATTAGATACGGGACACAAAAGAGGAGAACCTGGCGATTTGATTCCTTTAAATGCAGTTTAGTTGGTTGCTGAATGAATATGAGAAAGTGGTTTCTTTGTAGGCGAGGCATTGTTACCAAGCGGTAATTGGCTCAATTCAAGGTTTGGTCCTGATTGAGCTTTCCCATAACGTATTCTTTGCTCTGCTTTGCGGGCTCTCCTCATTGACTGGTAGAGATGGGAAATTTGTAATTGCCTAAAGTATAATATTCCAGTTCATTTTATTTTATTTAAAATCTAAAATAATTAATCTTCTTTATAAAATAAAGTATATAATAATAATATTATATCTTTATTATACTTTATTGTAATCCAGCTCTGCTTTACATAAAGCGCCCATCCCTATTGACTGGTCCATGATATTTGAGAAAGTGGTAGAGCTGGCTATTGGGGCTTGGCTTTGGAATCTGAACTGGAGTTGCTTTTTTCGGTTCTCTTTTTTATTGTTCACTGGTTACCATAGATGTGCGATGGAATATTGCCCACAATGTGACAACTTTGCTTCCAATGAAGATCCGCAACTACCAACTGTTGTAACAATGGCTTTCTTAAACACTTGCATAGCCAAAACCATTTATCGTTATGGCTCCCTTCACAGTTGGGGTCATAAGAGAAGCCTCCTCCACTCCAATTAATGGATTCGATCGAACTACCGTCAGGCACCTCCCTCGACGAAGAACAAGAACAAGAAACAACAAATCGCGCCATCTTTATCTCTTTCGCATGAATCTATTTTTGCAACAGAATGGCTGCCAACAGGGTCCATTCAAGTATTTCCATCGCGAGTGTTTCCAAAGGCAGCAAGCACATCAAATGTGAATATGCCTCCAGAACTGACGCATGGATTCGTGCCTCCCTCGACCCGGGTGTCCAGAAAGATTTTGTCGACGCTTTAGAAAAGGCCGATATCCCTGATGAAGCTAGTGTCGCCATCTTAACCTACCTGCTAGAAGGAATATATGCCTGAAACTAGTATCAAGCATTTCTATGATGATGCTGCGATTCACACATTATCAGATTACTTCAGTACGACAATGCATTTGAGATGCTAGGCTCTTATATCTAGTTACGACTAATCTATCTATCAATGTGTTTGCTGATCACGAGGACTAACTTGTGGATTGGCGCTTTAAGGGACTTAAAAGATCTCACCATATCAAATTGCATCAACCAGCTCCCTTTCTTCTTCTACCTCGATCACCTTGAATTGTGATTGTGGATCCACATGATTTTACAACTTGTTAACCTCTTCAAAGCTGCGAGGATGTTTTCAACCATCGTCGGTCGCTCTGGTCGCGAATACGTGCACCAACAGGTCATCTACGAACACCCATCGAAGAAGCCGGAACTTAACATTCACCTTGGCCGGTAAATTTAACAAGTGTTCTCTCTCAAATTTTCATGATCATCAAGACTGAAGGTGTAATTAGCTGCGATGGCAAACCATACGTTTTGAAGCCTGTTTCCCCTTCGATTTTCGACTTCCTTCAGAGTTTCAAGGAAGAATTCAAGAACAATCATCGCCTAAGGCATCATTTAGATGATAATGATACTCAAAAGGTACTCGTTTACGAGTACTTCAAATCCAATCTGCTTGAACTGGTAGATGCTTATGCGCCTCTTCCTTTATTGGCAAGAAAGACTATTCTTAAAGAGGTTGGATTGGCATTGAAAGATATGCATAGCAAACATTGGATACATTTAGGTATGGTACCATTATGCTCGACTCTTTGAATCATATGGATCATTACCAAATCCACAAGAAGCTTTGCTGAACTTTTGTTCCTGTAGACATCAAGCCTGACAATGTCTTTCTCAACTGGTATCTCGACAACGATGACAAATTTCATGTGGACAAGGTACAACTTGGTGATATGGACTGTGCTTTAAAATTAGAAGGGCAAAAGCTTCTCAATCATAGGATAGGGAACATGATGTGGCAAAGTCCAGAAGGACAAGTAGGAAAGGGTATCGGGAAACCTTCGGAGGTATTTCAATTTGGACTTTGAGAATCTAGAGGTAGATCCTGAGCCAGTGATTCTGTTCAAGCTTCTTTCCAATTTCGGTCCATTACCAGATGCATTAGTAGAGCATGTTCAGGATAAGAAAGGAGGAGCACTCTTGAAAGATCTATGGGAAATGGTTGTAGCGGAGGAACGAAGAGAAGGCTATGAATCTTTTGAAGAATGGAGCGAGAAAAATTATCGTAATCTGGATAATGAGGCTAAGAGGTTGATATTGAGGATGACGAATTTGGACCCTGCTAAAAGGGCTTCGATGGAGGATATTATGATAGATTCTTATTGGGATGGAGTTGATTCACATGGTGTTTTTGAAATCATCTGTGAAGATATTGATTAGAATACTCGTGAAGATGGATTAGCGGGTGGGAAGTCAAAAATGAAAATGAAATTGAAATTGATGTAAGATTAGATAGATAGATACTTGAGATAGATACAGATATAGATGCGAGAAATAAAGGTTAGCTCCTCATCTCATTACATCACTCAATTCAAACTTTGATGTAATTATCCCACATCCATCCACGTTAACATTCACTTCAGATCCATCACTAGTTGTGAACCTACTTTATTTTTTTCTTTCTGCTACATACAGCATCTGGATCTATTGAGAAATATATGGATATCCATTCAGAACCGTCTGATTCAACCAACCCTCCCAAACTACTTTTTCGGTGGCCGGTAGTCCGTAAGTGTATTTTCATATACAAGACTGTTATTTAGTTTAATATCGTTAGGTTATCCTTTGGGAAGAGTGTTATGCAGAGAACGTACTAGTTTGTAGTCACGCGATATGCAAGTATGCATGTATGTATGTATGTATGTATGTATCTCATTGCAATTGATCATTTGGTTAGATGCGATGATTATGGAAGATGATAGGTGTGATGTGATGTGAAGTGATAGTAATAGAAACGGAGGTATTCATATATTCATATATTCTTTAGATTTTTTAATATGGTGTGGAAGGAAACCTGCAGAAATTGTTCGTAAGGTTGTTGTGGAATGTGTGGGAAGTTGACGGCCTGACTTCAGTTTGAGCTTGAATTTGTGCTTGAGGAAATTGATTATTAGTCTCTGAGGGCGTTTACTAGGTGCGTGTTGTCTTAAGTGAGGCGCATTTGATGTAAACGGTGGCGAATAATTGAAGGATGGGAAGTATATGAAGTCGTATGTTCCTTTCTCTCTATTGTTCACTCTGATCTGATTTTGAACTATTCAATTGCAAGTCACTTCACCTGGTACCATCTAAACCGAATCAAATATTCTTTGGAAATTCTTACCGCAAGGCGCGGGGTAGGATGTTTTAATTTATGGAGGCTAGCCTCAGATCAGTGATCATGGAGTAGCTTTCGAGGGCTGGAAGCCCAGAAATATTATGTTGTCCAAAGTAGTCACGGTGCATGTCATCTCATTGAGCATGCGAATGCCGGATTTGTAGAAGCCATTCTGATGATGAGGATGCTAGTTGGACTCTCCGAATACATAAGGCACCAGGTTTCCGTCTTCTAACAAACTAGAGACGGTTGTGGATCTTGTTTTCTTCGGCGGGTGAATTTATACATGAGAAGAGAAAGATTATATTATTCATCGAGCACGGTATGATCTTCAATGAGCAGAACAGTAGCTTTACTGTTTATCCTTGTACCCTTGAATCTTGAATGGATGTATCTTAGAGGAAGATCCTTGCCTGCCGAAGCAATAGATTCTTTGGCCCTCGCTGTCAGTACTTGGACTAGTGAATTCGAAGTCCATGTGATTTTGAGCTATAAGACTTAAATCTTCGATAATCAAAGATGGGGAAATGTATGGATCTTTTGAGTTGCTCAAGAATGCCTCTTGGGATGAAGTTATGCTCATGCTATGTTTGATTCAGTGACGGGGGAACATCTTATAGCTGTTTTTTCGGGTTCTTGGATAATTCGGTATACAATCTCGTAAGAAGTTGCAATTGGTTGTGGTTTGGAAGCGTGGGACTGATTTACATGGTGTACTGGGTGAGCTATAGTTTTTTTTCTTTTGTAGGGTTATACAATTTTAAGAGACGAATCAATGTCTACTTCGTTAATTGTGATATTTTTATCTATTCCAATTATCTTCCTTTGCGTCTCTTAAACCTACCTCCTCTCGCATCACGGCTCCTCGCTCATACCCGGACCCAGGAAACAACAAAAAAATCCCAATCAAAGCCTTCATATCCAACCTCCTCCCTCCAGGTCTTTAAATCTCTTTACCAAAACTTTCTTTAGCGAAAATCATAACCGAAAACTACCCATCAATACCATGTCCCAACACGCCCGAAGATTAAAATAGCTCCATATACCCTCATCTTCAAAGATCCCGCATCCCTCGTCACGGACACAGCCGTTCGTGCTTCTTAAGCGAGGTCGATGGTTTGGATTTTCATGATGGTATTCTTATGATTAGTTAGTAGTGGAAATTATCTCGATTCTTTGGATTCGGAGCTTAGTATTAAGGAGATCGGGTAGGTTTTACCGGAGTATTGTGTTAAAGTGTTGGATGAGGGGAGAGAAGGGTTTATGTGGAGTTTGGGAGGAATTTGGCGGGGAATGGGAGTGCGATGGTGAAGTCTGGGGAGGAGTGTGTGGTTTTGTGGTAATAGTGATGGTGAAAGTGGGGTTTGATTTCGCTTGTTTGAAGGAACTTTTGTTGTTACGCTTGGGTATTGTGAGGCGTGGTTAAGTAGCGCGATGCGAGAGTCCTAATATATAGGTTCTCTGGGGTGAAATAAGTCGATTCCCACTTCGACTTATTTAATCTTTAAGGTTGTTCTTGTGGACTGCATTGAGATGAGGATTCTTCACTGATTTGATGGAATTAAAGTATGGGTTTTATTTCTTTTCTTTCATTTCATTGAATAGGTGGTGAGGGAACTCATATAGACAATCGAAATCTTAGATCCGTCCTTAGTCCGTATTGCTTTCCAATATACCGCCTCATCATAGTGACATGAACTCGGGCGGAGAAAATACCATTCCCACACTCAAAGCCTCTTTTTTCCGAGAGTATCGCCTCATCGCAACAAAAGGTCGGAATGAAAAAGCAACTGAGCGATTCTGTCACACAGAAGAGCTCCGTGGCAACAAATAGTTCTCACTTCGCCCTCTTCTCGCTATTTTTCTTTCTCACCGTCGAGCGACCTAGTACTAAAATCTACATCTGACATTCGATGTAGTGGCAAGGTCTCAATATCCGTCTTTAACGCAATGATGAGTCGAATGGCTTGATTTGGCGTGTGATGGACTTTAACTAATACCGATGCAATGGCGAACTTTGACACCTTCAGCACACAGTGAGTCGATATCAAAATTCGAGTTTTGAGTTATTCTTAAAGAAAGACAAGCTCGCGATAACTGTTCCATTAACTACTTCTTGGGCTTGTGAGATATACTTGTTGTTTCGAAGCCTACAAGATCAATGTCAGGATCTGGATGTAAGTGATTATCCTCTGGATCTTGGCAGGCTAGTAGTTTTTTCGGATTGATACCTTGCGTATATTAAAACCTCACCTGGCTCGTTCGTTGCAGAGAGTGTTGTATTGTATCAGAGTGGTTCCTGATCTAGCTGACCAGAAGACTGAGCTTAAATTGGTAAGATTGATAAACGCAATTGAGACACTTCATGACAAAGTCATCCTCCCGGTGTAAAAGTACTGCGAGGTACAGCTTCTGCAATGCCATCACGATTGTAGAGGGTTGGTACCAAAAGAGGATTCCCTGCCCTAACCCACACAAAGTAATGCTAGGCTATCTTTTGTTCTTGTGCTATCAGCGAAAAAGTGCAAGTCCTCGGTCGACGAAAGGTTAAAAAGTTCCTCAGACAAGAGAATCTAGTGATTTGAGTTGGAGGCGAAGATGATATTGGGGATGGCTTTTGAGATAGTAAAGTTAAAATTGAAGGGAAACAACTTCTCAGGCGATGGATGAGAAGAGTATTGACAGAAAACGTATTCAAAGGAATTATTGAAGATTGAATAGAAATCGGGATTGAAGTTGTTTGGGGAATCAGAATGAAGAATTTGTCTTTGAGCTCGAGGAGGAGTTTGCTTTTGAGCCACCAAACCACGTGCCTAGGTTATGTAACCATACACAAGATTTTCGAAAATCACGACAATAAGTTATAACCCCTCACGAAGTTCACTGCCAACATGTTCAAAAGCATCATCCACCCTCGAGACTTTTTAGAATAATCTCGGTGCCCATAGTCATACCGGGAGTCCAGAGCTCAATTGTACACATGTACATCGTACCGTATGGAGTTCGACTACAATGGTCGTTTGTTTGACTTCAACAACAATAACAAAAAGTCTTTTGATGTATGTAAAATTCCTCTTCTTTTTGTCGTGCTTCTTACTCTCGCAACGATTGTCATGTCATACTTTTAATGTATATTAGGTTATCATTTCATATGCAACTATTCCTCATGCAGTCGAGGAATCTCCCTTTTCTGCAAAGCTAATTGGTTTGCTAGTGATCCTAATCAATTATTGGTCTTACATGCATAACCTCATTGCATGGATCCTGCATGATGGCAGTGCTTGGATTTTAATATCCATTTCAAATTTCGTTCCTTCTTGTCTCACTTGTTTCTGCCTTCAATAACTCTTGTATCTCACAATGCTATATTTCGTGCTAGAGAAGAACTCGGATGGAGAAATCTTAAAGCTTCCGATTTGCTTCGATTGCGAGAGCACCATAATTGTCTCGAGACTAGATCCCCAGGCTTTCCGCGCATTTATGCGGCTAAACAGCTCGGAGTCTTATAGCACCACAGAATACTTTGTTAGGCAAGGCTGTGCAGTATGTAGACTCATACTTGCCATATTTCAAAGCCCGGGCTATTTGCCACCTAGTTATATCGATCCAGGACGCGTTATGGTATCAAGCACACAGCAGACATTACCTTGGCCAAAAAATTGCAAGTCTGCAGAAATTGTCGTTCTCGAACCCGAACAAGGTGCGCTAAATTATCTTTGTTATATGAGGTAAACCATGTGGAGGGAGGTACTTGAGAGGCCTCAAGGACTAGTTTGATTTTCATCGTTCACGGAGGAGTATTGTCTATCATTTCACTGATAATGAAGAAGCCGGTATACAGAAGTTTGATATACCGGTTGAAAGTCATAAGATCAACGACTCGTCTGGATCTACTACCAGTATTACTTTGGCAAGGAGATGGCTTCGAGATTGCATCAATAACCATGAAAGGTGTAAATCAACAATAGAATCAAATTCAAGATTACCATCACGATTGCTCCAAATCAGTTTTTCTAAAACTAAACATCGTTACCATGTTCGCCTCTGTACTTCAACCACACTTCCTCATGCCAAATATGCAACGCTCAGTCATGTATGGGGAAGCACCAACTTTGTCAAACTACTCAATAGCAACCTCTCATATTTCCAGGAAGATATACCATTGTCCAGTCTGACCAAAACATTCCAGGATGCAGTAAAGGTGGCTTTAAAATTCGGATTTCATTATCTTTGGATAGACTCTCTGTGCATCATTCAAGACGATGCTAATGATTGGCTGAAAGAGTCTGCTCTTATGGCTGATGTCTACGGTGGTTCTAGCCTCAACATAGCCGCCACTGGGGCACGGGATGGTAACGATGGATTGTTCTTTGGCAGAGACCCAGATCTCATCCGGATGGTCAATTTAATGACATCAGAATATAAACAGGATGGCTTTGGAGACAATGATTGCCGGAGAGATAATTCAAGGCTTTTATATGTTTGTGTCGATCGATCAATGTACAGGCGAACCTGTCGAGATTCGCCATTGTACCAAAGAGCATGGATTTTCCAAGAACGTTTCTTAAGTCCTAGAACAATACACTTTGGAAGACCCCAGATCATATTTGAATGTCGTACTTGTGTGCGCTATGAGACATTCCAAAAAACTAGACCAACCAATTTTGAGAATTAGAGCACTGTACAGTCTCGAAAACATGACTTTCGTCGTGCTTGGTCAATTGTTGTCGAAGATTATTCAAAAACCAAGTTAACAATAAGCAGTGACAAGCTGGTGGCATTGTCAGGTATTGCTAAGCATTTTGCCAACAAATACAGCTCTGAATATCTTGCAGGAATATGGAAGGAACATTTACCACACGCCCTGGTATGGTCTGCAGATGATGAGCATGGAACTGGACCACTTCCACTGCGGGGACCTAGCTGGTCATGGGCGAGTAGGAACGGATCCATAAGATATGATAGGATCTACTCCTTTGTAAAAACGCCATTTGATGACCGCCCGAGCTCATGGACTGCGAGCGATTTCAAAATTCTTGATGTTCAGGTTCAGACAACTACATCCGATTCATACGGTCACTGCCTGGGTGGTGAGATGCGTATCGAATGTGTCAAACTGATCGATGGTACTGGTGTTTCTGATGGGGTGTACCCAGGAAGAAGTAGCAAAACCATTCCTATCGGAGACGAGTCTTTTAGTATTAACTATTATTTTGACGACAGGAGGGAACATTCTAAAATATTCCTACTGAAGATTTTCACAAGGATTGTGCAGGAACGCTCCGAGGCTATTTATCAATGGACTCCAGAAATTCAAGGAAGACCATCACCTCCTTCAAGTCATGCCAATGGTATACACGACTGTGAAGAGGGACTTATAATAGCTCCTGTCGTCGGTAGAAAGGGGACTTTCACACGTATAGGAATATATCATCTTCCCGGTTACATCGGTACTTTGCAAGCTTTTGAGGACGCCAGAAGTAAGACTGAGTCTTTACAAGAGGATGAGTTGTCATTGTACGAGCAAGGATCTGGGGTCAATGAGGCAGGAAATCAAAGTTATGTTATCACTCTCATCTAACAACCACTGGTTGGCTCCATAGAATATGATCATTCGTATGCCATGTCTCTCGTTTGCTCCAAGATCTCAAATTTGTGGGCAGACGTCGCACATTCCTGTCTTGGTGATTTAGGCCAACGGTCAATAGCCAAGTGTTCATCTGAATGCCAAGGCCAATGCCATTGCGAGACCACAATGATGGGGCCCCAAAAATGAGATGGGAATTTTCTCCTAGTTCCACATCACATTGTACGAAAAACATCAATGCCAAGTTCCAAGCACAGGTTCAAAACTCCAAGATCAGGTGAAACATTCAAACCGAAGAAACCCTAATCCATCTCGAGCTCTAGGTGGAACAAATGAATTTTCTTCCTGCTATCGTCATCAAAATATATACCAACCAAGCTCCAAGCCCTCACTGAAACCCCAAGAGAATATACATGAAGTTATAAACAGCAAAATCTTCCTCCGGCAAAGAACACAACGGCGTGTAAGAGATAAACGAAGACCAACATAAATTTTCCTCGCAAACCCACCACGCACAAAAACATCATCAATATAAAAGCCAAGTCCCAAGGCCTCACTCGAAACACCAAGTCCAGATGAACACTCAAACAAAAACAAAATATATCGACTTCAACAACACCAGCAAACTTATCCTGGAAACTCCTAACGTCAAACATCCGTGCGTACCCCTTCATCTCCCACTTCAATGGGCCTATAGCTAATTTGGTTATTGAGATATTTTGGATCTATATTTATACTCTTTATACATTTAATGCTCAGTGAACAAGATTTGTTTGGATGAGTTTATGAGATAAGAAGGATAAATGTTCTTATTATAGGAAAGACTAGACGGATAGAGATAGATTGGGCGGCTTTGCCATGCTTTTGCGGGGCCTTTGGGTGCCGCGCTTATGAAATTGCTTTTGTGTTGACTTTTTTTGGTTAGTAAAGTTCATGTAATGGGAAAGTTAAGAGTTGATGTATATGACGAGATATATATCTTGTCCGCGCGCTCCATGTTCTGTCTGCCGGCGCTATTCGTTTCTTGATATTCCGATTCATCCATTCCTCACTATTAGACATTTCTCCTCGCTATAGCTATAGCTAGTTGTCTTCACATCTCCAACTTTAACAATCACTCCCTCAATCCTCCTCTAAAAAGAAAGAAAGAGAAACTATCCATCCATCCATCCAAAAATGCACATCTCAACCCCCCTCACCCTCACCCTCCTAACCCTCCTAAAATGTACACCCATCCTCGCCCTCGACTACACAAGCACCTACAACCTCGCCTCCGCAGCCCGCTGGGACGCAAATCTCATCGATACCCCCAACAACGTTTCCTGCACTGTTACCTACAATGATGTTTCCTCCTTGCTCATCCCCGATGCGGATGGTTATCTCAGTAGTCCGATTGCAATCGCTATACCCTGTAGTAAGAAGAATTATGTTGCTACGACGGTCGTGGGGAAGGATAGTTCGGTGATTAGTTATACGGTGCCTGGGGGGAAGGTGGTTACTTTTGTGACGGGGAAGAGGAGTGTTTTAGGGGATGGGGAGGTTGTTCAGATGGTTTTTGGGGCGTGATTTGATGGATGGATTGATGGTTTGGGGAATTAGTTGGGCCGTGGAGGGAGAAGGGAATAGTTTGTAGGTGGTGGAGCAGAGGGGAGTAATCGGGAGCTTTTTCCGGCAAAAACAAGTAGGAAGGTGGATTATGTTGAAAATATGAAGGAGGTTGTAATGGCAGATAGAGAACAAAAGGTTCATGAGGTCACGATCAGAAATATTTTAATATGGCTTCCGCAAACCGCGGAATGAAGCAAGAAGCAAGGGGAGCAAGCAAACATACACACAATCAAATCCGACAGGATAATAATTTATGAACCGAGCACAATTTTTTAAACCAATGAGGGTTATACCGTATATATCTCTTTGCACAATAATAAATGCATAGTTCCACTAAAGACACGGGATACCCTTTTAATACTCTGTATGTACGAAAAGTACCCATTTTCCCATTTTCCTTTCCAACACACACACCCCTGCTCAATAAAATACCCTACATACATACAGACAGACATATCAATTCGATAACCACAAGGATACGGAGTACCATTCCCGGCATGCAATCCCTATCCTCCGTACGCAGTACCCCTTTCCCTCATCCCGTCGAATCCACCAGTGGATCTATCTATCTATCTCATCGGATAAGCTAAGCTAAGCTAATCATCAGCAAGGAACAGCAAGGTACAGCACACCACAGCCAACTGGGTTTGCACAGATCAGCGACTGTTCTGGGCTGCTGAGCGTGAAACAAATCTATGGGTTCTGGGATGTTTGATATTTCTATTGGGAGGTGGTTTTTTGAGGGCCTGTTTTTCTTTTTTGAAGAAAGAAGTCCTGTTTTGGAAAGATTAAGGAAGGTTATTCATCCCGGTTCGTTGGGTGGACGAATTGAAGATTAATTCGTACGTCCTTATGATTGATTGCAAGAATGGAGAATTTGTAGATTATAAGATTATATTCGGTGACTATGAGTGGTTGTTTTCTCCTTCGATATGATATTAACTTCTTTGAATTTCTGAATATTCGTGGTCCATTAATCTCTACTCTTTGCGTCGAGATCCTGCTATATCTACACAAAATTTTGCTCCTTGAGATTTCCTCTATCATTGATAAATCATTATCAAACTCAATATTAGACATTAGTATTCTCTCTTAGATTATTGTCGACTCGGTTTGAGCGGTCTCATCGCGACTTTTGTATGCAGCCAGCCGTATACAACATTATTTCCACCATCAAACCATCCAACTATTCCTTCGGCACAGCTCTTAAATATCTCACTGCAGGTAACTCTCTACCTAACCAATCCTCTCCCTTCCTAATCTCACCACCATTCCTTCCAGGCCCATCACCACAAACCCACGCCCCCTTCACACCACCTTCCTGCCATCCAAAACAACTCGTAACTTGATGTTTGCGCAAACTTCCTTTATCTTCGGCTAGTAATGTGTAACCAGGTACAACATCTCGACGTCCAGTGGCCTCTTCAAGTTTCTCGCGTGCATAGGATGCTGTGATGTGAGGATGCAGTGGAGGCTCAAAATCTGGTGTGAATCTCATGAGTTGTTTATACCAAATCCTAGCTTCTACTTCCAACTCCGCATGGCTCGGTAATGCGATGTATAACGTCTTGATATTTCCGAAATGTCTCAACTCTGGAATTGGGCAGAGGAACGAATCACGTGCTCGATGTGTGAGGTATGATTGTGTGAACATTATGTGCTGGATGAGATGAGTTGGAAGCTTCGGGTCCAGGAATGATGTTGTGGCAAGCGAGCAAAAGTTTTGATGAGCGGATAGCTGGCAAGAGGGATAATAGTATAAAACGTCGACGGCGGGATGGAAGTATATGGCGCCCACTTCCTTTGCCGCAGAGGGATTGAGGACTGAGTAATTCTTAAGAGCAACTTCACGAGAGGCCCGACATGTTTGGGTGAGTGGTGGAGGTTGGGATTTATATTTGTGTGGGAAGTTGTTCGAATCGTAGTCGGCTTCGATGATGCGTGGAATAATGCGATGTGGATCCAGGGAGAAAGACCAGACTCTGAGTTGAAGTTCGATGGGAAGTTTACCAAATTGTGAGAATGATGACATTTTGAAGTGTTTTCAGAAGTTGTAGAACGAGGATTTAGGATGAATCGAGGAGCTCCCTGACGTATATATGTATATCTGTATATGATGAGATAGGGCTGAAAGATGGTTGCGCTCTGATGTCCAATATCTCCGAGTTCGTGAATCGTTGAGCAAGTATCACGTTGAACTGACAACAACAAATTCACGTATAATGTGTACGAGAAATACTTATATAAGTAGTTATACAAGAAGTTCCAGCCACAGACCGATATTTCGATATTTCGAGCTTTTAATCCCCTATGGCTGTGGCAGCAGTAAATTCGAAAGTCTGACCGACTTTATTGTTAATATCGCGCGTTGGCAAAAGTGGGACAGAAACTGATTGACAGCACTGTATTTTGTGGTCTAAGGAACTCCATTTAGTAAAAGAAGTATTATATTACCGACGAATATAAGAAAATAGGGATGAATATTTAAAAATTAGAAAGATTGAAATGACATTAATTAATATTTCTGTCAAAGGCATAAATTTGGTAATGAAGCACTTCAATCTCAAATAAAAAGTACACCTAATAAGTCCTCCAGTACCTTAAACTTTAGGCTTTGGAATCTAATGGCAATATATGGTGAATTTCACATAATTGAAATGCAAACATTGATAATTGAGATCCTGAATGCGACGAAGCTTATTTTGGTGTTATTTGTCCCCCAACGGTTTGACTGAATGTGATGCAGTTGCAGTTGCAGTTGCATGAACCAAGCAAGAACGACCAGCTGATGATCCTTCCAGCTTTACTCGGTGTCCCATAACTACATAGCCACACAAATTTACATGGCCACAAAGCTGATGTTGAAGGAATTCGAATGCGACCTCATATACAGGCTCAAAGTAACATATTGACCTAAAGCTGCAGCCGAATGGTACTGCAACACAAAGAGGCTGCAGATATAATATGTTCCCAGAATTGGATAGCGGGGTAAGATGTGCAGATGTGCAGTTTTGAAGCTTGAGCCTATTTTCGAGATGAAAAGATAAAAATCAATTTGGAAATGCAAGAAGAAAACAATTACTTACTTACTACCTAGTTAGTTGATCTTTCCGTGAGATGAAAATATCAATGTCGTCGCTATTGTTGAAATAAAGAGAATTAAAAAAGGATTGAGGTCTAAGGCTAATATGTGATCATTAAGCTTATAAAGGAGTGAAAAAGGAGGCCAAATAAAAAAGTCCAGGGCTGCATAGACCAACAATAAACCTTAAAACAATTATTAGTGGAGTTTTATAGTGGAGAATCACTAAAATATAGACCATTAACGCCTATAACCAGAGATGGTATAGCAAAGACAATAGCATAGGAGTGGCTCCTCCTGTATCTGTGTAATACAAACAAACCAAGGTGCCATGGCCAATGATGGCCGATGCAAATGACCACAATTTATCATCATATGATCATCCAAATTGAATTCTATTCATTCATCCTCTTTACCTGCAGAGCACATGATGTGAACGGAGATGCCATCCGGTGTTTTGGCTGCAGCAACAGCAGTTATATGCAGATTCGATTAATGATGCTATGCTATGCTAGGAAGTGAACTTGGCGGATCAAGGGGTCAAAGCATAAAGAGACTGGAGTACCGGTACAATGGGTTGCGCCCACAAACTTGCATCTCTTAGAATATCGAGAACGAATACAAAGGAAGCACACGATCATTTTCACTCCAGGTGGTGATACCTTACCTGGGTCCCGATCAGAAGGATGGCAAAGAATACAACACTCAGGAATCTAGTCCCATGACAGTTGAACCAAAGTTCTGGCCTCTGTCATGATACTTCTTCACGTACCACGACAATTTCTTGGTCGGCGCTTAAATTCTAAGATGACAGTGGTCTAGATCTTTACTGCTGTACTTGGTACGGCTAAATGTGACCTGACCGTCTAGGAGAATAAACGACAAGCGCCCCTAACAATCTAGTTCTATTGAAATTACTAGGCTACTGGACTTCGGATAGGGTGGCTTCATTTAGTGGGAGAATCCTACTTGGGCCGTAACTGATCGTGGTCGAGATCTACATATTGTAATATAAACAAAGGTGGAAAGGTGGGGAGACACTTTATTTAACCTTATATATTTTTATCAAATATCTTTCCTCCTTTTACACTTTTAACTGACGACTTTCCTATAGTTAATACTATATCGGATTCAAGATGGGATATGAAATCTTGTCGGAGAAGTTAGGCGGAACTCCACCACAGTATTCACGGTTACCACAACAAGAGCAAGACGATGCCATACGACCGGTATCTACAAAGATATCACATTCATCAAATATCTTTCAATACATTCGATTCATTATCTATTCACTAACAGGAATCGCATTTATCACATCTTTTCTTTGGGCAGGGCCCGCTGCGCTTCGTTCATACCTCAATGCTCCATCTTCCTCATCTGCTTCATCTACCTCTACAGACACCTCTTCTCCAACTATTAGTCTCATAATCTCTTCCTCCGAATCAAACCTTGATCTAAATTCATGGACAAAAGAGCTAAAGAAAGATAACTTGGCAATCATCGAATACAACCCCCCGGCCTTCTCAAGTGAAGGCTCAGGAGCCCTCATCTTTTTAAAGTACATATACGAAGCGTACGATAATCTCTCTGATATCTCCATATTCATCGAAAACTGGGCACCAGCAGAATATACCTTCCCATTATCCAAAACAGACCTAATAAATCGTCTCGACCTCGCTACCGTCCAATCCCGTGGCTACGTCCCCTTCTGCTTCCAGGATGTATCAACCTCAGGAAGCAACGATTCTATCATCTCATTATTTCGCCAACACTTCCCAAACGATGAAATCCCAGATAAATTCACCTCTCCTTGTGATAGTTTCGCAGTTTCAAGAGATACAATTCATTCGGTGCCAAGAGAACAATATCTCCATCATGCTAATCTACTGAAACGAACATGTGCGACTTCTGAAGGGACAAATGAGTGGAACACCATGTGGAAGTATCTACTTCTTCACGACGATACGAAAGAAGTTACTCTTTCCAGATCATTGTGTAAAGGTTGGGGAATATGTCTAGATGAAGGAGAATGGGAGAATCTCAATGGATTATGGAAGGATATGGATACAGCAAGAGGGAAATTGGAGTTAATGAAGCAATTGGGGAAAACTTTTGATTTGAGTGAGGAAATTCAAGCATTGGAATATGAGTTAAAGGAATTGAGATTTGTGGTGGAAAATGCGAGGGATCGTAGTATTTGAGGTTAGTTCATTTATTACCGTGTGTTATAAGATTACATATATTGAAGTATTAGAACGCTAAAATTCAAACTTGGAATATATATTAGGTATTAACTCAAGTTTTGGACTACAAAGCTCCTGATGTCAATATATAATAATAAGTGCAAATACTGCGCTGTACTACACAGGTGATTTGCAGGAGGTACTCTATTTGAAACTTCCTTACACGTCTAAGTTACAGATATTAATCTTAAAATCAAACATTTTACCTCCAAATACAATATATGTTCTTTTCGAACTTATATAATTCATCCACATTATATTGTATTACTCCTATCCCATTAGTTTCAATAATCCCTATCCCCCTCCACCTCTTCCATCTATCAAATTATACGTCCTTTACCTTCCTTATCCCAATATTATATAAAACTTATCCTATTATACAAATCCTATCTTCTATCCAATCTCTTTTCCTCAAATTTTTAACTAGCACCCAACGGCCTACAAAAACTCTCTCTCTCTCTCTCTCCCCCTCCCTCCTTACTCTCTCCAAATTAACTTCACCAACAACCTCCCAATTGCAATCCCTTCCCCTCAATATGCTGGAAGTATCCTTACAACGATAGTATAATTAGTACCAACATACCAGCGATATTATCTCCCGAGGAACCAAAATCGCAGAAAAATAACATTCATTTAATATGTATATATATAGATAACCTTTTTAACCAAGATTGTGAAAATACAGCAAGCAGTACTCAAGCGTACATTCGTCGTAGCACATCTAGCTGTTATAAAATTATAACCTGTGACTAGAACGGTGAAGATGGATAGATCTGCATATATAAATTTATATATCTCGCCAAGCTCCATATCCACAATCTCCTATTCAGAAAATTCTCACCACCGATAAGTCGAGGTTATCGTTCCTGATATATACGAGTACATCCTGTACGCAAAACTGATATCAGGAGATCTAGGCTCCGCTCAACAAGCTACTAATATTCAAACCTTAGGATTTAAATATATATACGATGTCGTGGTAGTTTGTAAGACGGGAATCCTTTGATCTTGTGGATACTGTGTAGAGGGGGAATTTAGATTAAGATATTTGTTTACGGGCTGGGACTGTAGGCTGCGATGTTGATGAGGCTTATTTATTTTAGAACGGAGAGGGTTCCTGGACGGAGGATGATGGACTGGAAGAACATCTTATATCTTGCATGCGCCAATCGGGGATGTGGTTCTGAGATGGGGAGCTTGAGTTCTTGTTCATAGTTAGGGGTGAAGTTAATGGGATGTTTCAAGGAGGATGGACGCTGATAACTGAATGGTTATATTAGCGAATATTTGAAAGCTCCTTGTTTCTTGAATGAAACCGCTCTACAAGTCTAGACACATATGGTCCTATTGATAAGTCACGCCGAATGACTAGCTATGGACCAAAAAGCAGGGAACCTCAGGGGTATTATGGATGTTCGTTGAATAACGAAATCAGGGTAATTAATGAAGATATAAGCACTAGCGATATGTGCATATCGACGATGAACTTGAAACGAACATAAAATAGAACCCTCCTCTTCCTCGAATTCTTGAAAAATGCCACTCTTCGTCTAGTAGCCCACACTGCTCGAGGACAACCTTTCCTACAACTCCTTGAAAACTCTTCCATATCTCGCAAGCAATCGTCAATCCGACTCCAAAGTCACAAATCAATTTTGGATACATCGGATGTGATGAATATCGGAGGACTTGAAATAAAATATTAGCACAACATGGGGGTCTATGAGTCTCAATACATTCGTGCAATTGCCTCAATAATGGTGGTAACATTCCCCTGGAAACTTCTCGTAGAGTGAATAATCGGACGATGATAAAGGCGAGGAAATTTAATCAAGATATGTAAGATCTTACCACAACAATCACTTGCATGTTGTGGCGAGACACTCTAGCCGAGTCTAAACAGAAAACATCGGAGATGCTGTGTTACATTCGTATTGAAGTTTGGATTTGAAAAAGATTGGAAAGAAGGTGATCCTAGCTATTACAACGTGGTAGGCTTAATATCGTGGTGAAATTCAGGACTCTGAAGTTTCCGGGTATCAATAGAGAGAATATGACTTAACTTGAGGCAATTGCTGTGCTGTGATTGTTTGTGATACAAATGGGATATAGCAAGATCACCTAGCACAGCGATGAATTTATAACAAAATAAATTTATAATAATCATGCAAATGGAATAAATTATACAAATATATATACAGGGGAATCTCAAAACAACCAATGAAATCACTTCCGTACCGATGCCACGGAACCTCGTTGCTACAACACCACAAATCTCATCTAAAAAGACCCTTTCGCACCAGGAAACTGTGAGAACTGAGAAGTATCAACCGAAGTCAATTGAGGACAGCCCAAAGGAGCCAAGGCTTTAGTAACCGCTGAATTTAGCTTACTTAAAGCAGAAGAGGTGTTTTGGAATAAACCTTTAAGAATATCCGGTGCAGCTTGTTGAGCAAATTGGAATGCAAAACAAATAGCATTATTTCCTTGCGTCAAAGTGGTAACGTCATATATACCACCTGTCAGATTCTTAATGTCAACACCAGTAAAGGAATTAACTGTGCCGGTATTTCCTCCAATGGAGACAAACTCGAAGTGTTGTAGACCTGCGGCGACTATATCGGCGACGTAAGGTACAAGGCCATACTCGTCGCCAATAGCTCGTTTGTACCAGTTGTCAGGGATCTTCTCGTGCCCTTCTGTCCATACAAAGCTACCTGGTTCTCCGGTAACAGAATAGAATGACTTCAAGACATCGCCGTTGAGGTAGCCCTCAGGATATTCGGAAGATTTGTTGGCCATGTATCGATAAACGAAGGTATACGCTGCAGGTTGTACGGCGATTCCAGAGAATGGCGCGTTGAAGAAATATGGATTGTTGTCAATGGATTGTTGAAAACGGGTTGCGCGGAAAGGGGTTAGGACTGATAAATCATAACCGTTAGGACCCAACGGCAAAGCGTACATTTCTTCGAATTGAGACATGACTAATTTGTAATCATTACCACTGATAAATGTTAATCACCACTCCTTCAAATTTATGATATAGCACAACTTACTACTGATAAAGATCTCCACGAGCAGGTGAGACATCACACTCATATTTGTTATGTGAACCAGAGATTCCCTGTGGTTTACCGAGAAGTCCAACCGAGCTCAGCAGGCTTGAAGATGGAGGTCCTCCAATAGACCAACTCGTCAGATCGCCGTCAAAGACCGCGCCATATATAGATAGGAACGCTCCGAGATCAACTCCCATACCGAAGACTGTACTCTATTAGTATAAGATATCATTCGTCATGACAACATTGCAACTTACCATCATAAGTTCCTTGAACAAATTGTGAAACAGTCGCTACTCCATTATGTGGGATGTAGTTATGATTAGCCATGGCATTTAAACCAGGACAGGGACCACGTAAGTCATTAGGACCCGGTGCAACAAACGCATGTTTGCCGGAGTTAGATACATATTGATCGGATGCAGAGAATCCAAAGGAGCGAGGAGTTGATACACGCTTCTCGATTCCAGCTTCGATTTGGGCAGTGATACTTGCAAGAGAACGCTTCTCTTCTTCACTCATTGAATGAGCAGTATCAAACATGCGAGAAGGAAAGGCGAAGGCGCCAGTGAAGCAGACGGCGAGACCCGTTATGGCAAAATTGTACTTCATCTTGAGGTTTTTACAAATATTGACGAGGAAAAGGTAAAAGTAGAAGGTGGTGAGAGTAACAGATAGTGGAATGGGCTGTATTTATGTTGACCTGAATGTTCAAATCTGTAGTATGCTAATCCTAGGGATATTATCGACTTAGCATACCATCGACTACAACAGATTGTGCTAAACGGAGATTGCCTAGGCTGAGCTCGATCACAGGGCGAAATCATCGCAATACTCAAATCACGGCAGGTGATGGTCTTTGTGATTTTTCCCTTCATGGACCCAGCCTTCTCAGTGTCAAAGCTACATATGATGGGATAATGATTCATTTAATTGGCCAATCACCAGACTACCATTTCTTTCAAAATCAAGATCTAAGATATCAACTGCCATGTTCGTGGCGCTATACGCCGTCCAAGAAGAGCGGCGCGAAGAGTATCTGGACGATGTGGGGGATAGCGCGTTGAAAGCGGAATTGCAGCATAGCTTTAACCTAGTCTATGATCTTAGCGGCAGCGATTCAGATATTCGTAACGCCAGAAAGTATAAAACTACAAACTCTATGCACATACCGTAGACTGGTAAGCAGCAAGAGGAATGGGTAACCTGACTACTTTGCTTCGGAATTTTATACTTTCTTGCAGAAGGATTTGGAATTTGTGGCGTAGTACCAATGTCGGTATGGCATTAGCGTCGTTGACATGTACCGGTAGTTACTTCAATGAAACAATCCGCCAAAACCTTCGAGGATTGAGTCCGATCAATACAGATAGTTATGGGACGATTCTATGAGATGGTATTTACAGATTCCCAGTCAATCTTAGGCATGATTGTAACGTGGAGCACCACCTTGGCACGAGGTGGCGTTTTCCCATTTTGATGGGAGATATTGCTAGCCTTGTAGATCTCCGGTAGATCTATGGTGAGGCTAGTAGTAAGTCGCCGAAGGTTGGGACTGAGTTTTCGATATGTGCCTCGACTTTCCTGATGTCAAAAGCATCGATAATTTGCTGTTATATAAAGCAGACGCAAAGTTGTAAAGAAAAGCTCCTTGATCTGAGGAATTAAGGGACATAGTTGGGATCTCATTTGCGATCCCATTGAGGTGACAGAATATACTAATGATGTGAGTGTGAGTAACCACCCACTTCTCAAATATGCCCGCGGTCGGAGAGAAAGTTGCACAGCCGGGAAAAAGAATTGTAGACCATATCCTAGGACTACATGTCATATTCTTTGGTAAAATGCAGGATCAATGCAGATTTCACATATATTGCACAATGACGTCGAGACTCCGCCTGAGCAGGAAACAATGCCATCAACCCTGCAGTAAATGCCCATACACCCCGCTCGATGCTCACCTCTATCTTCTAAGCATCTGACCACACCAGGACCAAACATCTAGCATTGTGAATGCGTCTCGTGCCTACTCGCTACTTGCATTCCATATTGTTAATTTGAACGCCATCCATATTGAAGCAGTCTGGACATTTGTTAACATCAGTCGACAGTATATACCAACGTCGTGCCACCGGCACTTCAAAGGTCCTAGCGGCTGGTTTCAATAGCATCTTAATTGATGTGTGACAAAGAGCTGTTATCAAATGACATCGCGCATCGGGCCAAGAAAGTATATAAGTAGTTGTTAGGATGAATGAATCTCGGTTGATGGAGACGCACACCCCGCCGAAATTATTTGTCTTTGCGCACCTGTGAACCTGCTCTTGCTTGGTCCAAACATCAAAAACAACTTCAGCTCGCCGCTTCGCCTGGACTGTTGATAAAAAGAATCCTGAACTCGCACTTAAGCCTCCTAATTCATTTTTTGATGTTTGTCTCGAATCAAAAAGCATTGTAGAGCTTTGATGTCTATATTGATCTTGGACACAGCGGCCGATGACTGGATGCACCTTGAGAATGGACTTCCAATACCACTCCTATGTCTAATGCCATATCCTTTGCACGCGACCCCTAAGGTCGACAACAGATCATTCTCAGCGCCAGAGTGAGTATTATTGTTGTGACGGTTTGCATTCATGGACAAGTTGATCAGAACGATTTGGCGCCTATATTCAATGTAGGGTAGAGTGGCAGAGATAGATGGCCGTTTCTGCTATAGAATCCATCGCGACGCTTAATTGGAAGCGATTAATGTCGGGTGCTTTCTCATGCACCTGCGCTGGGCTTCTCTGGATTCGTCAAAAGCAATAGTCTTTCCATGGTCCGTAGAAAGTGCATACCAGGTTGCACAATGGACAAACCAATACTATCCAAAATCCCTCCTAGTTTCACGATCTCTCCTTGGAGAGTCTTGAGGAATCTTCTTTGGCCAGCTTCTAGAAATGTCGATTCTATCTCTCGGTGCCAGAACTTCGAGTAGCAGAAATAACAGGTAATCGATGATCACACAAAGGCAAAAAAGTTTCCCTGCCCATATTCCGCAACCATAGTATCTCTTGAGACGATCAATCAAAGCGAAGCTCTGTACACCGGCTCTTCCTCTAGTAGCGCTCCAGCTGGCTGCGTCGGCTGCATCATATCCATAGAACTCTGCCTCACTTAGAACGCCGAATATGCCATCATATATCCTTTCTGTTCTCTCTGCCACATCTGTCCAGGAATACATCATTTTGACTTGATCGTGAAACTTTTCGGTCCGAACTTTGTTGGCTCTTAAAGACGCAATTGCTCGTCCCGTGGCAGCAACCAGATCATCTTCATCAGGCTTGGCAAAAACTGTCATGTGTGCTGGAAGCACTTCTGGTATCCCTCCCACTTGTGTGCACACGACATATAATCCACAACTAGCAGCTTCAACTATGACAGTTCCAAAAGCTTCAGTCAAACTTGGATGTAAATATATGTGCCCTCTAACCATAACATCCCGGACTTCCTCATGTCTGACCGGACCAAGCATCTCAACTTTATCTTGCAACACATTCTTCTCCAGCATCTGCTCCAGATCAATGGCTTTAGGGCCTGATCCTGCAATTATAAAATGCACATTGGGATGGCTGGCAAGAATTCGAGGAATTGCTGCAATTAATAGGTCGGTTCCTTTATTGTAGAAAAGTCTCGAAACCACAACAATTGTTATTACATCATGCGGACCTAGTGGATATGGAGCAGGAGGGGGGTGCTTTCCTGGAGGATCGGACGGATATGAAGGATGTGATAGAGGTCGAAAATTCTCCGCCACGACTGCATTTGGAATAACAGAGACCATGAGGGGGTCAAGAGAAGCGCGTAAAACCGTGTTTTCTTTGCTAGAATTGGTCAGAGAATTCTTGATTCATTAATAGCAACCGGGCAACTCTACCAAGTATGGCTAACACAAACTACATGATCAACGTCGCTCAATGTGAACTTAAGTAGCTTATTGATTAATATATTGCCTGCATCTGCGAACCCAAACAGTGAATGATCTGTAAACACAGTCCTCAGTCCCATCGTCCTCGCATGTAATATAGCTTCATGGCACATGCTACTCATGCTTGCATGGCCATGAACAATTTCAATTTGTTCCCGTATAACGATATTGCGGAAGATTGGGAAGAATGAGAAGACCGTGGGAAAGGTACAGGAGCGAAACATAACAAAAAATGGAACATGATAAACTTTGAGGCCATTTGTAAGATATCTGACACCAGTTCTGTCCTCATAGGCGTGTGTAATTATTATAACTTTGTGTCCGCGGTCGATGAGCTTAGTAGAGAGTTGGTAGATGTGACTTTCGACTCCTCCTGGTTGTGGGAAGAAGAAGTCGCTGACCATAGCAATATTATACGGCATTTTGAAAGTAAATAGAAGACGACTGGTGGGAACAATTATTCGAGAAAGGAAGTATTTTGAAGTTCAAGGAGGAACCAGAACCATTTGTAGTTGTCATCGCAAATTCATATTTAAAATGATGAAAATCGCCCAATGAAGTCAGAAAGCTCCAACTCCAGGAGCTTTGGGCTTAAGGTCAGCCTTGTCAATTCAACTCAGTATCAGTGCCCCATAAAATGCCATTGTGATCTTTAAAGGTCTCCGTAAAATTTTTATTTTCGGTTTCCCAATTCTTCTCAGTTAACTGAGAGAAGTTTTGTAAATCGCCAATTGGCATTCTCCTTTTTGAAATTATTATTCATAGATTTTCAGATGTATTCAAGATATGTTCCTCCTTCTAAAAAGAAGGTAACCGTAGGGGATCAACTAAGTCAAGCTCCTCTATCTCCTCTCAAATCATCCTCTCCTCCTCCACCTCCATCACCCGCACCTGCGATTCGACCAGATGCTTCCTCATCTTATGCTCGATATATACCACCTTCTAAATCTAACGTAAAACCTGATGCGCAATTGAATGCCCCCAAGCTGGGCCTCGAATCGCCTTCTCCTGCCTCGAAACGAAAACGTGAAGATGCTTTAGAGCCCGGTCCGGAACCTGTATTAAAGAAGGCCAAAAAAGACAAGAAGGAGAAATCTGTGAAAGTGCACGCGTCAGCCACTCTCGACGAACCGCATGCAGATAATGCTTCATCAGAAGAAGCGCAAGAAGTGACAAAGAAGGACAAGAAGCAAAAGAAAAAGAAGTCGAGCGATGACAGCACATCATCTGAAGAGACTACAGAAAACCCCGAGGATATAGATGACAAAAGGCATAAAAAGGTGTTGGAAAAGCGCGAGAAGTCGATCAAAAAGGCAGAGAGGCGGGCGCGCAAAGCTGCCGAAGAGGGTCGAGATGCTGAGGATGCCCAGGAACCAGAAGAACCGGTGGAAATTCATAATTTAGTTCCACTGCCACAACCAGAACCCATCCCCGAACTTCCACCTCCATCGCTCGAATCTACTCTTCCATCATGGCTTGCTTCCCCTATACTGGTGTCACCAACGACTACTGCGCAATTTTCCGAAGTAGGGGTCGAGGCAGAAGCAGCCACTGTTCTTCGGTCCAAAGGCTTTAACGAAGCATTCGCCGTCCAAGCTGCAGTACTTCCTCTCCTCCTCCATGGCACCCGGCAAAAGCCTGGCGATGTGTTAGTGTCAGCAGCTACTGGGTCCGGAAAGACCCTTTCATACGTTCTGCCCATGACCCAAGATATTAGCCGTAACATTGTCACTCGTCTACGAGGATTGATTGTTATGCCAACTAGAGAACTTGTGTCTCAGGCGCGTGAGGTGTGTGAAGTTTGTTCTAGTGCGTTCTCTGCCGGTAGCAGAAAACGTGTGAAGATAGGCACGGCCGTAGGGAACGAAGCTTTCAAAGTCGAACAAGCAAACCTTATGGAAAACACATATAAATACGACCCAGCACGATACCATGAGCAAGAAAGGCGAAAGAATTTGAGATGGGAGAGCTCTGATGCTGGAACAGATGATGAAGGCGAACCTTTATTAGACGATGAGGCCATTTCCCCGTTGCCTGATCACATCATCGAACCGGTATCAAAAGTTGACATTTTGATCTGCACGCCGGGAAGATTGGTCGAGCACTTGAAATTTACCCCTGGATTCACCTTAGAATATGTCAAATGGCTTGTTATAGACGAAGCAGATAAACTACTTGATCAAAGTTTCCAGCAATGGTTGAATGTTGTGATGAGCTCGTTGGCGACAGGGCAGAACTCCTTTCCAAATAACAGGGATAGAGTGAGAAAAATCGTTCTCAGTGCCACAATGACCAGAGATATTGGTCAATTGACCAGCCTGAAACTTTATCGACCAAAGTTGGTAGTTTTAGCAGGCTCGTCTGCCGGTGATGATGGAAAGTCTTCACACGCACATATCCTACCGCCTGGACTTGTTGAATTTGCTGTCAAGGTGGATGATGAGAATTTGAAGCCATTGTACTTGATGGAAATACTGAAAGGAAATGATATGATAGATGATAGCAAGATTAAATCGGACTCTGACACCGATTCCGACACCGATTCTGATTCTGACTCTGATGATTCATCTTCCGATTCTAGTTCAGACAAAGACTCTTCAGAAGACAGTTCTTCCTCGGATGACAGCTCAATATCAGGGTCTGATTCTGAGTCAAAACCAGATAAAGTATCGCCAAAGTCGAAACCAAAATTCAAGACAAATCCACTGCCTATCAGCCACGAACCTCATGGTGTCCTTATTTTTACCAAATCTAATGAATCTGCTATCCGTCTCGGACGTCTAATTTCTTTAATTCACCCTTCCTACACCGAAATAATCGGCACTCTTACCTCCACCACCCGTTCTTCCGAACGCAAAGCCTCCCTCGCCTCTTTCTCCCGTGGCAAACTCCAAATTCTCGTCGCCTCCGATCTCGTATCTCGTGGTCTTGATCTTCCTGATCTTGCGCATGTCATCAATTACGATGTTCCCACGAGTATCACAAATTATGTGCATAGAGTAGGTAGAACGGCGAGAGCGGGGAGACAAGGTCATGCCTGGACATTAGTTGGGAATAGTGAGGCGAGATGGTTCTTTAATGAGGTTGCGAAGAGTGAGGAAATTAGGAGGAGAGAAAGCGCGAAGGTTAAGAGGATAGTCGTTGATGCAAGAAAATTTGGAGAGTATAAAAAGGAAACTTACGAGGAGGCTTTGGAGGAGTTGGGTCAGGAAGCTATGGCTATTAGGAGTAAGAAATAAGTCTAGAGTGTGAATTTAAATATATATGAAGTGTAAACAATAAATCCCTAGTGTTAATGAAGTTGTACTGTAGATTATCCGTGATTCTTCACAACTCCTGGCGCTCCGAATGTTGTGGGATATTCGGAGCATGCTTTAAGGTGGTATACGACTGAAGAAAATAACACGAAACTCGTCTGGGACATTGGTAGAACTTTTCAACTGTATATTATATTATTTATTGTAGAAGAGAATAATCTAATGTTGCCATGCTTCAGGCTTCTTCTATCATAATTAAAGAAATCTAAAATACTTATAGTCTTTGCATAATTGACTAGCCCTTCATTTCAGTATTGAGATTGTCTACCAAGATCCATCCATCTCCCCACCTCCTCATCACATTCAAAAATTCTTTCCAGTATACGGACTCTGCACACTAGCAAACCCTTGTGGGCATGCCCGTCCAATCGGCGCACTACCACTCCTTATATAACAGACCTTAGCCTCCGCACACGCATCACTCGTACAATTAGGACTTTTGACCGAACTCTTCCCTTGATACGTATTAAAGACCTCCACTAACGTCTTATTAACCTCCATAGCTTCTGTAACCTGGTGCCAAAACGTTGCGTTGAGTGGTGCATCTTCAGGCCAAGAAATGGAAGGCCCGTACGTGGCTCGTGTAGAGTATTCGAATTGGTACGTAGGACCAGTCCCATTGAGATTAGAATATGAATTCACGTCTGAGTAGAAGGTGTATGCATCCATGACGTCGAAGGTTCCCGTGTCGATCTCGTACATTCGGAATCCTGAATTGAGATTGGTTAATGGGGTTACGCTGGGACCGATCCAGCCCGACATTAAAGCAGTTGAGGAGTTTTGGACTGTTGCGTTGTTTGTATAGTATATCATGACTTGATCTTCATGCGTGTGTCCAAAGAAGACGTTGGCAATAACGTGTGGCGAAAAACGGTCGACTATCTGATAGAAAAGATTTGTTGGATTAGGCAGTGGATTAGTTCCATCCCATCCGGACAATACGTGGCCGATGATCCATACCCTCTCTCCGGCATCTTCCGCCGCTTGAAGCTCATCTATCATAAACTTAAATGTGCCCGAAACGTCAGGATCTGTTGTATTAATGAAATTTAGGTAATTAGATCGGTACCAAAAATCGGTATTCATTGTGATTATTCGAAGTCCGAGATGTGTCTTGACTGAGTAGGCAGCGTAGTGGATAGCAGCTTCATCCGCATCTGCTTTACTCAACCACCCTTCATGCTGCCACAACGAGGAGACGTGGTCATAATTCCAGCTAAATTGTTTGCCAAGAGGACCAGGTAAGCTGTGGGGACTATCAATGTTCTCGGGGGTTGAATCATGATTTCCCAGCACGGGGAAGATTGGATTTTTTATGTATGATTTCAGGATTGAAAAGATGCTGGTCTCGGTATATTCGACATAAGCACGTGACATCTGGTTTTGAGGATCGTGGGAAACGAGATCACCTAGCAAAACGGTTAATGAGAATTCCAGAGATAGGTTTGGTAGAAATACCTGTATATATTGTGAATGCAGGTTCAGAGCCAGGAACACCAGTACCAGTTAAAGCTCCAATGGATTGTAAAGCTGCGAGCGCAAGGAAATATGGAGTATCGCATCTGCAAATTCGTTATTCGGTTATTCCAATGAAGCTTGGCAACGGAACTTACTTGTAAGACCCGTATAATGGCGCAGGAAAGACTGCTGGAGAGGTAGGAGCATTTGTGTATCTACAACACATACCGGAAGAACAACTAGCTTCTGAGGCAACTTGGTACCTGGGATCAAGATGGAAATCTGAAAGATGGAGGACCTTCTTTCGCTTTCCACTTGGTTTTGGGGCTTTTGCCTTGATTGGCTTTGGTTTCCACAAGCCAGTAGTATTCAGCGTTATCGCAGTGGGAGTTGGACAATAAGAAGTGCTTAGAGAGCTGCAAATATATTGTCCGTCTGAGCCACTAACGTTGGCGAATGACAGAACTTGAGTCCATATTGCACCCCAGCTCCCGGGTGCATAATTGTTCTTGCAGGCCGTGTTTTTTGCAAAGCCCGTGGCTTGACACAACGAAACTAAAGCATCGGGTACATATAATGGTGCCTGTTGTGCGAGTAATTTTCCAACTTTCAAAGCAGCAATGCATTTCGTACAATTGCTAGAGAACGCGGTATCATTAAAGATGATGTCCTTAATCTCATTTAGCGCATTTTGAACCAGGGTTTCGGGAGGTGTATTATTTAAGTTGCCGACGGCTTCTGGAAAGTAAACTGGATCGCCGACTGCAGTTGGTATGGTCGTAGGATCGGTCAGGTTCAGAGGATAAGTGATGTTCAATATCGGATCGTAAAGAGCAGGCTGAGGCTCAGAAGTTGCAGCTGGCTTTAAGTAATAACTCGAGAATACTGAAGTAGGAAAAGCAGATGGGACAACAAAAGATGGTGCACCTGGCAACTGAGCTCGTGCTGGCAATCCAGCTTGAGCTTGGGTTGAATCAAAGAGGTAGCCAGCCGATATCAAGGCTGGAAGGATTTTTTTGGCCATCTCTCGCAGATGACAGATTAAAGAATATGAATGATCTGCGAATCCAATAATTCAAGAATCTTTGGCAAATGGTCAAGCAAATTGAAGTGATGAGAACTCGACAGAGTACCGACTTCCTCGCTTGGGGAGTAGAAGAATTGAAGGACTTTTATATAGATAACAATCAACCGCCAAAGCTGCCAGCCACGCAATATGAACTTTGAAAGTGTACGCACAAATGGAGACAAGAAAAATGCACAAGATTAAGTAGTAGGATCTACCGGTACCGGTATCTAACGGTGCGGAGTAAACGTGGGCTAACGATTGGTCGCGGGGGAGGTTACGTGCAGAATCTTGCCAAGACGTCCCTATCAGATAGACGAAAGATAGGACGTAGCCCTCTGCAGTCCAACACATTGATTCAAAAAAACTCTTAATGAATGAACTTACATTTCCTCTATCAAAAATGTGCATTGACACAGTTGAATTGATTTTAAGAGCTGCTATGTACATTGCAAGATATTTTTTGACATTGACAGTTTCCGCATAGGTTACCGTTGCTAGGGTCTACGGCAGCCTCTTAGAGAAGATGAAAGCACCGAACGCGGGGGGAGAGACTTTCAATTCTAATAATAATCTATTACTTTATCACTTATCTTAGAGGCATTTAGCTTGTCAAGAAACCAGTTATCTCTTGACAGCCTTTCCTAAACAGTTTTAGGGCCTTGATAATTTTTTTCTAGTTTGATTTAAGTGTAGCTTTTTGAATAATTAGAATCGTTTTATTTAATTGGTGGATTTGCTGATTTTATTGAAATAAAAGTATGTTTTTGATATATTTTATTTATATCTATATTAAAAAATATTTATAGATGAACATAAGAAAAAGGATTACTTCATTATTAAATACATCTCTTATAGAAACGAGATTGATTACTTTCGATCAGAATTAATCAACTCCAAACTTCCAAAGGCCTTTTGAGTGGATCAAGGATATAGTTAGTTTATCTTTCAACTAAATACCTCTATTTCAAAAATAGCTGGTTACAAAACACGTGTGTTGATATGAGTGGTGTGTGTGCTGTGCTATCTTGAAAGTCTTATCCAACTCGAGCTCCGCAACAGCTAGCAGATCCACCAAAGCATAGTTTGGACGGCGAAAACCAAATCACATAAAAATCACATTCGTTAGGTCGATGAGTTTATGGTAATTTAGGACGTGGGAAACATTTTGCAAGATTGTGTGCTAAAAGTCAGCTAGCTAGGAGCCTCCAAGTGCAAATGCTCCTTGTCCTATCAAAAACATCAATCCTTCCAATGTCTGAAGTTACTGTGCAGGATATCACTGATAGTCATGCACTTTTAGTCGTGAAGGAACGTTAGATCCATCTCTATAGTTTCGAATCAACTTCAAATTTTCCCAATCTATGCTCCGTCGACAAGAACCAATTTTCATGCTGTTCAGCAACGTCCGTTATGATCTGCGTTACATCACCACGGTCATAGTGCTACCAAAATTCGGGCATGGTCATATCAGCATGATACTTGAAATCATACACATACACTGGTTCATGCTTTCGTTCCACTATATAGACTTACAATGCATTAAATGGCTGCTTCTCTAGTCCCAGTAGCATCGCATTGTTCCGGGTCTTCCTGAGAGAGGCCGGACTATTGAGTGAGTGTCTTATGGTATCACTTGCCGAGGAGACTTCGTTGCTTGAAATGTGCTTTGTCTGTCCCATAAAATTTGACGATCTCTTGAGCGAAAGATGGTTCTGGACAACTTGTCGAACATGGGCGACCAAGAGATCCGTCATATGCATCTACAATCAATATGGTGGCACCTAGAACCTCTCATTGACTACACTGTTCAGTCCTTGAGGAAAATCATCAACTGAATCTCTTTTCACTTACCGGTAGCGCGTACAGCACCGGAAATGAAAGCCACGTTTCTTTTCTGAGGCGACCGGAACTCCCCGGCCTAACTACTAGCAATGGCCATCAATAAACTCCAGAAGCTCTATTCACAATGTATCAGATTTTTCTGGTATCACTTGCGTGTTTTTCATGCACCTCCTTCATATTGATATCCCTAAATGTATCGCAGTATAATCTAGATGGTGAGATAGCGCACGATATCTGCCAGTGCGATAGAGTATGGGATGATATATGATCCCCATGATAATCAAACTTCCATTGTGAGCCTTATGATCAATTTCCCTGTGATTTACTTGTAAACAACTTTCTTCCCATCCCTTTTCTTATATTTCATCTTCAACCTCACTTGATTCTGCTCTAATGGTATCTGCTACGCCTCATTTAATCCGAAGTCTTGAGGTATTTGGAATCATATCTATTCTAGTTCCAATCCATTCATGAGAATGCGCACCTCTTAAGGTATTTGACTTTCCCAGCCGCCGATGCGTAAAGAGTGTGTGCCAAGCGGCGTTAGAATGGCATTTTGAAAACCTATGCCGGACAAAATATCTATGATGCATGATGCAGCGTTCCAATGAAATTAAGATATTCATGGTCTATTGCTCATATGGATTGAAATATTGATGACTTGGTGTTGTGGTCTTGAGTATTGATATTGCATTTGTTCAATTCTAGTTTAGTATTGATGACTTATTCAAATCAAAGAATAACATTGTTGTGCCGATTCTAGCTCTTGCCAACCCCCTTCATTTCTCGCTTACGTGGAGGAGTTTGTTTTAAGGAGAGATTTGTACTAAATATGAGTACTTCCTTGGAGTTGACACTATCTAATTTGAGATCGAAAAAAAGTTTCGAGGTGCATAAGGTAGAATGCCAGCTCTTAGAAAATATTCTAACCTAGTAAATTTGGAAGAAGTGATTGCGTAAGTACATAGTGATGGCCAGGAATGACCGGGAATCTCCGTGAGTGATGCTTTCGTGTGACAATTTACTCCCATGTTTATCAATGTTTCTCGATTACTTTCTGATCACGCACGGTTTTATGGAACAATGCTCTTGCTCTCATGTACCTTGCCATATACCCTTTGTTAATAACTTAACTGTCAATCTAGTCGAACGACGACAACATGTGGGAAACAAATGTAGCTGGCTAATATCTTCCACCGACGGTCGTGCGCTTGAGGGAAATCAAAGTTTTTAATCCATTTCTTGTACCGCTATGGGAGTTCTCCGAGCAATTTCTCAATTAACTTTGCTCCATTGGAAAAACCCGAATGTAACCCAATGTAATGCTCGCCACAAACTGTGATCGAGTCAAGATAAACTATGAGTTTTGAGTTTCTGCTAATTACACCAAGAAATTTCAGAGAAACTAAAGTAGCTTTTATACATGAAGCTTTTGATATAACCATTCACGCTGACATGATTTCTTGATAACCTTTTGCTCCACCGAGTAGTTGATATTCAGCTCCATCAAATTATGTTACAGGGTCTGGCTATATTGCATTCTACATAGTCTCAGTATATCAGCATTCGTTATCAAGAAGCAGCTTTAAGCAAATCCCAGTTTGGACATTTAGAACACTTATGTTAGACAAATCTGACGGAATTCGAGCTTTGAGTTTCTACTAAGCTCGCCATCCAGCAAAAGGACAGATTTCTGGTAAGTATGATGTGCAATCGTGGTGTGCCGAACCGTCCTGACAGCAGAATTTAATAGGTTTTTTGGGCCAACTATTCAAATTTGAGTGCGGAAAAAAAGCAGATTCACTGAGTTAGGAATCCTGGGCAGTGGCTCAACTGCAGTGTGAACTTTGGGATTAGATTGTCCGCACTTTCCTTTCAAATTGAACGCGTCCTCACTTTCTCCACTCGAGTGCAGGTTGAGTTCAAAAGTTTTGGCTGACACTTGATTTCATTTAAGTTCACTCTAATAGTCTTTGTGGTCCAATAAATCACATCCTAGTCACAGAGACCGCAATCCGGACCTCAGACGGCGGGACTGATGACATACTAATAATTCAACCTAGCTTGACATTTCCATTGGTGAGTCGTGAGAAAATACCAAAAGTTTAAATGGTATGATTTGAGACTCGATATCCCATTCATTCTTCATCGGTGCACAGGAACAGTTTGGGGAATCCTGACTTGCACACGATGACCCCATTCTTCAGCACCCTCGAGCCTCCTGTCTATGACTCGTAGCTTCATAAATGGGGGTCTCGATAATTTGAATGTATATTTCATGTTGAAGAACTTCGGATATTCTGTATTCATTTGAAGTTTCAATAGTTGCTTATATTAAGCCATACAAGGGAATATCCAAAGGCTTATTTGTTCGAAATCTACGGACAATCAACATAGCAAAACCTTATTCGTAAACTTGACTACTTTGGCCAATAAACTTTCGGGCCGTAGACTCGCAGCTTTTGAGTTTTCGGCTAAGAGCTGATAGTTCTCTCGCAATCCCCAGATTTACTGAGTTGCCGACTTTGGGCCGTGTACGGTCCATTGGTATCACCTTGGCGGGCAGAAGAACAACTGAAATAACAATCCCCAATCCCCATCTTTGCCGGCATGGCTACGGGTGATGGAATTTTTATGTCCACCACAAACTGCAGGTGATCGAACACTATCGATTTCGATCGGTTGAACTTCAGCAAAGAGAGGAAATAACAAAAATAAGCGCTCTAGAATCTATTTCAACTATAATAACTTACCTTCTTTAACACACCAAACTTTAGCTCCAGGTACTTTTTGCAGCACTTGCTGGTCGCGACGTATACGACGTATACATCAACCTATATTTGAGTGTCTGTGGGGAGATTTTGAGCCCCCTCTTCACCTGACCCGTTTTCCAGACCACCACTTATCTTGGCCTATGCGTCTATTTGCTCCACACGATGTAACCATGATTCACATCAAATGAAACGACACCAAGGCTGAAATGAAGATACAAAATGGTTTGTTTTTGAGGCCGACGTCATCTTCAATGCTTTCTACTAAATGTGTTTGAATACCCTTAATCAGACACTATCTACGATTAAGTGTTGAGGGAGGTGCTTACGTTGTTTGCATATTTTATTCTGATCTCTTGCCAAAGAAGGGTCTCCATACTTCTTATACATTGACCCAAACACACTCTTGAAAAGGGTCTGGTTTTTTATCCTGTACCATAAATGAAGGGGGTGTGTTAGTACGTCTTACCTAGTTCACGTAACCATCAACCCTGTGAGATTAGCTATAGCTACTGTAATCCGTCCTTCCCGTTTTGCCGGAAATTATAAAATCTAACGTTAAAGCAACAACCAGGTTATTCCTCCTGTATTTGACGATGTCATGTGCAGAGAGTTGTATACTTTTCTAGCCGCACGATTAGCTCACGGACAAAGCCATCCATTTGAGGAACTTTAGCCACTAACCGGGCCGTCTTCTTGATTATGGCACAAACCCACTCTACACAACACTGCACTGCCTCAACTTGATAGATAGACCTAACCCCTAAACAGTGAGATTTCAACACTACATATATGCAAATGTAAGATCTTATGTATCTGATAATGTAATCAATCACAGGAGAAAAACATCAGTGTGTTCACAGGACTGTTAGTCAGCTTAGTCCATATATTCAATAAAATTAAAGCCCTGCTGATAATTAGTTCATGGATTGTCGGGGGAAGGAGCGTGGTGGATAAAGAGTCGAAGAACTCGTTGGTTAACTAGATCCGCAAAACTTTATGTGATCGTAATTTGAAACGGGCCAAGGGTGCCAAGGGTCCAAGCTCGTACATCCCCTGAATTTACCAGAACCTACAGGCTCTAGAGTGCACACCACAAGAACAAGGAGAATATTTTGGCTATTGTTATTTTCCTTTCCCGTTGCCCAGAACTTTAGCAACGTGGACGACACGGGTAAACGCGTTGCTAACTTTCTTGCTACCAGGACGGATTACATCTAAAGACTGCGCCTAATACTGCCGGCAATTATCCGTAGGTTATTGGCGGAGTTCTCCAGGTACTCTATTATATAATTTCCATTTGGCTTGGACAATTCATGAGATGAGACACGCAAGGATTTGACTTCTGGAATCATGCCATCGAAGACATTCGCGATATGATAAAACCCACAGTCCTATCGAGAAGATTGTGTCCCTGAGGATATCGTCGGTAATTGAGCAGAAAATTCCTATTTTAGCTCGCATTGTCCGACTAAGAGAGCCCACCTCAATCAAGATGGCAACCGTGTCGAATTAGGGATAGAAAATGGAGATTGCATCCCAATTCATCTATATTTACGCGATGTCACCCCCACAGTTGCCACATTACCTCATAATTGCAATCACCTGCAATATATTTCCATTTTTGAAGGATGTTCTTTGGATCTTTCTGTACAACGTTATTTGCCAAAAGCTTCCGGACCGTAGTTGCGGTTGCAGGAAGCATGTGCTAATGCACCGGTAGATATAGTTTCCCCGCCTCTGTCATTTGCAGAACCATTGTAGAACCGGGGATTTTAAAAATGGGAAGTACGGAGGTAAATGTACCTCCGTACAGAGGTAGATTCGTCCCTTGTCTTAGCTCTTCTATAGATTGGTTTGACTAGTCGTGTACCTTCCCTCGTTGAACATCTGCATAAGGTTAGTTGAGTTACAAAACGCCCACCAAGGTTGCTTTTTTCTTTCTCAATATTAAGATTATTGTGTTCAAAAGCTAAACCTGGTCCCATGCATACACTTAAAAATGAAGTGTGTCATATATTCTGCCGCGCGAGTAATGTTTCTTGAGCTCTCAAGTAAGAGGCGGCAACAGCCATTTTCAAAAGTCAATCTGAAGATTCTAAGCTGCATTCATACCTTGTTAGCACTCGTTTGGTGAATTAAAGTCATTTGGTGTATTCAAATCCCAAATGGATGTTTACAAGATGGTTCATCACATAAGAACCCGGTCTTGCCCATGCATGGATGATGGATAGTGTTACAAGCCCACCTTTCAAATAAGTGGCTAAGAAAGTAGTCCTTTCATCCCAACTTTCCAAGAACTGGTGGATACTTCGGGATGTTTTTAACGTGGTTCAGTTGGTGAAGGAATTCGAAGTTGTTCTGCAGTGCCGTACTGGAACCATCGAGTCCTCTCAGGTCCATCAAATTCCCACCGTAAATTCTTGGCCTACTATATTTTCTAATTAAGGGAGCCAAATAACCATTGTGAGTATATTGACTGGTAAGTTGCCAAAAGTTATATAACCAGCATGCAATTCCTGTATTAAGTTTATTTTTCTTCATCACAACCATCTCTCTTCACTTCTCAATACATACTACAAATTCTTTGACTTCACTATGAAGTCGTTCACTCTTTTCAGCGCTGCACTTGCAGCATGCGCACAAATCTCCGCCGCCATTTCAGTTCACGGAGCTGCCGAGGGATTCGCAAAGGGTGTTACTGGTGGTGGCTCAGCTACTCCAGTCTACCCAAAGACCAATGCTGAACTCGTTAACTACCTAAAAGATTCCGCCCCTCGCGTCATCGTCCTCAACAAGACCTTCAACTTCAGAGGAACTGAGGGTACCACAAGTGCAACTGGATGTGCTCCGTGGGGAACTGCAGCAAACTGCCAACTTGCCCTTGAAGGATCGGCTAAGTGGTGTACGAATTATCAGCCAAATGCTCCAAAGGTTAGTGTCAGCTATGACAACGCTGGTGTCCTCGGTATGACAGTCACTTCCCACAAGACTTTGATCGGTGAGGGCTCTGCCGGTGTCATCCAAGGAAAGGGTCTTCGTATGGTTTCTGGTGCTAGCAACATCATCATTCAGTGAGTACTTAGCCACAAGGTCTCGATAGATTTGTACTAACCTTGGGCTTTTAGAAACATCAAGATCGAAGAGCTCAACCCTAAGTACGTCTGGGGAGGTGACGCAATCACCATTAACGATGCTGATATGGTCTGGATTGACCGCGTCACCACCTACCACATCGGTCGTCAACACATTGTTCTTGGTACGCTCGCTTCCAACCGTGTTACTCTCTCCAACAACTACATCAACGGTGTCTCCGATTACTCTGCTACCTGCAATGGATACCATTACTGGGGTATCTACCTTGATGGTTCCAACGATATGGTCACCATGAAGGGTAACTACATTTACCACACCTCTGGACGTTCTCCCAAGGTTCAAGGAAACACCCTCCTCCACGCCGTTAACAACTACTGGTACGACAACGGTGGACACGCATTCGAGATCGGTACCGGCGCCTACGTTATTGCTGAGGGTAATGTCTTCCAAAACATCCCAACCGTTGCCGAGTCTCCAATCTCTGGTCAACTCTTCACTGCCCCCTCCACCAGCGCCAACGCCGCCTGCAAAAACTACCTCGGACACAACTGCGAGGTGAACGGTTTCGGTTCTTCAGGTACTTTCACCTCTTCCACTACCGGTTTCTTCTCCGATTTCTCCGGAAAGAACGTGGCTTCTGCAGCTGCCTACTCTACTGTCGTTTCCAGCGTTACCGCCAACGCTGGTTTCGGAAAGATTTAAATTATTTAATACCAGATTAATTGCCAGCGTGCAACAGGCGGGGGATACGATACAGGCGAGCGGGGTCGCTCGTCGAATTTTAAAGATTGGTTTCTTGGGCTTGGTTTCTTCGAGATGTATATATTTTTTGATTATTTGTAAATATCCAATTCTAGCTTTTTGCGGAAAACAACTTTCTATTGCTCAGTCATTCGCGTCTTTCGTGAAAACTCAATAAACAGGGTGTCTAAAGCTCCGACTACAATAATCGATATAAGCTTTCATACTTGGAGGGTTTTAGGTGTTTGGGTCTGGTTTGTTCTGGGGTTTCAACCTTCTATAATATCCCAACATGATTCATCATTTAGAATAATTTGGATGTTTCAATACTTAAATCAACATAGCTATTTGCAATCTAGTATATATGGTTTCGCTTTTATCTTTGCCGGTAAGTCTTTCAATCCGTTTAATCTATCCTTGAACCAGCGTTTTAGTATTGTGGAGTCTAGGAATGTCTCAGGGTCTGCTGAGAAAGCAAATAGCCGAAAACATTGTATGAGTGGTATAGCTTACAGCTCGGGAATGACCTAATTGCAGTGTAATAGTGGAACTTAAAGTATTTTTGAAGGTTAGCCGATGCTTATTATAATCTTAAGTAATTTAGTGGTAGGCGAAGATGTCCTTGTTCACAGATATTATCAGCAAGGAGTTGGGAGCAACCTGATGCTTTTGATATTAATACGCTTCATTGTCTCACCAATACTCGAATACTATTCACTACCTCTCTCACCCATTGTTTCTCTTTTCTATATATTTCTATGAGATGCGGATTCATACCTCATGGCTCTTCAAACACACTGGCCACATAACCTCCTGAACTCTACCTCAGCACTTTTCTTCCATCCCACATACTGTCACCAACAAATCCAAGCACCAAATCCAATGCTCTACCCACCACAAATGCAACAACAACGACATAACCCAACACCCTAATCCCAGTAAATTCATCACTAGCCACAAAACTTTTCATCCATCTCGAACACAGGCCATCCGAATCGTTGACTATCATTGACGAACTTGATCTCATAGCTATGAGCGCATATGCAACTCCACACATAGATATACACACAGCAAAAAGGAGGGTGAATGCGAGTAGAATTGGATATGAGGTGTGGAAATGCGAGGAGCAGCGCTTGCGTGCCTGAAAGCTTATCAACCAAAAGATTACAATGGCAGAGAAATAATGGGCATAAAACATACCATGCAGTATATTGTCTTTACCAACAGTTGCTAAAGTCATGGTTGCTACGTCGTTACTTCGTGCCTTTTTTTTTCTCCTTATCGCCGTCCGCTATCATTCTTTGCGCTTGACCAAGTGTTTTCCAATTTTGTTCGACATTTTCTTGTCATTTTCGATTTCCTCGGTCTTCCACTGTTTGTCGACTTCCATTGTTTGTGCATCTTCTTGAATCCCGGCGATCGATTTCCTCTGCCCATTTTGTCTCGTTTTTCTAATTTCTTCTGGCCCCGTATAAGTTTTACCATCACTCAAGTCATTCCAATTTTCTTTTGACGGCATGATATGTGGCTCGACAGACAAAATGAGAGTAAAGTTCGGAAAATGTAGCTGCATTAGATTTTCGCGACAGGTCTCTCTGTCTCTCAAATCTCCACACTTTACAGATCTCCTGAGGCATAAGATGATGCATGGTGATAGCTGGCTGACACCAATTTTGCCTTGGACCGTAAGACAATGTAGAGGGTTTGTCACCATTGATAAAGGGGTGAGATCCGGTCAGATTGATGCCTCGTTTATATAGCGCCTTTGCCAACGCCACATCGCCGCGGCCTGAGTGTGTCAGTTTCGCTAGTATATATAATTAAGCCTCGAATCGTTGATAGAAACGAAGAGGATTCCGGTGTGAGCCGGGCAAGAGGAAAAATCCCACATTCGCCATCCATCTTAACATCCCAGCTTGCTGCTAATCGTTTTGGCTGTTCTGGTCCTAGCAACATATTGATGGCGGAATTTGAAAGAATATACCCACTGCCCCCATGAGCAAATAAGTTTCTTCATGGATCAATCCTGCACCAAGGTAAAGAGGTTTTGTGAAGTCTAATTTCTTCAACCACTTTAGTAGTATCTGTCAGACCATGCATTGAAATGATGGGTGAGGGGACAAGACTTCAGTAACTGACAGTGATTAAATTCGGCCAAATGACATAAGTATCTGTCTCGATAAAAACATACCAATTTGCACGAGGTTTCATAAAATACGCCTCTTTCACCATATGAATGAACTTGTACTTGTCTATCATCCATCCCTATCTCCCATCTCCCATCTCCTTTTCCCTTCTCCTCTTTTAGTTCCGTAATATTTTGCCCGGCAATTTGGTAGCGATGAATATCGCGATATATTTTGAAGTCTGTGTTGGTCTCGCGAATCTTCTGATCAACCGATTTTAATGTGTCATGAATTGTAAATGGTCCGATGGTACTTTGCGAGTCGGAGAAGAACATTATATTCCTTTCTCGGAAATATCGTAGCATGGTTCCTAAATGTATGGCCAACTGCTGAACTTCTTGCGTACCCGTCCTCAGTAACACTACGATTCCTTGTTCGCGCAGATCATTCATGAACTTTCGCTCCGAGGAGTCATGGCCGCTGATAAGAGGAACATCTTCCACAGTAGGATGTGGACATTCAAGCTTTAGTGAGCCGGAGTTTGGATACGCCATCGGCTTTTGTACTCTGCACAATAATCATAACAGCCTTTGGAAGCGCTGTGTGGAATCGTTTGCAGTTGGGAATTCATTCTTCACATACTCAGCTAATTTAGATGGGCAGTCAATCTGTGGCAACATCGTAGCAGCACGCTGGTGGAAGTAGACGAAGAGGACGAATGATGCAAGAACGATTAGATTGAGACGCACTCCTCGGAGCAACGACATAATGACGGCGAGGAACAACAGTATTCATCTGGAATTAGGCAAGAGCTAGGAGTTAAAAATAGCCATGCAATGCATGAGACACAATCTAGGCCATATTGTGGTGAAATTTTTGCGAAGTAAGGGAATTCCGTTATTGGCAAAGATACGTCAAGGAATAAACTCCTGCATTCCAATATTGACGTTGAGGAAACAAAATGGAAATAGGGAGGTTCTATGACAGTGTAGGAGAAAACTTCTTTTCTTTTCAAAACAACTTAGATTGCATTTTTAGAAAACTATCTTTTTAGATTTCAACTTGTCCGAAAGATTCATAAACAACCCTTCAAGCCATTCAAAAGGTTAGAGAATCATGAACTTTCGAGGGCTTTCATGGGATTGGTGGCAAAGTCCCAAGTCTGCCACTCCCCTTCAGGTAGTTTACCCCTTAGAGGTAATCTTCCACCTTCCAAATTTCCTATACCTAATGTTCGATAAACTCCTTCTTTGATCCCTATTATTCCCCATTTCACAACGAACTCTTCTGCACGGCTGACGGAAAATTGAAGCGATAGCAGCTCCTGTAATTCTGCAGGTTCAACGGGGCGCTTTTTAGCAAGTTCGAACAAACGTGCAACGGTCCGAGGATAAATTGCGGCGAGGCCATCAATCACACCTGCCGCACCAAAATGCACAATAGGGCCAAGTTGTTGACCAAAGCCACTGAATACACGAAAGTTTTCGTGATCAATATCCGGCGTCAACGATACTTGCAAATGGTGTGAAACATTCCCGTGGGACATCTTACATCCCACAATGTTGGGATGTGCAGCGAGCTTCGTGTATGTATCGAGACTTATTGTGATATTGTTTGTAACTCCAGGATAATGATAGCTGGAGAGATAGCGAATTAGCTTCGGATGATTCTACAAGAGTGAGATATACATTACATTAAAATCGGAATAGGACTAGCATCTGCCACGATCTTGTACCATTCTTGAATGTTCTCTTGGTTCGCAGCAGGTCCAAAATATCCAGGCGCAAGAACAAGCCCCCATTGTGCACCGGCTTCTTTCGCATCTGCCAACCATTCCAATGCCTCGTTCAGAGAGTTCGTCAACACACCTGCCATAATTGGGTAGTCCGAGAAGCCTGCGGAAGTAAGCCCCTTTCGAACACCAGATATCAATTCGGATCGTTCAGTGCGTGAAAGATGGATAGCTTCTCCTGTGCTACCAAGAAGTACAAGCCCACGAATTCCATTTTTGGCAAGATGAATGCTGTGTTCAACTTGAGCCGGAACATCTACTGCTGCTTGAGTTGTGGAGAGTGGTATTGTTGAGGGCTTGAAGAAGGTTGGAACAGGAACAAAAACTCCCTCGGGAGGAACTTGAGGTTGCTTAGTCATCTTTGTTAATTGCTTGTCTTGAGGATTCGTACTCCAAAACTTCACTTCGATATACTCATTAATAACAAATGAAATGGAAACAGATGAGAGATACTTCTTATTCTTATTAGATTTTGACATCAAACAATATCACCATGCATTCATTTCATCATTCGGATCATTTGACTACTTGCGATCACGGAACTGCGTATATCCCCTCTGCACCACCAATGCAAACGGAAAAGCATAAAGCATACCCGGTCTGCCAGCTACGGATAAATGAAAAAGACATCATCGAGGCGTTATTGTTGTACCCACAGTAGCTCTAATTTTGTCCTTAAATTCTCGAATGTCTGCCACCATGTCACCCACCTAAGCAGACACATAAACAGTCTACCAGTTTCATTCCACCATGGCCCTTAATCGCTCCTTTAAGTTGAACTCAGGATATAGTATTCCGGCTGTTGGCTTGGGAACATGGCAGTCAAAACCAAACGAAGTCAAGGAAGCTGTCGCATTTGCGTTGAAATCAGGATATCGCCATATTGATGCAGCGGCAGTCTACGGAAATGAAACGGAAGTCGGAGAAGGTATCAAAGCATCAGGGATAGACAGGAAAGACATTTTTGTGAGCACTTACATCTTAACGCTTCGCTTATCAGGTGCTGATTTAGATGTATAGATCACTGGTAAATTGTGGAATACAGACCACAAGCCCGAAGATGTGGAGGAAGCGCTCGATAGAACATTACGAGATCTCCAGACGGATTATCTTGACCTTTATCTCATCCACTGGCCGGTTGCATTCCCAAAGTCTGAAGAGAGCTTTCCCGTTGATCCCAAAACCGAGGAAATCATTGTAATCGATGTCCCAATCAAAGACACATGGGCAGCAATGGAAGGTCTCGTGAAGAAGGGAAAGATCAGGAGTATTGGAGTTAGCAATTTCACCAGAGAAAAAGTCGAGACTCTGTTAAAAACTGCAACCATTCCACCAGCTGTCAACCAAATCGAGGCACACCCTTATTTGCAACAACCAGAACTGTTGGAGTGGCACAAATCTCAAAATATTGCAGTAGCGGCTTATAGTCCACTTGGCAACAATATCTACAACCTGCCCAAGGGCGTAGATGATCCTACCGTGCTTTCTGTGGCGAAAAGTCTTGGAAAACAGCCTGCTCAACTTCTTATTAGCTGGGCTGTTCAGAGAGGTACCATAGTTCTCCCAAAATCCGTTACACCGGAGCGTATAAAGGACAACTTCCAAGGTTTGTTATCCCCAGAAAATCAGACTTTAAGGGGTTTAAGCTAATTGTTTTCAGACTTTGAACTGCCAGAAGATGCATTTCAGAAAATATGCTCTCTGGACCGGAATCATCGTTACAACTTCCCTGCACGGCTCGGAGTGGATATCTTCGGTGAGGTTAGCCCGGAGAGTTTGAGGAAGAGTGTCGAAGATTGGAAAGAAGCCCAGAGAAAGTTGCGTGCCGCATGAATAGAATACTAGTTCCTCTCGAATAGCAAAATAGAAGCTCATTATTGGCCAATTCATTGAAATAAAATTCCCTGATCATGACCGGATCCCAAATTTGTGGATGCGACATTTACCCGGGCATCATCAGCTCTATTACGTTTCTACCCCACCATATATCCGGACTCCGGCAATGATAGCTTCCATTTAAGTTCGCATATAGTTCTTGACTGCTCATTCACAGTTAGACAATCATCACGAAATTCATCATGCCGAAGATATCATCCATTGAATACTTTCGTGTACCACCTCGCTGGCTCTTTGTCAAAATCACCGACGATGTTGGCAACGTAGGCTGGGGCGAAGCCTCCCTTGAGGGTCATACACAAGCTGTTGAAGGCTGTTTGGATGCTTATATAGCCAGGTACACTGGCATGGAAGCTGAGTATGGACATATTCAATGGTAGATTATCGGTGGCAATTTCAGGTACTGACTATTGTAGTGATATTGAACATATATGGCAAATGTCTTGGAGAAGTGGGTTTTACCGTGGAGGTCCAGTCCTTATGAGCGCATTATCTGGAATTGATATTGCTTTATGGGATCTAAAAGGTATACCTCATCTATTCGCGTCAAGTACTTGCACTGATTTTACTGCCAGCCAGAAGATTAAATGTTCCCATCTATCAGTTGCTCGGTGGGAAGGTCAGGGACAAGATAAAGGTATACGCGTGGATTGGTGGGGATAGACCTTCTGATATTGCCAGCCAAGCGTAAGTTTGTCTTGAACTCTTTCCGACTGTGGCTAATTAGAACAGTCAAGCGAGAAAAGACCAAGGGTTCACAGCAGTCAAAATGAATGGTACAGAGGATCTCGGATGGTTTGATTCGCCATCTGCGTTGGATAGTTGTATAGAACGAGTCAAAGCTGTTAAGGAACTCGGCATGGACGTAGGAGTTGATTTTCATGGTAGAGTCCACAAACCAATGGCAAAGCAGCTAGCAAAGGCTTTGGAGCCACATCGACCGATGTTCTTGGAAGAACCGCTACTTTCAGAACACATCAATGGCATCAAGAACTTGTCGCAACAAACAAGCACGCCAATCGCACTAGGTGAGCGCCTTCATAGTCGATGGGACATTCGACCATTTCTCGAGGCTGGTGCTATAGACATTTTGCAGCCAGATATTAGTCATTGTGGTGGCATCAGTGAGATGAGACGGATTGCTGCTATGGCTGAGGCATATGATGTTGCTCTTGCACCACATTGCCCTCTAGGGCCCATTGCACTAGCAGCAAATATTCAAATCGCCGCGGCTTCTCCAAACCACGTTATTCAGGAAATGAGCTTGGGTATTCACTACAACGTTGGTGGGCAAGATCTTACGAGCTATACAACTAATCCGGAGGTATGGAAGGTAACCGAGGGTTATATCAATTTGATGACGGGACCAGGACTTGGCATAGAGATTGATGAGAAGCAAATACGCGAACTTTCGCAAGGAGCAGTGCCTTGGGTAAGCCCCGGATTCATTGGTCCAGGTGGTGAGATTCGAGAATGGTAGAACCATGTATGTATTTAGGGTAGAATTTCGTCATATTGCCAAAAAGACAAAATAACAATTTCAATTTGTCAAACCGATTAAAACTAAATTGCTTCATCGTTCTGCGGGACATGAAATGGATACGTTCCGTGAAAGCGTAAGATCACGAGAGCTACTCTAGTCTCTATTAGAGCAAAAACAAGCGCAAAAGCGAATATCCACGGAGTAGTATTCAACCGAGTCAGCATGGTTTGCGTATACATAGTCCAATGAATCATGGGGATAGTTCCGGATATTGTTTTCGGATATGCAGCTGTGGAGTCTGGGGTCAATAAGTGGGAGACCCGAAGACCCCTGCCTCATTCGTTGTATTAGCCGGCTCAAAGTTGGCAGGGTGCGTAACTTCCCCGCACTACTCATCCTCCACACATCCTCCACATCCTCCACATATCCGAACCACCAAGAGTTGCATCATACATGAACTATTTTTCTGTGCATGTCATCGGAAGTATTCTTTTTTCTTTCGGATCTGAGCGACCTATACTGCGCGGATCGTAATGGCGGAGGCTCGACAACCACACATTTTGGTGAATTCTCCGCCAACTATTGAAAACACTCATCAAAGGGATGAGAGCGCAGAGTCTCAGCCGGTACCCACAGCCAAAAGACGGAAAAGAGACGAGAGTGAAAGAATACGCGTAAGTCGAGCGTGTGATCGTTGCAAAAGGTAAGAGAACAGCTTGATTCGGCGGAAAACCATCTGATAAATGCCTTGTAGAAAAAAGACAAGGTGCAGCGGAAATCAACCTTGCAATCTCTGTACCTCTGCGGGATTGATCTGTGAGTTCACTGCAGCTTACCGACGTGGGAAGGTACCTCCTATCGCGACAGAGAAAGAACATGTCGGCCAGTCTGGAGATGTTCCTGACAATGCCCAAAATCCTACCAACGTTGAACATGAACACGTGATTGAAGTACCCAAAAGAGGACCCTACCAAAATTATCACAATGGATTTCATAGCCCATTGGCTGCGGAGTTTACCACTATACCACAAGATGTAGCTGCAGCTGCATCAACGCTGACCCGGCTTCAGCCTACCATTGTTGAAAACTTTGACGCGAATTCCAGAATGCAATCCTCTCGAAACTCACCAGAACCTCCCCAAACAGATCTCCAAGGACACTACGTGGGCCCTTCTTCCGGTGCCTCGTTTCTTCTACGAGTGCAGAAAAAATTGCACCGAGAAATTACTCTATCTCAGAATTCATCAATATTCACATTTGGGGATGCTCCCCTGCCCGAATATGACCCTTCTTTTTTTGTTCTTCCTCCAAAATCAGATGCCGAGAGCCTTGTTGCAAGGTATTTCGACTTTGCCGTGCCGACACATCGCTTTTTGCATCGCCCAACTATCGAGGCCTGGGTGCATGAGTTTTACGATAACTTGGGAGCTTTTCAACGGAAAGGTGGTGCGAAAGGTCGGACTGCTCTCCTATTTATGGTTTTTGCTCAAGCGAAAGATTACATGCCTGGCACTGATAGATCGAATGATATTGATACGAGGTAATTATTGTGGGCCCTCCAGTGATCTGAACCGTGGTTTCATAATGAATGTTTCTCGGTTCTTTACTCCATTCACATTGGAAGATCGAACTTCTTGAATGTTAAGTGGCATTCAAGCATTGAAAGTTTGCACATCTAGTCTGCTGATCTGGGCTATTCCATACCTTGAATTAATGTATAATACTTTTATGTAGCTTAGGCTAACAATGTTGTAGCTCCAGATATTTCCACGCTGCGGATCGTCAACTGACATCAGAAACGGGAGGAGTGCTTTTAACTAGTGTCCAAGCTCGCCTCTGTCAATGCTTCTATCTATTGTCACAATCGAGGGTCAATCATTGTTGGAGCTTGTTTGGAACCACAGCTCATTTGATCCTTGCTCTTGGTATTCATCGCAGGAGGCGCGTGGAGTCTCAAATCAACATGGATATGATTGAGCTAGAATGCAGAAAACGAGTCTTTTGGTGTGCATACACCCTCGATAATTACTTAAGTGCAGCCTTGGGAAGGCCTCGGACTTTCCACGAGGATGACATAGACCAAGTGAGTTATCTTTATACTGGATCATCGGTATGAATCTAAGACCCAATCCTAGGAACTTCCGAGCTGTGTCAACGACTCGGATTTGACTTCAAGACATATCCATGTTGACAAGTCAAAGGCCCAGTCAATCATGATGGCACCCATCGCTCATGGGATGTAAGTTTCCAGATATCGATCACATGCTACGATATTAATTTCTCCTTAGGTTAGCTCAGATAATCAGCCACATTCTTCGAGATCTCTACTCCATCCGCCCGCCGCCATCCACTGTTCGTCTTTCTCTAGCAGACAAGTATTGCAAAGATCTCGATGAGTGGCGTACAAAATTTAGCGGTTTTCTAGATGCTAAGGGCGTAGATACATCTCTATTGATACCCCTGTTTCAACGCCAACGAAATGTTTTAAACCTCTCATATTGGCATGCACTGATCTTGATTCACCGACCCTTCTTGTTGCGAGATTTTGCCAGTCTTTACAAAAGGAATTCACATCCCTCGGCCGGCAATGATATAAGCAAAAATGTCACAAGTTGTTTACAGGCTGCAATGGAAATTACTAACATTGTTCATCATTTAATGGAGACTGGACAAATGTATCAGGCATTTTGGGTAAGTTTTCTTCATATGGTTCTACGGGAAAATTGCTGAATTGGTTAGTTCACTCACTACTTTGCATTCTGTGCAGTGGTGGTGCTCTATGTGTACACAATTCAACACCGATATCTCCCTCGAGAAGAATATGTCAGGTATTTCGAAGCTGCTGCTCGCTGTCATTTACAGATTTCGTCTAGGGCCAAAAATGAATCTTTGGCGCAAAGATATAGCGTAGTTCTTGAGGAACTGAGACTTGAGGCTATCACAGACCGTCAGGAGCAGCGGAAGACTTACGGATCTCAGGCCATCCAGACATCAGGTAGCTCCCACCACCCAAATCGGGAAGACCGCGTTGCTTTATCCAGCGCGGTCTCCGGTTTCGTGAACAATGGTGTTACCACTGCTCGGTCAATCGACGGTGCTGATGGCGATTATGTCGAGTCAAGTCCCTCTGTAACTATGGATCCTCTCACCAGCTGGGGTGAATTTGATTCTTTGGTACGTCATTGTAAGGAGTTTCAATGGAAAATATACTCATGTTATACAGGTGACAGGTGGAGTGGGTGGCTTCGATTTTCTCTTTACAGGAGAACAAAATGGACAATGGGAAATGGAAATGGCCAACAACTCCGGATATTAGCTCATTACCACGCCTCTTGGGTCGGTTGCTACTCCAAATCCGTAATTCACCATTTTCCTAGTTCCGGATCTCGGATATACAAGGGGGGCACGGATGCTTGTGCAGGTCAATACAATCCAAGAAGAAATGTTTCCGCCAGTCATATATAGCGCATTGAATGTGATACATTTGGTCAGCAAGCCTCATTAAACCAACAATCAATTTGCCTTTCATACCCATTATCTCTCTACAATTCACAACCATGTCGGCAATAATCGAGACTAGAACATTTGCAGCACCGCATGAGCTTTCGGAGAATTCGTCTCAGACAGCAGATTTTATGCCAAACCGTCCTCTGTATACTGTCGACGACTTAATCTATAATCGAAGTCAGACAATTCCAGATGTTCCTCTACTTGCATATCCCGGTAGCTTGAGAGGACGATCAGATTATGTTCACTACACAGCGAGGGATCTGGATCGATTTGCTGACCACGGTGCAAATACATACTCATCTATCGGACTCATTCCAAATGTAAGCATGGTCGTCAAAACATTGAAATCATGCTAATGATTATACAGTCAAATAAGGATGCTGAAGCAGAAGTTGTTGCCCTTTTAGCGCCGTCAAATCTGGATTATGTCGCTACTATCTTCGCCTTGACGCGTGTGGGATTTGCAGTCTTGTTGCTTTCTAATAGGTTAGCACTGGAAGCATACATTTCTCTTCTCAAGAAGACAAAATGTAAACGTATTGTCGCTTCAGAAAATCACTACGAAGTCGTCAAATCAATCCAAGCTGAGCTTGAAGTGTCTCAATATCCCTTGTTGAAGCAATCCCAATACGACATCAAAGCTCCATTAACTCCCCGATTTTCTCGATCATTGGGAACTGTTGCAGATTCAACGCGCAATTCTTTTATTATCCATTCATCCGGTTCAACAGGACTTCCAAAACCCATTTTTCAAACGCACGCAGCGTGTCTTTCCAACTACTCAAGTAGCTTCGGCTATCGGGCATTTTTGACATTGCCTTTGTATCACAACCATGGACTTTCATCTTTTTTCAGAGCGATTTACTCGGGGAAAGAAATCTCCATGTTCAATGCCAATTTGCCGTTGACGGGAAATAATTTAATTGAAGGAATGAATGCAGTAAACCCGGAAAGTTTCCATGGTGTGCCTTATGCACTGAAGCTACTCGCGGAATCTGAAAGTGGAATCGAAGCTTTGCGAAAATGCAAGTTAGTCTTATTTGGGGGCAGTAGCTGTCCCGATGATCTTGGAGATCGTCTAACACAAGCTGGTGTTTACTTGGTTGGTCATTATGGCGCGTAAGTTTTTGTTCATGATGTCGTCAAAGGCAATATCAATATCAAGCAAAAATCTGACTGAGTATGTAGTACTGAAATAGGCCAGCTCATGACGTCTTTCCGCCCACAAGAAGATAAAGCATGGAACTATGTTCGACCTTTACCATCATGTGTTCCGTACATTCAAATGGTACCACGAGCAGCCAATACATTCGAATGTGTGGTGTTGGATGGTTTACCGTCAAAGGTCACCTCAAATTCTCAAGACCCACCTAATTCTTTCAAAACAAGTGATTTATTCACCCCTCATCCTTCGATTCCAAATGCTTGGAAATATCTTGGGCGACTAGATGATCGTGTTACACTAGTGAACGGAGAAAAAGTTCTTCCAATTACATACGAACATCAGGTCAGAGAGCACGAACTCATAAAAGAGGCCTGTGTGTTTGGTGTTGGTCGAGCATTTCCTGGCCTGATCATTGTTCCAAGTGAGAAAGCGACTGGTTTAAGCAAAGAAACCCTACTGGAAACGCTCTGGCCAGTGGTAGTTGCGGCAAATTCGAGAGTCGAAGGGTTCAGCCAGATTTCTAAAGAGATGGTACATATTTTGGATGTCGGTGTTGACTATCCCTGCACGGACAAAGGAACCATGATTCGACCTGCTTTCTACAAGAAATTCGAAGATTTGATAGATTCTATGTATCAAAGCTTCGAGAAGCCACTAGATGTTTCGAGCGGTGCCCTCCAGTTGAATCGAGAAGAATTAGAAGAGTTTTTGCTTGCTGTTTTCAAAGAACGAATTGGGATTCAGAATCTCGAGAAAGACACCGATTTTTTCGAGGCAGGAGTTGATAGCTTACAAGCAATCGCAGCACGTGGCACCATACTGCGAGAAATTGATCTAGCTTCAGGGGTACCAAGTCAAAATGTAGTCTTTGAATATCCGAATGTTCAAGCATTAGCCGAACATTTGGATGCTCTTCGAGGGGGCAAGGCGTCGGAGCAGAAGGACGAGATCAAGGTCATGGAGGAACTGATCAAAAAATACTCCCACTTCGACCAACATATTCCTGGCTCCAGAATCGTAGATGGAGAGACAATTGTGAGTTTTCTCGTTCAGTTATATATCTGTTGTTTGCTAACCAATGCGAAAGATTTTGACTGGTGCTACCGGCTCACTTGGCGCGCATGTTCTCTCTCAACTGATCCAGAAAGAATCGGTCAAAGCGGTCTACTGTCTTGTTCGAGCTAGCGACAACGAACAAGCAGAGGAAAGAGTTCGAAAGAGTCTTTCAAGCAAGAAGTTGTCACTCTCGACATTCTCGAAAGTGCATTGTCTTCCTTCAGATCTTAGTGGCCCAAATCTTGGTCTCGAGTCTTCCGTAATTCAGACATTGCGGGATAATTTAACAACGGTCATCCATTGTGCGTGGGCTGTAAATTTCAATCTGGGTGTCCAAAGTTTCGAATCTCATCATATTAGAGGAACTGTGAACCTGCTAAATTTGTGCCTTACTGTTCGCACTGCCTCCCCGGCTAAGTTGTTCTTTTGCTCTTCAATATCAGCGGCTGCGGGCACACCTTTGCCGGCTACAATCGAAGAAACATACATCACAAATTTGAATCATGCCCAAAATATGGGATATGCCCGATCAAAGTTGGTTACAGAAACTTTAATAGGACAAGCTGCCAAACAGACTGGAATGCAAGCAAAGGTATTGAGAGTAGGCCAGATAGTTGGAGATACAGCTGAGGGAATATGGAATAGCACAGAGGCTATCTCTCTGATGATAAGAAGTGCAACGACGCTCGGTGCTTTACCGGCTCTACAAGAGGTGAAACTTTCCATTTTTCACATACCTTGATATCAGTACTAACAGCGCATAGACACCTTCTTGGTTACCCGTAGATATTGTTGCTCAAGCGGTTCTGGAACTTGCTGGTTTGCAGGAGTCCTCTTCAAACGAGTCCACGCAAGACTCGGATCCAGAAGACATCGTCTACCACGTGCAAAACTCCCACACATTCTCCTGGACCAATGACCTGCTACCTGCATTAAAGGCTGCAGGGTTGGAGTTCAGTGTTGTCGGCCAGAGAGAATGGGTTAAGCTACTAAGGGAAGGCGAGCAAGATCCGGATAAGAACCCAACGATAAAACTTCTGGATTTTTTCACGGAGAAGTATGATAATGATAGACCCGGACGACAGGGACTCGTATTTCAAACAGAAAAAACCGGCGAAAAATCTGTGGCTATTAAAAATGGATATGATATTGTGGGTAGTGGTATAGTCAAGAAAATTGTTGATAGTTGGAGGAAGGAATGGTGATTCGTCAGATGTACCGTTATTGTATTCGTCGTTTTTCTAGATATTTCGGTTTAGTTTATGATTATCAATCCACGAATTGTTAAAGGACATTGAAATGTGGCACAAAGCTTCTCGTGTATTCGTCATCACACATTTATTTTCATGCAACGCTGTTATCTTTCACGCAACCCCTCTTCTGTTCCCGTGCTCTGACTTAACTATTGAAAAACTTGGCACCTTCTGTTCCCGTGCTCTGGCTTAACCACAACCACTGAAAAACTTGGCAGTTATCGACGGGGTCGACGATCAGCTCCATTTTCCGGAGTTGTACCGGGTTAATGGATGAATTGACCAGAGTGTGTCTCAGGGTAGGCTTGCGTTGTTCATGTTACCATTTCAAATCCCTTCTTGCCGTGTTGTTGGATTACCAACAGTTAGATCCCGGAAGTTCTAACCCACGGTAGATCGATTTATCCCTCCTCCCGCACTGAATCATTTAACATTTCCGGGCCACACCGAATTCCAACCCCAGCTTCCTCCGTTTAAATGGCTGAATCGATGACACTATTGTGGCAATAGCCGCTCGGATATGCGAGTTCCATGGTAAAAGTCTCTGGACGACCGGATGTGGACCCTTACAATGACACTTGTTCCAATATATTCAGCTCCCAAATGTTTGTCATATATGGTAAGCTACCATGTGCTTTTCCGTTTGCCGTGGGGTAATGAGGAGGAAGTGCGGGGCCCCGCACACTGAGCTGTATGTCCCCATAATATTCCCGCTTTACAGCTACAACAGCTTCGATTTTGAGAAGGTCTGAAACTCAATTGCGTCTAGTGCTGACGTCGGCATATTTGATAAAAGGTGGGTGCTCTTGAGCCCCTATTATGTTCATAAAAGCTGAAGTTAATTTCCTAGAGCGACGATATCACTTCATCTCAAGAGCAGTTGATACCATTCGAATTATTTTTTACGAGCTATGGCTACCTCCACCGCTCTCCCTTCCACAGACGACACCAAAATCAACTCCAACGAAGTAGAGCTCGTAGAAGATGTCTCCTCGACACCGGCTAAATCCAGCGGTATACCGGAATACGTTCGCAACCTTTCTCCAGAAGATCGTCACAGGATCGAAACTACGTTGAGACGAAAAGTAGATACGAGACTACTCCCTATGGTGGTTCTCATTTACATCATGAATTATCTGGATCGCAACAATATTGCTGCTGCAAAATTAGCTGGATTGGAGACTGATCTGAACTTGAAAGGAAATCAATTTCAGACTGCCGTCAGTATTCTGTTCGTGGGATATTTGCTGATGCAAGGTAATTTTTCTCCTGTGGCGGCAAGCAAAAAATTGAGTGTTTCTAACTCGAATGTAACCAGTACCATCTAATCTTCTCCTGAACAAACTTGGAAAACCGTCACTATATCTTCCTGGATGCATGGTAGTTTGGGGAATACTCTCAGGAGCAACAGCTGCGTGTCAATCATATGGTGGTCTAATCGCCTGTAGATTTATTCTCGGATTCGTCGAGGCGGCTTATTTCGTAAGTCATTATCCTGTCAAGGTTGCTCCTTGGCTACTACCATTTCATCATTTTAATCATGAATTTAGCCGGGATGTTTGTACTATCTTTCAGCTTGGTATACGCGCAAGGAACTAGTTAAACGAACAGCTTTCCTATACTCGGGATCTCTACTCTCAGGTGCATTCTCAGGATTGATCACCGCGGGTATTACCCATGGTTTGGATGGTGCCAAAGGGCTCCGTGCTTGGAGGTGGCTTTTCATCATCGAGGGTGCGATTACAGTACGTATTACTTTCTCTCTCGTTGAACGATATTTTTCTTCAAAGACCTTTCAAAATTTAAGTCGCTAACAAAAACCAGGTCGTCATAGCTTTTTCTGCCTTTTTTGTACTCCCCGATCTTCCACGAACAACAAGTTGGCTATCAGAGGAGGAAAAAGAACTCGCAGCTTGGAGGCTGGAGGAAGACATCGGACAAGATGACTGGGTTGATACTAAGCAACAGACATTCTTACATGGCGCCAAGCTTGCCGTGAAAGATCCCAAGGCGTGGCTTTTACTCGCTACAATCTACGGGTTTACATCCGCAGGCGCCGTTACAACTCTCTTCCCATCAGTTGTGCAAGGTTTGGGTAAGAGTAACATCGAGTCGCTTCTCTTGACAACACCACCGTATCTTATTGCAGTTATTGCCATCCTCTGTAATGCATGGCATGCAGATGCAACAGGCGAAAGATATTTACATATTGCTGTACCTCCAGTCGTGGCATTCATCGCTTTTGCAATTGCAGCAGGAACGACAAAGTTTGCACCAAGATATCTTGCAATGTGTCTTATGGTTGGATCGATCTATTCAGGATATGTAGTTGCGCTTAGTTGGATTTCAAATGGTAGGTCACATCAGCAGTCCTAGACAAAAGCTTCGAGAACTAACGATATTTAGTACTTCCTCGACCTCCAGCCAAACGTGCAGCTGCTCTAGCAGGTATCAACGCGCTGAGTAACATTGCCCAGATTTATTCACCGTACCTCTACCCCAGTAAGTCATTTACCATTCGTTGACGCGGCTGAAAGCTGGCAAATTTATCAAGTCCTAACTTTTACCCACAGGTAGCGATGCCCCTCGCTACGCCAAAGCAATGTATGTCAACCTGGCGATGTCGGTGATCTCAATTATATTCGCCACGGTACTGCGATTCCATTTGATGCAATTAAATAAGAAGTTGGATAGAGGAGAAATCGTAGAGGGAGTCAATGACCGAGGCCCTCCAGGAAGAAACGTCGAAGACGGCGAAGGCGAGGAAGTCGCTGTTGATAGAGGATTTAGATTCTTGTACTGAAATGCTTTTCGAGATACCATAGAAGGAATATATTTGGAAGTTTTTGTCTCAAATTTTGGAACATGTTGTCTTTTCTAGGTTCATGGTCGGTGAAATCGCTCCTTCCAAAAGTTGCAACAGTCGAACCGACTTGGGCATTCTCCATAACAGCCCACTTCAATTCACTTTCCTCTTTCCAAGCCTTCTTCTTTCATAATCAAATGTTCAAATGACGATATTAAACCCATCAAACAAGCCAACATGCCAAAAATAAAACCCCGGTGACGCGTAAGTTCCCTCTAAAACTCTTTCCAAAGAAGTTCATACTAATGATAACTTATAGAATGGTTAGCGTGTCGATCTTATATTGTTCTGATACCTCAGAACATTATGACCGTCGAAAGCTGTGGGTTCAAGTCCCACCCGGAGTATTAAACTTTTGCCATTTTATTTTTGAATGATTTTACCAGTTGCCGTTTCAGAAGCTCCAATGGGCTGAAAAGTTGGTGGGTAGTAACACTTGCCCATATCAAGTTCATTAAGATAACAGAGAAACTGAAGATAGTAGGTGAAGATGTTCAAAAATATACATGGTTGTGAATATGAATACTCTTCGGAAATACGTTTTGACTCTCAAACCGGGTATACCTTAGCTCAAATTAAAAGGGAAGTGATGGGATTCTTGCACCGATTTTTGAAGCTGTTGGTTTGTACACGACTTTTGTTTCAAAAAGGGGTATCCTTAATTCTTCCCGTAACATCATGGACACTTGATCTGACTTGAGGTGCAAAGGACAGAAATCAGTAAAAGGACATTTTGAATTATAGCAACACTGATTAGTAAAACATTGCGAGGTGGTTGAAAATTCCACCCACAGCTACTTCTAGTGCAAAGAAGCCTATCTTCCTTCCTTTGGTTTTCCTTCATTGACCCGACCGTAAGGGTATTATCAAGGGAACTTCACCTTGAACCACCAAAAAATGATTGAATTACTAGCAATCTATACTTTCCATAAGATAACTGAAAAACTGTAAATTGTGACCCTTCGCATTGTAATCTCAAGACAACATCACTTTCCTGCTCTAACCTCAAACTCAAGGAAAAAGGAAGAACTTGTTTGGAATCATTCACCGGGAAGCAACCCGCTACTCTTAGAATCATAATTTGTCCTCATGTACCGTTAGTCGACATTCTTGATTAAAATAACTCTCCTGGACTTACTGTTTCTTGATAAATATCCCTTTCACCTTGTGCCATAGTCTACGAATTCCTTTCTCTGGGACAATTGGATCGCTGGAATAGCCGGGTAAATAATGTGAACGGGAGCACACAGCCGGTGGATAATGAGGAAGGAAGCACGCAGCTGGTGGATCTGGCGGGCAAGTTAACCTATCAATGACATGTACTGGTGCATTGGGTGGTCCATTTGGTGGCATCGATGGTGGTGAATAGCATGGTCTGGGGTGCCCCAGTGCTGGCCGAATTGAGATGGAAATTTCCCATCCAGGTTGTTCATAGTGTTCCCAGAGTTGAGGGAGAATGACTTCTCCAGCAGGATTCAAAATATCGTAATGCCCTTCATTTACACGTTGACCGACAATAACAACGTGTAAGAATGCTAATCTGACGAGTTCCTCGATTCCCTAGAAACGTTAATTTTGCTTTGATAGAGACAAACAGGAAGTGAGGATTTTACTTACTCTCCAAGTTTCACATAGGTGATAAGGAAAGCTCAATTGTCTACCAATTGCGTCTTTAAGCTAGATTGGTTTTCTGGGGTCTTTCTTCACACATGATGAATTCGTGTCTGCCTCGGCCTGTGGAGATACACAGTCTCAAGTCCTGTGATAAGTCGATATTCCCGAGAGGACTCTAGACACTGAATTGCATGCTCAAGTTTGGAAAGGAATTCCTCAGGCTCAGAAGTTGAATTCTCTGTCCAATTCGAGCATAACATAGGTACGGGAGAGATACAATCTTGTTTATTGAGTGGCTGATCTGGCAAAACATGTTTTTCTGCTATTTGCTGATCCATTGAGACAGTCTCTGAACTTGTTAGAGCGGTTGGGCTTCTTTCAGATTCTATATGGAGTATTTCAATGTGTGTGGCAGCAACATTAGCGTGATTAATGTAGGCAGGTGGAGACGAGGATGATTGTTATGACTTTGGCATCATGGATTCTCTCTAAAACTCGTGGCATAGATAGTTCTAGATTTCAAGGAACGAATGGACTTTTTGAGTCTTTATGATGGCCGATTAAACGACCTACTTGTACATAATTATCTTGACAGCAAAATGAAATTATTTCAAAATCTGTAATGGGGGAATGGGGCTTTTGGGGCATCTGTACTTAGTGGACATCCACATTAAAGCCTGTTTACTTGGGGACTCATTCCGAAAAGTTGTGTACATGAAAAATCAAACAAGGCTGCAGACAATCATCCGTGATTGTTTTGATTCGGCCATGATAACTGATGGCTAGGCTCACAGCATCCGTGTAAGACAAGGGGGAAAAAATTCGCTACTAACTTGATCATTTACAGTCGACCCGTTTGCCTTTCAATTCATGTTTCCGTCAAACGAAAAGATAATTCCAGCCATATATGACCTGTCGTTGGCATATAGGGCATTCCTTCCAAGTATGACAACCACAGTATCCTCTAATCTGAATAATCACAGTATCATCAGGACTGCAATCCAACATTGAGATTTTTTTTTATTCTTGAATTCAATCAGAATGCTCAAATAATCTGAATGGGTGAATCATTAAATCACGTCCAAAACGTTCGGAACATTCAAACAAGACAAAGACTTGAATGGTAGTCGACAAGGAAAAGCCCCATTCAGATAGCGACATCGAGGACATGTCCAACGTTACAAATAATCATTGTGCAAAAGAAACCTTGCCACTTCCAAATCGTAAGCACTTCAAGTGTAAAAATGCATTGTGACTCAAACAAACACGGTTCCTTGAATCTTTGATGAAAGTTGGTCCAGATACTAAGGCGAACAGTCGCAATACAGGTACGAAATACAAAACCCTGGGCGCCGGCGATCAAGCGGGCGATCGATGTGTTTTATGCACCAACATCAATGATTAGGAATGGAGAGCCACGACTTCCCTAATGCTGAGCTTGATAGACGGTAGCCAGGCCTTGAAATTGGCCCCAACGCCCGATGAAATTTTCATTCTCGCTGGATTACCGCAAGCCATGCAATTCTTAAAAGCCGAAAGTGGAATTGCAGACTGACTTTATGGAACACAATCGACATCTATGCCGGAATGAAGTTTGACTGCACTTGCTACGTGAAATCTTTGATGTCCGAACTATTTTAAACAATTCAAAGGCATCAAAGGCATGAAAGACCAAAGAACCTTTCAAACCTCGAGTGTTGACATGAGCCGATCTTACCCAAAAACCGCGCCGACAGTCAAGGCCACGTCGGTTTCTATAAATAAAACTATGCATTAGTAGTACAACCATGGTAAGAGATAGAAGCTCCAGGAAGAATGGAAAATTACAATTGATACCTAGTAGAAAATTATGACGATAATTGATATACAAAATTCCCTCCACCAAAAATGCCCAACTCCTGTCGCTGTCTCAATTGTATTTTGCCATTTGGTATCAGGCATCGCCGTCCCTATAAATATGAGTTCCTCTCTTTGCCTCTTCACAACCCTTTATATCATGACCAAAGCTCTTGTGTCATACTGCCGCATAACCACCTCTACTTCCATCCCCTTGCACAGTACTCAAAACCCTTCTAGACCAGTCCTTTAATAAGTATGGAACGTCGCGGATCGTATCGCCGTGAGGAAGAAGGTCCCAGCCTCGTGCGCCATATCTGTTGTAGTTGAGCCAAGAACCAAAAATTAAATAGGCCGCGATGGAAAGGAATGCGCTGTAGAATAACATTAGTCCCCAATCACTAGCTTTGAACCGGACCCGAAAAACTGAAGAAAAAGGAGTGGAAACATACACAATAATAAACCAAGTGAAGAAACCCCAATGTGAGCTTTTCTTGTTATCACTATCACCACTATCCTTCGGTCCATTTTCACAAGCATACTTTGTGCGCCAGGTCAACCTTAGGATATCTGCATCGCCCTTATCCTTATCTAACCTAAAGAATTGCAGACTTGAATCGTTACTTGGCGCTCCAATCACTTCATCACTACCTTTTTCTTCTCTTTCGTTGAGATTCTCCTTTGGCTTGTTTTTTGGCTCTGGCGGCACCCACAAGTTTTCCAATCCAGTTCGGTTCGCATCGCAAATGAATTCTACAATAGCCTTTTGGGGTCTCTTATTCTTCCCTCGTCCGATGAATCCACCGCCTAGCTCTACACGTAATCCGTCCTTGTCTGCGTCTGAATGTGATTTCGAGTTACTGAGTCGTTCCAATTTAGCGTCGAGAGGACCTCCGCCATAATTTTCTAATTCGCCAGCAAAGGGAACGATTTGTTGTGTTGCATCCGATCCTTCTTCTTCGTTGATAACATGTGTTATTCCGCAAACTATTATTCCATCATACATGTTAATGAATCAAGGCTTTCTAGGTGGTACACAGGAGATTCGTGGCTAATGTTCAATGAGACATGAATAAGGAGAGACATTACCTCTTGTCCCACCTGGGCACTCATGAAACCCCTTCTTGACTATAGCTTGACAAATGTCGATTGTGTATGTTGTATTTGTCCATCCTCTTGCTTCACCAACATAATCTTCAACGCTATGTAATGCCGACCGAGGCCCGCCCAATGCCCCCAAATCAAAGTGCTTTCCGTCGACAACTATATTTTTGCAGTCTAGATTTCCAAGAGCGGAGGAGAGAAGTGGAAACAGGAGGGTGGAAAGGACTGCAGCTTCGGCTGGAAGGTAATGAAGACGCATGATTGATGTTGAATTAGAACGGTCAGAATACCGAAGCCCAGATAGGCGGACAATGGTGGTTCCAAGAGCTTATCAAACGCGCCGGAATCGAATTATATGAGGCTGCTCTTTATGATGGGATATTCCAGAGAGAAGCGGAGAGAAGACGTCGATGAGCAAGCCTTATACTCTTGAATGCGGAAAGTAGGGGGAATGATTGTTTGTAACTTTAACTTTAATAGATTGTTTTGTGTTTGTGACCATATGATGGATGCAACTTCTTGATGGATGCAATTCATTTACCGTGGGAACTGTAAAATGACGGTGATTACCTAAGCCACGAAAGCATGAAGCATTACTAATGTCATCAATCATGTGATATGATGATGTTTGCGGCCACAATCTGACAAGATTACATTTTGATACTTTTTGACCATTAATTATCTTTCAACGTAACTTCTTTTATATATTTTATCTATCCATTTATTCATTATTGGATTCATACATTTAACCTTACTTCATCTCCAAAGTATGACTTCAACTTCAAAGCTCACCATCTTGAGATTAGACTTCATTTGTTCTAGATTACATTACCGATAGTAATAGATTACCTTACATCTGGTACCTAGTATTTGAATTGAAGATGTCTTTCCTTTTCAATCATCTGCCTCCACAGCAGTGACCTTCCAAAATTAGCGGATCATCATTTACTTAGGTATTATTATTCGGCCCTCTACTCTGTGATGATGAAGGTCATTGTTCTAGCCAAAGTATCTTGCACATCTTGTTGTTCCAAATATCTCATCTACAAAGATTCGGACCATCTGTTTCTTATGCGGGCGATAAGACTGTCGATTATCAAACGGCATTGGTCCGTCAACTCCAGCGTCTCTCTGGCCGCAATGGCGACTCACTGTATTCAGTTGGGCTTGGAGGGCCAAATGTAGCGACGTTGGTCGTTTTCTTCCATGAACCAAGTCAAATATTCATACAATGCGGACCAAGCTGGCCACGTTATACTGGATTCGATGCTCCATAAGTTTCTGCCTACAGACGAGTCAAAAGACATTTGGTCAAAATTCGAAACGCCAGCACGGCTTTTCAAGGTCTCTCACGTTTGTTACATGTGATGAAAAGCTTCGTGTTGCCGAGATATGCCCAGGTATGTAAAAGTATGTGGTAAAAATTGTCTATCAAAGAAGTATCTGCCTGGGCACGATAAAGTTCATTCAAAATATTACTTAGCCTCTTTACAAGACTACTTTACTAGGTTGCTTGATAAGGCAAATTATTCTAAGCCGACAAGAAGCGGATTATCAATTGAAGATCACGGTAGTCTATTGTCCAGACCTCTGCCACAATTCTATGGTTGATGGGAGGTGAAAAGACGCAAGCCTGCCTATCTGCGAGGAGCAAGCTGCGACTTCGGTCGATTTATGGATCATATGTTTTCAAAGCTGATCCGCTGAGAACCGCCCACAAAATCCACCCAGAAAAACCGCCCAGAGTTAGAGTGGAGCCAGAGAACAATGTTGGTTTTCTAGGTTGGTGTCAGCCCTTTTTCTCCACTATGTTTTGTACTTCCTGGACCGTGGTCAAATTCTTCTCCTTTCTCCACTGCACAATTGCTGTGTTGGGGAAATTACGTTTATGATGAATCTCGGTAGGGCAGATTGAATCTATGGAGTCCATGGTCGATAGTGACCTATGGCGATAGTATTTATGTATCGTGTCTTCTTCCACTCCCAAACCTTTAGTTTCTTTCTTTTGTGTCCTCAACTTTCATAACTCCATTCCCAATTCTATTGTTGCCAAAAACCACTCATCCGGAGCGCGCTACATCGTCTTACTTTGCCTATCCCGATCTATCCATCTCCTCGTCAAACATCGAATTCATTACCTTCTCAGTTATCCATTACCACGCAAAGCAATTATGGTTGTGAATACTTTCACTCCCCATATCGCGAAGCTCGCCAGGTTCTCACTTGGAAGGTTCACAAATCGCTGGGCGAATGAGGAAGAACTAAAGTTAGTTTCACACTTTCCAATGCCCCTGTCCTTCCCACTTGCTTCTAGATTGGTTCGATTCGAGTATGGAAAGGAACACAGGAATTCGGGATGAGAGTAAAGAAGAGAACTAGACTAACCTAGCATCTATGCAGCAAGCCCTCAATTTTGAAAGACAATAAAATCCCCAAGGATGTACCAGCACAGTGGAGTGTTTTGAGATGGCAATATCAAAGCGAGTTATTGATGGAGATCAAGAGTAGAGATATGGAAAGAGTGAGGCAACAGCAACCCCTGGATGGGGTGATGTTGGGGATGGGGGAGAAAGCGGAGATGAAGGATTTGATGAGCGAGAACCATCTTTGGATGTGTGCTGTTTAAAATGCTGCATTTGTGACATGGGAAGGTTGATTTGGGTGTGGTCAGTAATGCTATGGAGAAGCGTCCTTATTTGGAGACCAATGATTAAAATGCATTATATGGCGTTATATATGGGATGGAAGTCTTTACAACAATACCGATGGCTTGAGGAAATATCAAGTACTCGCCAGATACCAAGGGTATCATTAGACGCATAGAAAAAGACATAGACGAAGCTGCCGGCAGCTTCCTTTGTCTATCAGGCTACTCAGCAATAATACGATATGGGATATAAATACGACTACTCTACACCCTTGCCTGTCGACCAGGAAAGTGATTGCTTATCTCACGCAAATTGCAAGGTTGCCCCCTCCATTCTTGGGCGCCAATGTGTCCAATAGTCCAGACTCCAGAATGCAGTCCAAAAATAAAAGATTTTGGGATATTGAGATTATTTCGACAATTAAACTATCCATTGAATTTTGAAACAATCAAAACAGTCTTCAAAGATTCAAAGCTTGAAAGATCACAATCGGCCTGTAGTCCTGACCATTGACACGGCCTGATGTCCTCTTCACTCAATCACATTCGAAAAGATGGCTCCTGAAGAAAACGTAGAGATAAGCTCATTATCAATAAATAGATGCAGCAATTACATGCTATCCTCCAAAATATGCTCCAGAAACCTCTCGCCGTAACGATAATAAACTCCAAACCTAATGCCGAAAAAGTACAATGCTCTCTAAATGTCCACGGCATCACCTCGTACAGAACGTAACCATAAATCTTACTTGACTCCCACCAACAGGTATTAACTGTCCGAATAATCCGCGATATGATCAACATGCGGTGTTCTTCAATCCTTTATTTTCAATCCATGAAAGTAAGTGATCGCCCTCCTCCTTCCTTTCTAGTCAATCCTATAAGGTTACCCAACGCATCCACATCGAAGGGCAATGACCATATTACAACCCCAATTTCTCAACGACGTATATTAAGAATCACACCGGCCGTTCAATTTCAACAGCCTGTGATGTTGAAGCTCTGAGCTCTTGCGTCTTGTCTGCATATGTATCTTGTTCTGTATTATGGGTGCGCGGTGTCTGGCTTTGGGGTTTGTTATACAGATCGTCTATTTCTTTGCTTTTTTGATAGGATGTTTTTAATTCATCTTCTCGCCGGCGGAGTTCTTTGACGTGGGCTCGGCGGGCTTTGAGCCTGAGGGTGGTGTTAGTATTGGAAATGGATAGAGAGTGTGAGGGCTATTGTAAGGAGTAGGGGTATGAAAAAGAGGAAGGATGTATGGAAAGAAGTTTAGGCTTGACTACTTACTTTTTAACAGCGGGTACTACGCTATACATATCACAAATTGAGTCTTGTTGTAATTCCTCAGAAGATAATGGTTTTCTGAATACTAAGAATACAAAATGCAGTCCTTAACGGTGTGGGGTTTTGTGGATATTGGGGGATGAGGGGTAATATTTGATGGGAGGAATGAAATAAGTTCTTGCAAATAGCACGTAGGAGAAGGACTCACCGGTACATATACATACCCAGTACCTACTAGATGATATGACTCAAATGCATTGACAAACATCAATTTTTAAAGTGTTTTTTTTTTCATCTGAAGTTTAACGTCATTTCAAAAGATCCGATGCAATATCCCTAACTTCACGGTAGTTGGAAAGTTTACTTGGTATATTTCCAACTTCTCCAACCAATTAACAATCGGTGAAAGGGGAGGGGACCTAGCCGGGTTTGCGCGGACACTCTGATCGCTGCCTCTTCGGTCTGTCTATGATTAAAACCTGGACAGATCTCCAATCGAAGTCTCAGATGTAAGTTCTTTCTATACTGATGAAGGACCCGATCAAGATATCAAGATATTATTAACGTTGTTGACTGGAATCGGTGGAGGCAGCTTAGCGTTCTTGGCTCTGGCACTTGCGTAGAGGTGTATATATCTCCGTATGTCGTACTGAACCATGAGCTTTGAAGAAACAATGCTGTCTCATGCCGCTTTATTATGGCGGCAGTTCAAAGTGCTCAGTGATGGTTTGATGGAGAGAGAGAGAAAGAGGGGGAGAGGTGGAGAGAGAGCATCCCGGTTGAACGGTGGGGAAGAACACGCACGTGACAAGCTCAACTCAACATATTAAAGGCGGTGTCCAAAGGTAGTAGGCGGTATAAAAATAAAATATGCAAAATATAGAGCAAAGGGAGGGTCACCAAGGTCAAAACTCAATAAACACAACCATAAAACAATACTGATAGCTCACTCCACACACCTGATAATAATGCCCCCATCACATACTCCTACTTTCAACTATCACGATCACTTTGGAATCGGCAATACTGGCAGACGGAGGGGTATTCGTCCAATTGATCATAATAATGTTACTCCTGTCCCAGGATCTCTTTCATTTGGTGGAGATGCACAAGACGAATTCGATTCGACCGGCACAGACGTTTTAAGTGAAGCAGAAGAAGACGAGGAGGATGAAGAGGAAGGGGAAGGCGAAGATGAATCTGAAGCTGAGGATGTACTTGGGGAAATGGAAAATGTGGATGAGGATGAGGATATAGGCTTGGAGGAAGCGCCAGTTCAAGGTTTGTCTCAATATTTGTTTATCGCTCTTACTCTCAATCTTTCTACAACAAGAACGCAAGTTCGTAAAGGAAAGAGCAAGCACCATCAATCATGACCACAATTACAACGACAAGCAATGTCACAATCACAACCTTCATTTTTCCCTAAAAAATGTCTGCTCGAACTTCCTTCAATCCAATTAATCATCAACTCGTGCCTGGTGAACTACCAGTACACGTTACAGCGCCGCAGCTTGATTTTACTTGATTTCCTGTTTCAAAATAAACGTTTTCACCATCCACTTTACAGCATCCATCTAACTTTCTTCTCATCTAGTCGCCATGGACAATTCGCTGCCATTTGACCCTACCGCACTTGGATTGAAAGAGATTGGAAATTTAGCCAGCTGGACTGTTTCTAGTAGTAAACCCGGTTGCGGTGTTCTTGCACTCAGAGACGATGACACCAATTTATTTTGGCAGTAAGGACTTTGCGATCTTCTTAACTTCACCATCTTCTCTAATGCGCACAAAGTTATGGGACATTCACTAACATGCTCTGCTCCAGATCCGATGGACCTCAACCCCACTATCTGAATATTCACTTTGCCAAATTCGCAAAGATCCGTGCCATTCGTATCTTTCTGGATTTCGAAGCCGATGAGTCCTATACACCGACGCGTATACAATTGCTTGGAGGCACAGGCTACCATGACCTAATTCCATTCTCCGAACTCTCGTTTGTTCAACCCAAGGGCTGGATTGATGTTAATCTTGACCATGTGGGGGGAGGCTCAGATGGCAAGACACTTCGCGCATTCATTATACAAGTCAAGGTGTTGGAGAACCATCAAAATGGAAAGGATACACATGTTCGTGGACTGAAAATTTATTCTCACGATGAACGACATGAATCTCCCCCACCATCGTGTTTTGAAGATGGTGGTGACTCTTGCTCTTCAATCGATCCTAACGACTTCAGAGGACCCGACGATGATCTTGAGAGCGGAGATGCAAGTGGTGATGATGATCATTTCTGGAGGGATTTTACACATGCTAGAATGGGTGGACTCAAAATGCCAGACCTAAGTGGTTTGAGTGAACCTGGATTCATGTCCGAGCCAGAGTTGCGGTAAATAAGTTACAATCACCTGCTGGTGTTTTTGGAGTTGTGGGAGTTCTTAAGATACCCTGGGTTTATATAACGGTAGTGAATAATGATTTTATGATAAGAAGAGCAACTTTCCCGACTCTAGAGCATCGTGCTCTATTGATGGACATCCTTCGAAAGTTTGAGGGGCTTGAAGTTGATCAGTGGCAAAGGATCTCTACACGGCGGCCGCAGCATGTTCTTTCAAGAGTGTATACACATCTTTTCTGTTGGTTAATTGTGGAATTTGAGTGAGATTCCATTCAACTATGTACATGTTTGTGGAGAACAACTATTCACTATAACTTTCCTATCAACTACTCGTCGCTCGAGCTTACTCATATCGTTTTTGACTCCTCATCGATTTCGCTGCACCATACGTACCCAAACACATTCAAGTCTTTCCATTACTCATCAATATAGCACCGCTATAGTTGCGTTACATAACGAACATCCATGGTGGAGACGCCCACTGATTATCGTGGCTCCTCAACATCAGCAAGAAAAGCAAGAAGATGCATTTCTATTCCCTGCTTAAGTATGATGAGCACTTTTTCCGGGTTTGTCTCGGGCTTTAGTAACCTCCAATGCGTGCCATCATCTATCGAGAATCATCGTAGTGGTCACATCCCTGTGCATGAACAGCTTCAAAGCCACGGCGGTCATCGACACAGCTCCACCTTGGCGTGTAAGTTCCTCCCCTATAGGGTAGGGTGTCTAAAAAAAAAAGCTTAGGAAATCCTATTATTATTCCTGGATCCGCGTCTCTGTTCTTGATAACAGTTGAATGATGCTCTCTATCAATTACCATCTCAAGGGATTGTCTAGCTTAGTCGCTTTTGTAATCTCTACGAGTTGTATAAGCTTTGTTTCCGCTTGCTTACACGATTAAAAGCCATCTTTCGTTTGTGCGACTAACCATCAGGTCACAAGTGCAAAAAGTAACTGTAATACCTTGGGAATTGATCCGATTCAGCCAGTAAGTATTATTGAAAGAGCCTTGAATGTGAAAGAAATTAGGAAATTGAAGAATTGAAACGATCAATAACGTTCTTTGGTAGAAAATGGGTATAATGAATGGAAATATTGTACCTGATGTTTTTTCACGTTGCTAAACCTACCCAGAAATTCAAGAAAGTGTGTTCTGTGGCCTGATTTATGCCCAATTATGGTGCTTTATGTCGCTGTGAGAGGCTTAAGGAGAACTGTCTCAGGAAATATTCACCATGAAAGAAGCTTGGCTTGGTCGAATTTTAGCAATATTACTCGGTTATGAAAGGATTATGGGCCGAATATTACCTAGATCAGAAAGCCTGTCAAGCAAGCGCTACGGCACCAAAGGCTGATTTCGTAAAACATTGATTCATGGCTGAATATCCAAGAGTTATGTCTTTTGAAAGCCATGATGTTGCAAGCAGATATAAATGATGTGCAATTCACCCTCACAGTACCACTGAAAGAAACTGCATCTCATTTTTTATCTGAGGAAGACTCAATACAATTAGACCCCTCTATAACTCGAGCTGTATCATGTGAGTCAAGTCCCCGTCCCCCTTACCCGGAAAACCTAAGTAAGAAATAAAAATTTCAAAGAGTGCCATATTCACATAGAATGTGGCTTCTGCGTCTTCGTATTACATTTTCCAGCCTGTGTTCAATCCGATTGTAACGTCAATCATCCCAAAATGCCTACCCCTGCCTACTATTCTAGATGCCCACCCTTTCCCTCCGATATTCGAGTCGCAAACGTTCCTGTTTTCTCCTTCGCTAAGCTTGCAGTCAACGACCATTATGAGTCTCACGCTCTCTTCGAAGCGAGTCGTCACATAGGCTTGTGAGCAGCCACAACCCTTTCGTTCTACAACTTTTCCAATCTCGTCTCCTTTTGTGAATACTTCAGGGTGATGCAATGTTTGATACGCGCTTAGCGCAAAAAGTCTATCAATCAATTTGCCACATGATTCAATATCATATTGCACTCTCAGCTAGGGCAATGCTGGTTATTTATCTTTCACCACATTCCTCCCCATTCAAGCAAAATCACAGATTTTGCCTCTGAACATTCATTTACAGAAATTTACTGACTGTCAAAACTTTAGCTTTCACCTTGACTTTACCGACTGCCTTTTCGGAGATGAATTTCTCAAGTGCACGGAAGAAATGTTTGACTTGAATGCAGAATTACATGCACTCTCCAAGGAGGAGCTCACAGAATACGCTTACAATCCTCCTATCTCACTATTTCGGTACTGAAAACCTTTTCATGATTAATCCCTTTATATCCTCGAAGTTTTACGCTGCCCAAGAGCTTTAGTTGACCACTATCGTTGTTAAATATCTAGCTATAAACCCTTAGGCTACCACAAAATTGGCAAAACAGGAGACAGAGTTGAGCTATACGGGATTAGTCGTGATGATATAACTGGAGTTTCTGAGCCCCTTATTAACCCCATCTGCATCGAACGTTCTCGTCCACAATTGAGAAACTACATCGAACAGGCCAATGCAGTCGTGTGCATAATTCTTGGGCATTTGGAAAAGCATTTGAAATTGCCACTGGGAACATTTTCAAAGCTGCAACCAATGACAAAACCAAGTGGAAGTGTTTTGAGGATGTTGAAGTATGAGCCACAAGTAAGCAAAATCTTTTCTTATACTGCTTTTCTATGGCCAATGTTTGATAGGCTCTCAAGGGATATAATCATTATTCACATCTTCTAGTGAAGAGTAGCTGAAGCTATGGCCCATCTGCTTCATTGCAAACTTTGTTCTATGCTAAATATCTGTACATCAAACTGTGCTGACAATCAACCAGCCGCCTGATGATCGTCGTACTGCCATGATGGGACACACTGATATCACCGCGCTCACCCTTCTTTTCAGCGCAACCGGAGGACTTCAAATCCTTAATGATGACGCAGGTATGATTAACAGCTCACGATATCTTGATTTCTCTTCAGTCTTGTAACCGAGTAATAACTAATTAAAGCTTCATAATTTAGACCCTCATCTTGAGTCGTCCTGGACTCACATTAAACCGAAGCCATCCACTTGTATAGTTAACCTGGGCGATTCAATGGTCGAGTGGACTGGTGGGATTCTTCGCTCCGCTATGCATCGTGTTATCTCTGCTCCAGGTGACCAGGCATTCACAACCCGATATGTAGTTGGTTATTTTGCCCGTCCTGCCGGTGATTCTCTCATGAAACGTCTCGCACCGCCTGAATACCCCTCTTCTCTCGTACCACCAGTCGAGGACGAAAAAGACTCTGGAAATGATATGAATGCTAAAGATTGGGAGTGGCATAAACTCTCATCGGTTAAGGCAGGTAATCTTGGAGGAAGCTTAGGCGGTAAACCGTTTGAGCCGAAGAGAGATTTGAAAGAGTTGTTCCCAGTATTTATCGATGCTGCTTGAGGATTATGTTATTGAATTTAAGATTCGCATGTCGGCTTTGTTATGGCAGAGGACGTTGAAATTTGTTTAGTTCTACTGTTCAGTTTCCTTTCGTTTACCGGTTGACTTTGCAAAACATCGACTATGGCACTCATTTTTCTATCTTTCATTCTAGCTACCTAATGCAGCCAAGCAAATCGAAACTATCATGGCTTTGCTACCTACCTGGAATCTAATTTTAGTCTTGGCAGATGGCTATATGATTTTGGATGCGAATATTTATTATAGGAGTACAAAAGTTGGTGTATGTACTTGACTTTGATATTTCGCGAAAATAAATTTGTCTCATTTATCACCGCCACGAATATCATCTTGGTTTTTTCCTTACGTCTGAAGCTTTCCAAATATTCGATCGAGTCACATGCATTAGACTGTGTGTAAGGAAAAAGGAATGAGTCGATGATAGTGGTATTTTTGGCGATAGAATACTTTATTCGACCTATAAAATCGTCACTTGTGATGAATCCAAATGAAATGTAACATTGATTTAAGTTTGAGAAAAAGAGTGAAAAATATAAAACTTCAGTATCCATTGTAAATCTTGATATCTTTGAATTTCGTCAGCAAGCTTAGCAGGGCGCTTTACTTCAACACTTTGAAACCACTCTAGCCGCCTGTTTCCCCCCCTAGCAGCTGCCACTTCTCTTGCTCAAGACGCCTGGCTCAATTTCTGATCCAGTTCATTCATTCCAGCTGCCTCTTCTTTCCATGGCGCATTTCACACTTTCGCATATTCTGTGTTTAATGGTTACATTCTCACAGTGCCTAATAAGAGGACTCCTATTGAATTTCTGAGTCTAGATTGCTAGATAACATTATTGTCCCAGTGAAAATATTGCCTACTGGTATGTGCTAGGATAACCTGGAAAGAGACTGTATACTGGCGAGGTTTCCATGAAGCAGTTAACGATGATGGCTAATACAGAACCAGATTGCCGAGCTGAAAATTTATACGCAACGTCTTTGTGCCGGGTAATAGTGGTGAATGATATCTTGATGCTATATTGATACACCGTTTCAAGTCACTTGCAGATGCCGAATATGCTGACACGATAATATCACCCAACAACTGATTTCGACATTAACCATGAGAGATGACATAATAGTATTCGTTTACCATGAGTATTCATGAAACCATACTTTGATTTGTATAACATGCATGATTTGAAAGAAACAATAGTCACAGATATTGAACTTAAACATTTGAAGAGTCTAGAGAGAATATCTAAATTGAAAGCAGCGCACTAACTCTTCGTCTAATTTCAGTGTCACCATAAATACTTTAAAATGGCGAAATACCATAGAGTTGCCCATACATTTGGTACGCCTAGTTGAAACATATGCGGAGTGAAAACCTCAGTGAGGACATGTATAAGTTCGGACATCAGGCCAAACTGAATTCTCATTTCCCAAGCTCACCAGCGACAACTCATCTTTTTGAACCCATGAATCTGACGTAATAATCGTGCTTTGATGCTTATACGCTTCTATTTATTATTTTGAATCAAATTGCGTGCATAACATCGGGACAGCAACCAAGGGTACTTACTGTTGAGGATATCGAGTAAATCTAAACATATCAGAGCGAGTAACCCAAGCGGTAGAATTTGCCCGAACCCCCATGTTGACTCATCTCCAATTACAAAACTTTGGTTAGATAACTTCGAATCGATGACATCAAAAGTATTCCATGCTGCCAATCCAATATATCCGATAACTATTAGTACTGATCCGTTGTCACCCCATGCCCACAGTGCGAGAATTTGCCAAAATACATGCCAGACCATGTAAAATATCTTTCTCAAAGCATGTAATATGACCCTCAAGGCAATTGGCCAATGGTTGGTATGAAACTCCACCACTGTCCAGAATTTCAATGCGCGCTGCTGACTTTCGTTGGACAAGTTATTCGAGGTATTCGCGATGAAGTCCAAAAAGCCCTTCAGCCATTGCCATTTGTTAGATAGGGACTGCGCAACCTGTTGCATAAAATAAAATAACATATACACAACTTCAAAAGAAATACCCACGATCCAAAAGTACTGCGAATTAGTTGGTGATGGTTCATGTGAGAGATAACAATGACCACTTTCTTCGGAATCCCAATGGTTTGCGGCGTCAAGAGTAGTAACGATTTGATAATAAATGGACAATAAATCACTGATCAGAATAAAGACCCAACGTGTCCAAAAGTAAAAGCTCCTCCCGCGTCCGTAATGTTCCGAGTTAAGATAACCCGCCCGAGCAGCCCAAAATGCGTTGAGTGTAAGAAGCCAATAACTGGTAATGAGAGACTGGTGATAGAATGACATATGATGAAACTCAGCTATCCCTGCAATGATTATAGTGGTTCCTGTAACAAGCTGGAGGTCACACAATCGATCCAATGCCATCTGAGAGAATAATTGAAGCCGTGGTTGGGCATCGCGAAAGAGACTTAGAAATATAGCAAGCAGGCATCGGACGGCATAAAGGCTGATCTGAATGCCCCTAATGAATCTTGGAAATCTCCGTTCAACAGATGATGATATATAGACTCTTGTGAGCTTGACCGTATATTTCCCAACGTGCTCGGCCGTGGTTCCAGAAACAGAAGAAAGAAGTTTAAGACGAAATCTTGATGACATAAGGCAATATAATTGGATACATGCCACAAAACTAGTGACCCAGGCTGTGACTAGAAAACTTGTCATAACCTTCAAGATCTGTCAGAAAAGGCGTGATAGAATATCATGAAGTGACTTACTCTGGGTTTCGCAATATCTGGATCCGTATTAAAAGGCGCGAAATACTCCCACTGATCACGAGTATTTTTCGCCATTAGTATTACATTGATACGATGCAGAGGAGGAAATTTCTGGTGTTTGTTTGAATAGAGTATTGAGGCTGGTAACTTTCCCCTGGAATGTATCAAGCCACACGGCTGATTAAGATGAAAGCAAAGTAAATGATGAAAGAAGTATACTGTGCATCATCAACTTATCCTTTCAACTCTATTAAAAATTGACAAATAGTAGTGTTCTTGTATCACAATGCATTGGTGCTTCGTGTAAGATGAAAGTAATTATGTCCTGAAAATGCTGTGGAATAGTACTTCATCCTGTAACAAATCTGGCTGAAAGAATTCCATACTCTAATGACTATTGGACACCGGCTAAATTGTACTTTAAGGATGGATAAGTCTGTCACTTTGACGATCTAAATACTTATATGTTGGCTGGGAGAAAACAGCGTCATTGAAGAATTTTGAGTGTATATTAAGAAGTCTTTAACGGTACCCTATTAAATGTCAAACCACATGTTATACGTTCTACCCATATCTGACCCAGATGTTCATAGCCGACATACATGTGCATCAAGATTAATCATTAAACCAGTTTCACATCAAAAACCCGTTCAATACGTTCCCCTGTGGACCTAGACTTCCTCGGTGACCCTAGCAGATCGACCGATTCCTGTCGCCAATTTCTCCTTTTCCAAGTTCTCTAATTCCTTGATCTTTCGTGCTTTGAGCTCCTGACAAAATACACTCCCCTCCCTAATACGATCACCCTTCCACATAAACAACAGCGGTATTCCGCACATGAGCAGACTCAGAAAGGCAAGCAGACTACTTGCCCATGGCACTCCCAGTCTGGAGTACATAGGCTTGGCCGCAAATGGCAACACCGCACCAGCCAAGCTTCTACAGCAGCTCGATGCAGCCATAGCACTCGCGGCAAAAACTTCATAGGCATCTGTCAAATAGTTGATTAATGCGACGAAGATTAGAATAAAGCCCATTCCAAATGGAATACCAGCCAACATCGGAACATAAAAAGGAATTGAGACATGAGATGTCCAGCCCAACCAGAAAAGCGAAATCACATAAAGAGGTCCACCGAAAAGAGCTAGCGGAAGTCGTCGAGATTCTTCTTTTTTAGTCCAAGGTTTATTGGCTGCTTGAGCTTTGCGGAGATATGTATCCCACCAGAGAAACACAATGGTAGCTAGAACGGCACCACCGGCAATCGGAAGGAACATAAGACCAGACACACCAGATGATTGACCATAAATTCCTTCAAAGATAATGGGAAAAGCCTCAAAGTACATGTAGAATATCCCATACGCCAGGGCGAGGTAGGAGCAAGCGGCCAAAACAATAAGTTCGAAAAATAGCATGCGAACAGGTCGCGTGAAAGTCACGGTTATCATTTGTTTCAAGTCTTGCTTTTCTAGCTCGATGGGCGCAAATATTTCTGGATTACCTGTTTCCTTGCGCAATTTCTTCGCGCGTTTAAGGAGTAGAACAGGACCATAGGTTTCCGGAAGAAATACGAGAGGAATCCAAGATGCACCAGCGACAATCAAACCGATCCAGAACGTCCAACGCCAACCCAGCGCAGGAGATATATATCCCGATATGATTGGGGCCGCTACAGGACCTACACAAGTACCTCCAGTAAAGACCGCCATAGCTCGCCCTCTTGGGACTGGATCCTTGTATATATCTGCATAGATACCTCCACTGACAGAAATAGGGCTACTTGCGTTGATACCGGCAAGGATACGAAATGCTAATAGCCCTCCCCACGTTGGTGTTAAGGCGCAACCTAGAGTGAAAACAGTGTAGCCGAAAAAGGTTGCCAACATGATATTTCTTCTTCCATACTGTTCTGATAATGGGCAAAATACCAAAGGTCCAAGGACATATCCAAGGAGGTACATTGATATTGGTAATATTTGCGCAGAATCCGATGTTATGTGAAAGTGTGGAGCAATATATGGGATTGCATTTGAAGGTAACGAAGAACCCATGGTACTATTGATCACCACGAGCATTCCTACGAGAACGATGTAACACTTCCGCGCCTATGCATCAAAATCAGTCGATGTCTTCAATTTCATTTTCCTGAACATCCCACAGAATGTTCTCTTGACATTTTCCAAAACAAGATATTAACGCACCGAGGACCAGTTGTATGGATTTTCCGGGTCATTCACCTCCCAATGTATTACTTTCTTGCGGGAGCCTAAGATGCTGGATGCGGATGAATCCGGTTGAGATATTTGGTTGTCTTTACCCTCAATATCATATCGTATCTCCGCGTCGTCATGGTCAATTCGGGAGATTATTCGAGAAAGTCTACTCTCATGCCGTTCTATATTTCGATCAGTAAATGTCCACAGTTCCGAGTATTGAATGACGCAGTTACCAATTGGTGCATGATCTGTTTCTGAATCATTTGCAGGCACCTCATTCTTACCAACCCCCGTTGCTTCAATTGTATTTTCCCGGTCTGCGCTGGACATTGTTGGTTTCTCGGCTGGCCTCGTCAAGCCAAATAGTTGAACCTTGTGTTACTTTTTGGTACGTCCTAGGTAACCTTGACGAAGTTTGAAGTCATGAATAGAGTCAAGTTTTATTTTGAGTAGAGGAAAGAAAGAGTAAAATGAATTGATGTAAAATGTAAAAGAGAGCCACCTAACTTGTGATATACTTGACAGAAAAAATAGGTCCTTCACCGGCCCCTAAAATTAATGTTCCCATAATTACACTGGATCTGATAACAGAAGGATCATTGCTAGCGTGTAAACCCTTAATTCTAACTTTCTAAAAGTGCAGCTCTCCACTGTCGAATGTTTGCTGCGGGTCCACTGCATGTCTTCAACGTTGTGTTGAAAGAAAAGATGGTGCCGTCACAACCGCAAGGATTGCTGTTAACCAGATTTCATGAGCGAGCGGCAGATGTCCAAGGGAATTCTTCAAGCTAGTGTATGTGATAACAATCCCTCAAGCTTATGTAAAGTCCCGATGCTTCAAGGCGGGTGGACCAAGCTCAGTACTCTGTCAGATGAATTCGGATTAGTTCTATGCGGTGCATTAAAAATGGGTCGCGGTGAGGGAGAAAAATGTGGGAAGCAGCTTCTGATCGGTAAATGTTTCGGGTACGCAAGAACATGCTTTGGACCCTATACAGAGGATGATACTTGAGTATATGCCGCTCAACTGTCCCGGGCTACTTGTTGTTGTGATTGGGTCACCTCGTGGCTATGTTGTGGAGCTTTTTTTGGATCCTTGGGGTTTTCGTGTGAAAATTATTTCGACAATCTATGTTTCCAGATTGATACTTCGACCAAATCTAGCATATAATTCCACCTTCAATTGTGTCATTTCCTCCCTGATTGTAATAAGCTTTTCTTCGACCAGTGTTACTTCCTCCTCGATATTCTCTGTCGATTTTGTGAGCAATTCCTGAACTTCTGGTAGTGGTAGGGAAATAAATGAATCTCCGATTTTGTAACTTCAAAATGTCAGTCTGATTCAACGTATGGTATCTGACCAAATGAAGGAGGATGGAGGTTTGTCGTACGGTATCAGTTCATCCTCGTCTGCCAACTCAAGTTCACCCGAAACATCATCGAGGTCTTCCTTTTCTTTCTATTCAGGAACATGGTCAGCAACTCAATCTGCATCATCTTTTGCGGATTATGAGGTTGAATGATTGATGGCGGATATCTTAATTGTACTGACATGTTTTGACTTTAACTCCTCCTCCAGACCAATTTCCCTTTGGTGTAGACGACTGAATCGATTGATTTTGTCTTGATCCTCTCTTCGTACTTCGACCTCATCTGCGCCAACTGCAGCCTCATCTTCTTTTGATAACTGGATAGATTGTTAGGATATGATATGATATGTGGTATCGGGGCAGGCAAATATATGAAGTGGTTATATTACCATACGACGTTGCATGTTTGCGGTTGTAATGGTTGTCGAAGTGGTTGAGGAAATATTCTGGAGATGATTTATGACCTAGGTATCTACTGTAGGTACGGAGTATGTAGATAGATACCTCGTAGGCGTGGGGAAAGCTTTAAAGTTTTGACCTTAGGCTGTCATAATTATTTACCCCACCAACCCTTAAGATCTATCTATGATCTTATATACCTTATTGGGAATTGGGGGTATTTATATTGATTACTCTTCCACTCCTATATTCGAAACTGAAATACAACAAATGAAATTATTAGAGCGATTATATAATAAATATAAAATCGAAGCCCTCTAAATAATTCCAATCAGATTAAATAATACTGGATTAAATAGAAATATCGATGAAATAGAAAATAATTGAATTTGAAAGTGTGACGGAAATCCCTGCTTTCCTCCCACCCTTATTATATAAGAAACCTCAGGTACATTAACCATGTCCACACATGATACGATTACTCGGGATTAGTATACGATTTAGGTGACCTGAGGATCAGATCCGGACAAGTACTAGCTATCAATGGTTATCGGTAAAGTAAGATCATTGGAGGGATAAATATGACTTCTTTTTGCCTAGCCATTGCGGCTAGGCCATTCATTTGTGTATATATAGAGTAGCTATCCCCATCTACAGGTGCTCTTCACCTGTAGATTCTAAGTTAAACTCAATTGCTGGTCTATAAATACTCTTTTGATCACAAGTATTTATTTGAAAGTGAATTCATTATTAGATTGTTACGTAGTAACAGTCAACCTGTCCATATGAGCTTAGACCCCGTGGAAAAGCAAACCGATTCGCATACAATTTTGTATGGTAATCGGTTCGTAGAGTCTCCCCACCTTCAGCAAGCACAGACATATAGTCTGATCCAAGTCACGTGATGGACCCTGCATATTCAGGGATACGAATCGTAGGTCCATACGAATCGTAGGTCCATACGAATCGTAGGTCCATACGAATCGAAGGTCCACAAACTCTCAGGACCCAAGAGATCCAATGGAGGACGAAGGTCTATATAATCAGGATGGTTTCCTTTGTGTAGAGCTTCGTGCTCAAGATCAATCATTTAGTATACTCTACTATTAGTTACGAATTGCATATCATTATTGTCATTACTTCAAGTCCCTGCTTGACGCCTAGTTATAAACCACCTCGAGAGCCTGGAGCACTTCCACGTGATCTAGACGGCGAACCTCGTAACACTGATCAAATAGAATATAAATAAACTAATTGATCATTAAACTAAATACAAAGCTTTTACATTATG